TTCTAATTTTTATCAATCATAATAAATAATTTTTTAGTGTGAATAATAATAGAATCATAAATTTTTACTGTTCACTAGTATAATAATCGATTAGATTTAATTGCGGTAGTAGTCGAGATGGCCGACTGACGGGTATAATTATAAATAGCTTGAGTCTCGCCTGGTATGGTTACCAAAAGCGTGATGCGCAAATCCGCGCACTTTCGATCATGTCAAAGTAGCTGTGATTTTTTTCTTTTTTATTTAAGATGAAGAAAATCACGATCATTAGCTTGAGACGTGTGCCGGTGTTTAAAGAATCACAAAAGAAACAAGGATTTTATATATGTGATGATAATGGTGATGATGACGAGGAGGTTGGTTAGAATTATATTGAGGCAAAAGACAAGTCCTTATATGGATCAAGTGTCCTTAACCCGGTTTGGAAATACGCGGTCAAGAGAGCTGACTGAAAAGAGTGAAGATTTAACTGGCCTAGAGTTTATAAAGTATGTTCCTGCATTATATGTTAAAGCGCCATGGCTCCCCAAGAGTTCCATTTATGGTCAACTCATATTGAAGTTGATGAAAAAATACGGTCAATTACGACATTACCTCCTTTCATGTTTTAGCAATTGATGACTCTTTGAGCAAATATTTACGTTTCTTTGGAATAACGGAATTGAGATCGATTGATAGGACATTTTTATTCTTGTAGGATAATTAAAAACTATTATCATCAAATGCTCTTTTTTTAATCACTAATGTTATAATCATCAAATAATTATTTGTTTCATTGAAGAAAATTCAAAACACTAGAAAATTGATTGAATAAATGTAATTTTTTCTAAAAATAAATATCAAGATTTAATTGCATTACATTGGCCTCAAAAAATGACATTCGATTGATATTCAGTGTTTGTAAATACTAATTATTATCATAGATAATTTATCACAATAAAAAACAGTATTTGTTGGTTTGTTTACTTAAAATATTTTATCTTTCAATCAATAACTATATTACTAAATTATTTATTATTTAAAATGACAAATTCACTGTAAATGATCAACTAAAACATTTATAATTTTTATCAATTGATTGATTAAAAAAAAAAACATTTCAGAGAAAATTAAAAAAAAAGAAAATATTTTATTCAGTTGAATAAAAATAGAATATTTCCAATGCAAGCTAATTTAAAGAAAGTAAAAGCAAATTAACATGAACAAGATTTCAGAGTCACGTCTCTTTAAAATCAAGGTCAAATATCGGAGAGTCGGAAAAAAATATTACAAAAAAGAAAACAGTCTAAAAACAAAAAATAACAACTTTACACTCAAAGCTTATTTTTTTCTTATATTTATTTCCAAGATTAAATTTCGAAGTTTCATTACAATTGAAGACCATAAATGTTTTATGTTATCCTGTATATACTGACTATGAAGAAGGAACAGAAAAGAAAAAAGAGATTTCACGAGAGTGGGTACATGGTCTTGTTTTTTTTTATGCTTAAGGCACTTTCAGCTCAGTTAGATATACGTAAGCCAAGCAGGAATGTCGAATAGGTCGACGACACAGGACCCCGAGGGACCGGTTTTGGGGACCTTCGGACACTCGTACTGCTACACGATGAAGCAGGCGAGACAATGTTGAACCTTATCGTCTTGCCCAAGCTTTTTTAAACTCCACTCTCTGTACTCTGGCAAAAAGAAAGCCTTTAAAAGTATGCTAAAAAAATTTTTCAACACAGCAAGACACCTTCCTTGACTTCATTTTAAACATAATTGCATCTTCTTCTACTCTTTGACAATGAATTTCCCTTTTAATTTATTCTTTAAAATTCTCATTCAATCGACAACATTTTAAATATTTTTCTTCAAATCATAAATGATCTGGAATACCGGTTGATATTATTATCATGAGAATCGTCTCAACGAGTGACGAATAAGCGGAGTATTTTGTGGGGAAAGTGTATGGATGAATCATGACATTAAAGCGAGGAAACGATCGTGATGACGATGCATAAAGAACTTTAGTGAAGGTGGTAGATATATACGTTATATTATGCAAAGTATTTAACGATTTAGTGTCTTGATGGATCGACAAAAATGCGGATATAACCCTTTTGTATAAGCTGAAGAAGCAAACTTCCTACTTTTTCATCAATTCCATTTACTTTTCTGATGATTCATAATTTTTGAATATTTTTTTTTCTTTCACAACCAATTATCTTCTTACATTTTTTTATTTTTATTTAAACAAAGAAATATTCATTTAAATTTATATGATTTTATTTTTAGACTTGGAATTTTTATGAAATACTCATTAGTAGTATCATAATAATTACACAAGAGTAAAAATTCACAAAGCTACTCTGGAATGCTTGCAAATCAATGTGCTTGTTACACTAATTAATTGCCCCTTGCGATGATAAACGCATCGGCATACATTAGCCTTTGAACGAGAGTCTTGATAGAGAATTTTATAATGTCATGAAAATGGGGTGTATTTCTTTTCTTTTTTAATTGTTACTTTTTTTGTTGATATAAAGTATTTATTTTATCCCTTAATTTAAATCCCATTTTTTTTATTCATCAAAAAGGTATTTAAAGAAGAAAAGTATTAAATAAATTTTTTTGACAGAAATTAAGAATAATTTATTTAATTCTATCAAGCTTGTTTTGATTTTTTATTCATGTGATTCCATTCGTAAAGAATAAGAGTAAAAATAACATCAAAAAAATTTCTCAACCTCTATTGAATAAATTTCAATAAAATGTTTTTCTCCAACCTAAATGTCTATCATTCTATCAAAGTACATATTACTCAACGGCATATAACTTTTGTGCAGCTGTAGTATAAAAACATTGAAAGTAAAAACGACATGCAAAGAAAATTCAAAATCAGAGTTTGTGAATAGACCAATTACCCTAAATATTATTCACCACTTTTTCATTACTTTCAACACAATTATTTGCTTATAATATTATAAGTAATTGAAACTATTAAAAAATACATTACATAAATAATAATATCTAATTACTTTTTAATAATAGTAAAATAGTAATATATAGCAAGTTAAATAATAATTAAATAATAAAAATTTATTTTCTCATAACTTTTTTTTTTCTTGACATAATAATATCATAAATTTAGCAAAACCCTGCTGTTAAAATTACCACAATAGCAAATATTTTTTTAATGTTTAACACAATAACACATTAGTATGCTTATTTCTACAATGATCATTAGCTTATTTTAAAGATATTCTAGCCGGAATATTAATAAGTTAATGATTAAAGTGAGTGCTTCATTCATGACTTGAATATAAGTCTTATTCTAAAGCTTGTTCACACGTAGTCATCAAGGTGAGTCTTGTCGTTGTACTACACATATGATATGATGTGTATGCAGATTTATGGCGGTCTGTCAACGACTGGAAAAGCCAATGTGCGTGGTGTAAGTGAACGAGCATACGTGAAAGAGTCCAAGTGTATTATTGAGGCGAGAAAAGAAGATAAAAATAGTTGGAAAGAAAGAAAGAAAAAAAAAGAGAGGATGAGGCTAAACATTCATCAGACAATCTGTGTTTCATACTTTAATAATATGCATGTATGCTCACGTGACGTCATTGATCTGACATTCCACTACTTTCCCATTTGCAACTCGCGTGTATGCTCCACCTCCTCTGACGAATCATACGTCCATAAAATTCTTCAAACCAGACCGCCTGAGTACTTTCAAGTTAGCTTGACGCTTCAAGTTTGCTTGGAATTTTTTTTCACGCTTCTCTGATGCTTTTAAGCTATAAATGCTGTTGTATTACACACTGCAGCAGCCAATCTCCTAAATTGATGCATTAGAAAGCTACAGACTAAATGGACAACAGATAGAAATGTCAATGAAATGCCTGAGAAAAGACTCAATGCTTTGCCTGACTTTTGTTCTGATTTTTTTTATTGTTGATATTTTTTTGATAAAACAATACTCAGCAATTCCTTTATAATGTTTTTGGAGTTTCTATTTTATATCCTCCCGTTTTTTATTTTGCTAGCAATACTCTTTATGTTGAAATTGCAAAACTTTCAGATGTGATGCAATTTTTAAAATAGTCTACGTATTTTATTTGTTTTTCAGTCTATTATATTTTTGTATCGATCATGTAAATAATTCAATATATAAATAAATCAAAAATTTAATCAAATATTTACAATGTTTAAAAAGACTCTAACTTAATAAATCAATATTATTTATTTTTAATTAAATTTATTATTAATTATTTGTTATTAGAAAAAAAATTTATGTTAAATGAAGATAAAATTAATGAGAATGTGATGGTAAAAATTTAAAAATAAATGGGTTAATTGAAATATGGTAAATGGTAGTAAATAATAAAAAAAGAAGAATGATATTTTTAGTAAATGACTATAAACGAAATACAAATAATTACAAGATGAATTATTTAGTGATTTGTGTCATGTTTGAATCTCTTACGATGGCCGTGACTTGGAAAAAAAATAATTAATGTGTGTCCAAAGACTAAAATATACTTGTGAAAAGCAAAAAGATAGCAAGGGAAGATGAAAATGTTTACTCTCCGTACAGAAAATCATGTATGATTTCTTATACACCAACTGCAATCATATTTTACTTAATTCTATGAACACGTTTTCTGGTCTCATTTTTTGCTGATATTTCAATTTTTTAGTCTGATGTCTTTATTAAAGGCGCCAGTACTCAAAGCCATCAAGTAAAGTGCATTTAAAACAGCGAAGAAATTTATTAAACTTAATAACCTTTCAACATCATCATTAACTTGTTTTTACTAATTACAACTTGTAATTTTTAATACTTGTGTGGTCATTAAATATAAACTATTATTTATTCATTTATTTATTTATTTATAATATAATAAATCAATCATCATTTACTTTTCAATGAAATGGCAATTTTAAAAATTAGGCCAATCGATTGCACACTTCTTCATTATGAATTAATTTTTTTTGTTATCAACTTTTTCCAGACTTACTCCGGCCTCTTCTGTGTTGTTGTCAACCCCTACAAGAGGCTTCCGATTTACACAGAAAAAATAATGGAGCGGTATAAGGGCATCAAGAGGCACGAAGTTCCACCGCACGTTTTCGCCATTACAGACACCGCCTACCGTTCTATGTTACAAGGTAATGTATGCTCACGATACTTCCTTGACTTAAACTTTCCTTTAAATTATTTTATCCACCCTCTAATTTATTACCATCTTTTTCGACCTTTTAAACATCTAAGAACGACACTAAACAAAAATCAATTCATGCTTCACAGATATTTGTATCAATCTTTTCCCTTTTGTTTATCAATTTTTCATTCTCATACTTTTTTTGCTCTCTAATATTAATTCATGGAATGCTTGAAGATCTTTCATAAAATTCTCATCAGTTTGCTGGAGATTAATAACATCATAAGGCTTTTAAAGTTTTTAATTATGTTTTTTTTAAATTATGATTAGTAGTATTTATGGAGTAATTAAATGAAAAGTTGATGATATTTTCATCTTCTTACTAATCGAAAAAGCATTAACTATAAAATGAACTTGCAGTAAAATTAAACTTTATGTTGAAAGTTAATTGTTGAGTTGCATTATAAAAAAGAATATAAAATTTGTAAAAACAACTTTGAATTAAAAATTATTTTATATATATATATTTTTTTTATTGTTGTTTAATGTATCAATAAAATTATTACCAGATAATATTCTTATTGATATAGGTCAAGTTTATTTTTAATTTATTCAACTCTATTTTATTCTATGGAAATAAATAGTTTATTTTGTTTTGAAATTTTTTTACTTCAACTTGTAATGTTTACTTTGATTAATCCTTAATTAAAAACCTTTTTATAGTATAAAGATTGTGAATAAGTATGTCTCTTGTTTCGTTTAAATCAATTACCCTTGATGTGTCAATTTGACATACAAATTTTTGTAAGTATTCGAGGGTAATTGGTATAAATATTCAATTTACAAGTATTTATAAACATAAATAACTCTAGTATTATATTAAAAATAAATTTAAAGTTGCTACATTATTTTTTTTTTAAAAATTGTTTTTGTACATTTTAAACATAATTTGTCAAGTCATTTAAAAAAATATAAAATTTTTCTTTTTCAAATAAAATATAGAAAATTACTAGGAAAAGGACTGAATAAAAAATAATATATGCTAAAATTACATTTAAAAAAAAATAAGCAATACAGTATAATTGTTTGGTTATTTATCTTATTTCACAATTGTAAAGAATAAACATGATTTCACGTGGGATTACTTAGCTGCAGCTGTGTTCAGCCTTGCTCGAATTCTGCTTCATGATTTCTTCTCCCTTCTATTTATTCATCTCCATAATATAAAAATAAAATTATACTGCCAAGTCTCATCAGCTTCGCTAATTTAAATAATTAAATATAATCCATTAAATTAAACTCAATGAAAACCAACAAAAAAGTTTTTCTTTGACCCAAAAAGAAATGTTTATTATATTCAACTCTATTTTAATTTTATTATATTTTCTTGCAGATCGAGAAGATCAATCAATTTTATGTACTGGTGAATCTGGTGCTGGAAAAACAGAAAATACAAAGAAAGTTATTCAATATTTAGCTTATGTTGCTGCATCCAAACCCAAAACAAATGCTGTAAGTTATGGATTTGATCTTTTATTAAATGAATTATGAATTTATTATCAATAGTTTCATTGTTGGAATAATTTGATAAAAATAGTGATATTAAACAGCTGACTAGACAACTGATGAATCAAATCGTAGTATAATAACTGCGAAATTCGAGATGTTTTATTATCTATTTACACTTGGCAAAGACTCCTATTACATTGAATTGATGATTATAACGAAAAAAAAAAAACAAAAAAGACATATTAAATTATTTTAATTTCTTCAATCATCAGAAATCTCAACCACATCCATACATAGTTATCACATTTGACCACGATTTCCGTAGCATATCTCCGAAAAAAAGAATTACTTCAATGAAATAAGTAGAATTATTAGCATTTGAATGAATCATCTGACATTTTATTTTATGTTGAATTCAAATTACGAAATGAAATAAATTACAAAGTTAAGCAGCCTTATTTGGATATAATCTACGATGTTGCATTTAAAGAAAATGTTCAATTTGTCTTGCACTAATGAAATAGAAATAGGAAAGAGATATAAAAAAAACACTTTGTAAGGATTAATCTCTATCTATTAACAATTTATGCCCATGATCAATTGGATTGTGAGCCCACCCGTAAATATTTCGCAATCGATCGATGGTCGCGTCATCCAATCGCTCTCTATTCAACGTGATTGATCCAGGTCAAGAATCTCGATACGTCCCATTCGTTTTTCTTTTTTTTCTTTCATGAGCTCACTGTAATTATTTCTTACCAAGTTATCTTTATTATTAGGGAGTATTTTTTCATCAAAACTTTGGTTACATTCAATTAAAGATGTTCAGTCAGATTCTTTTCATACTTTCTCAGTATGTGTCTTCGTTATTGGATATTTTCATTCTTCTTTTTTTTTCATAAACAGAGAGAAAATTGCAATGTTATTATGCTCGTGAATTATTCATTTTTAGTTGAATTGATTGTTCCTGTACATACGTAGCATAGTTAACTTTCAGAAAAATTAATAGGTTGATTTATATTTATTAATGAAATGTAAAATATAAAATTCCTGGTTTTTATTGCTAGAACATATTGTTATTAATTAGACATGATCGATCAAATAAGTAGTTGTAATTTGTTTAAAATAAAAAAATATGTTAAAATGTTAGATAATTTATAGTAAAGAAAGTACCATACAAAAATTAGCTAGAATTATAATTGATGGTTGAACCTTTCATTTTCGGTGCTGATAATCTGCGGCCACTCATCTAGACCCCCAGTCCAGCGTTAATAATAGTAAGTCCATTAAAGTTATGCCGCAAATCAAAATTACTAAGCTTTGTTCTTATCTTATTATTTCGCTTTTAATTTTTTATGTACGTCTTTGTCCCATTTTTATTCGTATTTCATAAGTACATTGCATTTTAATGTTATTCACTATGTTCATTTAAATCATTATGTTCATTGAAATGAAACAACAACTAATTTACTGATCATATTTAACTAACATATTAATGCTTAAATTTTCTTGCTGCCTGTGGATCCAGGGGACTGGAATCACCACCGAGAAATTTGCGGTAATTATTTAATTATAGGTGTGATTGTTTAATATTAATGCATGTTGCTTTTCAAACAGCTTAAAATGATAATTTTTTCATTCAAATTTTTTTCAAAAATATGATATATCATTACTTCATTCGACTTCATAAATTCATAAAAAAAATTTTTTCTTACTGATATTTTCTTTTTGCATGTTTTCCAATCTTGATCATAGTGATAGTTCTTTCCATATTCTGATATTTATAATTAAAGCATATAATAAATATTTGATTATAGATTCAAAAAATATTTTTCAACGTTTCTTTGTTTAATAATAAAAGAGAATAAAAATAAAGAATACTTTTAGTGACCGATTAATTTTCTTATCTTTTGATCTATTATTTACGATGTTGAAAAATTATTCATTTGAAAGAACGATCACTCGTACTGCTAGTGCTCTAAAAATAAAAATAAAATTTTGAACTAAAAACAATTTTTATTTCAATTTAGGGTGAACTAGAACAGCAACTTCTTCAAGCAAATCCTATTTTGGAGGCCTTTGGAAACGCCAAAACTGTGAAGAATGACAACTCTTCACGATTTGTAAGTAAAAAAAAAAAAAAAATTGTTTCTCAAAAAAGCATAAATTGGTTTTCATTGAAATAAACAATGACATTGTCTTATGATGATAAATTGTCTTCCATTTATTTGAAAAATTTCAATGCTTAAAATTATGTTTGCAGGGTAAATTCATCAGAATAAATTTCGATGCATCTGGATACATCGCAGGTGCAAACATTGAGACCTATCTCTTGGAGAAATCTCGAGCTATAAGACAAGCTAAAGAGGAAAGAACTTTTCATATATTTTATCAACTATTAGCTGGCGCTTCTCCAGAGCAGAAAAAAGAATTTATATTAGAAGATCCAAAGCATTATCCATTCCTATCAAATGGCGCACTGCCAGTTCCTGGTGTTGATGACGCATCAGAGTTTGCCTCGACTGTCAAATCAATGCATATTATGGGTATGACTAATGAAGATTTTTCTTCCATCTTCCGCATTGTATCTGCTGTTATGCTTTTCGGATCAATGCAATTCAGACAAGAGAGAAATTCCGATCAAGCTACGTTACCTGATAATACTGTAGCTCAAAAAATTTCACATTTATTGGGACTCAGCGTTACAGAAATGACGAAAGCCTTTTTGAAACCAAGAATCAAAGTAGGCCGTGACTTTGTGACTAAAGCTCAGACAAAGGAGCAAGTTGAGTTTGCTGTGGAAGCAATATCTAAAGCATGTTATGAAAGGATGTTCCGTTGGCTGGTCAACAGGATAAATCGATCTCTTGACAGAACTAAACGTCAAGGAGCTAGTTTTATTGGAATTTTAGATATGGCAGGGTTCGAAATATTTGAACTGAATTCTTTTGAACAATTGTGTATCAATTATACTAATGAGAAACTTCAACAGCTCTTCAATCATACTATGTTTATTCTAGAACAAGAAGAGTATCAACGAGAAGGAATAGAATGGAAGTTTATTGACTTTGGATTAGATCTTCAACCTACAATTGATTTAATTGATAAACCTATGGGTGTTATGGCACTCCTTGATGAAGAATGTTGGTTTCCAAAAGCCACAGATAAAACATTTGTTGAAAAACTTGTCAGTGCCCATAGTGTTCATCCTAAATTCATGAAAACTGATTTCCGAGGTGTTGCTGATTTTGCTATTATTCATTATGCCGGTAAAGTTGATTATTCTGCTGCTAAATGGTTAATGAAGAACATGGATCCACTGAATGAAAATGTCGTCAGTTTATTACAAGCCTCTCAAGATCCATTTGTTTGCCATATCTGGAAAGACGCTGAAATAGTTGGAATGGCACAACAAGCTCTTACTGACACGCAATTTGGAGCAAGAACTAGGAAAGGAATGTTTAGAACAGTGTCGCAGCTGTATAAAGAGCAACTTGCAAAACTGATGGTGACTCTTCGTAACACGAATCCCAATTTCGTACGTTGTATTATTCCAAATCACGAAAAAAGAGCAGGAAAGATTGATGCTCCTTTGGTTCTTGATCAATTACGATGCAATGGAGTGCTTGAAGGAATTCGTATTTGTCGTCAAGGATTCCCTAATAGAATACCTTTCCAAGAATTTAGACAGCGTTATGAATTACTTACACCAAACGTTATTCCAAAAGGTTTCATGGATGGTAAAAAAGCTTGTGAAAAGATGATTCAAGCATTAGAACTTGATCCTAATCTTTATCGAGTCGGTCAATCAAAGATTTTCTTCAGAGCTGGAGTTCTTGCCCACCTTGAGGAAGAAAGAGACTATAAAATTACAGATTTGATTGTTAATTTCCAAGCTTTTTGTCGTGGTTTTCTCGCAAGACGAAATTATCAGAAACGTCTTCAGCAACTTAATGCTATTAGAATTATTCAGAGAAATTGTGCAGCATATCTAAAACTTAGAAATTGGCAATGGTGGAGATTGTATACTAAAGTAAAGCCTCTTCTAGAGGTTACAAAACAGGAAGAAAAATTAACACAAAAAGAGGATGAGTTAAAACAGGTCAGAGATAAATTAGAAATGCAGCTGCATTCGGCTCAAGAGTATGAACGAAAGTATCAGCAAGCTCTTGAAGAAAAAACAATGTTAGCAGAGCAATTGCAAGCTGAAGTGGAATTGTGTGCAGAAGCAGAAGAAATGCGTGCGAGATTAACCGCAAGGAAGCAAGAGCTTGAAGAGATCCTTCATGATTTAGAAGCACGTATTGAGGAGGAGGAAGAACGTAGTAATGCTCTTAATCAAGAGAAAAAGAAACTCCAATTGAACATAAGTGATCTTGAAGAGCAATTAGAGGAAGAAGAAGCTGCTCGGCAAAAATTGCAGTTAGAGAAAGTTCAGTGTGATGCAAAAATCAAAAAATTAGAGGAAGATCTTGCACTTTCAGAAGATACGAATCAAAAACTGTTGAAGGAAAAGAAAATTCTTGAAGAAAGAGCTAATGATTTGTCTCAAACTCTCGCTGAAGAAGAGGAAAAAGCCAAACATTTAGCAAAATTGAAGGCCAAGCATGAGGCAACAATTGCAGATTTAGAAGAAAGACTTCTCAAAGATCATCAACAACGTCAAGAGGTTGATCGTTCAAAGAGGAAAGTTGAAACTGAGGTATCTGATCTTAAAGATCAATTGAGTGAAAGAAAAATTCAAGTCGAAGAACTACAACTTCAATTAGGTAAGCGAGAAGAAGAACTTAATCAGGTGATGTTGAAAGTTGATGAAGAAGCCGCTGCTAAAGCACAAGCTCAAAAGGCATTAAGAGAACTGGAGTCTCAGCTGGCAGAACTCCAGGAAGATCTGGAAGCCGAAAAAGCTGCAAGAAGTAAGGCAGAAAAATTAAAACGTGACCTAAATGAAGAATTAGAAGCTCTTAAAAATGAATTATTAGACTCTCTTGATACAACTGCAGCTCAACAAGAGCTTAGGAGTAAACGTGAACAGGAATTGGCAACTCTAAAAAAAAATCTAGAAGAAGAAACTTCTTTGCATGAAGCAACACTTGCAGAAATGCGTCATAAACATACTCAAGAACTAACAGCTATTAATGAACAGATGGATGCCTTGAAAAAAGCTAAAGCAGCATTGGAAAAAGCTAAAGGATCTTTGGAAGCAGAAAATGCAGATCTAGCAACAGAATTACGATCAGTTGGTGCAAGTAGACAAGAGTCTGATCGTCGACGTAAACAAGCTGAGCAACAGTTGGTTGAGTTGAATGCTAAATTAGCAGAAGTTGAAAGAAATAAACAAGAATTAGCTGAACGTGTCACCAAATTGCAAACGGAAACTGAAGCTATTTCTCAGCAATTAGAAGCAGCAGAATTGAAAGCTTCTGCATCAGTAAAATCAGCCACTGTTTGTGAATCTCAAATTGTCGAATTACAACAACAACTTGAGGAAGAAACCAGACAAAAACTTGCACTAAGTTCCAAATTACGTGCTTTAGAAAGTGAAAAAGAAAGCCTTCACGATCAGCTGGAAGAAGAGGAAGAAGCTAAACGAGCTCTTGATAAACAAGTACAAGCATTAAATCTTCAATTAATTGAAGCCAAAAAACGAAGCGATGAAGAAGCTGAGGCTGCAGCAGTGCTTGAAGAAGCTCGAAAACGATGCATGAAAGATATTGAAGCACTTCAGAGACAAGTAGAAGAACTTCAAGCAGCTAATGATAAATTAGATAAATCGAGAAAAAAAATTCAAGCAGAATTGGAAGATAGTACAATTGAACTTGAAGTACAGAGAGCTAAAGTTCTTGAATTGGAAAAGAAACAAAAGAATTTCGATAAAGTTCTTGCTGAAGAAAAGGCAGTTTCGGAGCAGTATGCTGAACAAAGAGATGCAGCAGAGCGAGAAGCACGAGAAAAAGAAACTAAAGTATTGTCTTTGACTAGAGAATTGGATGAACTAAATGAAAAAGTTGAAGAACTGGAACGTGGACGTCGAGGACTTCAAGCCGAACTTGATGAATTAGTGAATAATCAAGGAACAGCTGATAAAAATGTTCATGAATTAGAGAAAGCCAAGAGAGCTTTAGAATCACAATTAGCTGAACAACGTTCGCAGGTCGAAGAACTTGAAGATGAACTTCAATTTACTGAAGATGCAAAATTACGATTAGAAGTCAATATGCAGGCATTGCGTACTCAATTTGAAAGAGATCTTCAGGCAAAGGAAGAACAAGCTGAAGAAAAACGTCGAGGATTAGTAAAACAAATTCGAGATCTTGAAGCCGAACTTGAAGATGAAAGAAAACAACGTGCTGCTGCTATTGCTGCTCGTAAAAAGTTGGAAGCAGATTATAAAGATGTAGAACAACAACTTGAAATGCATAATAAGGTTAAAGAAGATGCATTGAAACAATTGAAAAAACTTCAAGTTCAAATAAAAGATTGTACAAGAGAAACTGAAGAAGCACGAGCGGCTAGAGATGAATTGGCAACAAGTGCAAAGGAAACAGAGAAAAAAGTTAAGAGTCTTGAAGCTGATTTACTCCAACTTACCGAAGATTTAGCAAGTAGTGAAAGAGCTAGACGTACGGCAGAAAATGAACGTGACGAACTTCAAGAGGAGATCAATAATAATGCCAATAAAGGGACATTAATGCTCGATGAAAAACGCCGTCTTGAAGCAAGAATTGCTACATTAGAAGAAGAATTAGAGGAAGAACAATCAAACAGTGAAATTTTTGTAGACCGTGCAAGAAAAGGACAAATAACGATAGAGCAATTGACCACTGACTTAGCGACAGAACGTTCATCAACACAAAAACTAGAATCACAACGATTATTACTTGAGAGACAGAATAAAGAGCTTAAAGCTAAACTTGCAGAATTGGAAACTGCACAACGTGCTAAAACTAAAGCTACTATTCAAGCTCTCGAATCTAAGATCAGTAATCTTGATGAACAACTCGAGACTGAAGCTAAAGAGCGGTTTGCCCAACAAAAAATAAACCGCAAATTAGATAAGAAATTGAAAGAACTGAGTTTACAACTAGAAGATGAAAGAAGAAATGCTGATCAATATAAGGAACAAGTTGAGAAAGCTAATGCACGAGTGAAAACATTAAAGAGACAACTTGATGAAACGGAAGAAGAACTTAGCAGGCACAAAGTTCTTAAACGAAAGGCTCAGAGAGAAATGGATGAAATGATCGAATCCCATGAAAATTTAACCCGGGAAGTGGCAAACCTCAAAAGCAAACTAAGGTATTTTACATTTTTTATCAAATTAAATTAGGTATTGTTTCAAAGTACTGCTAAATTATTTATAAACATTTGTCATTGAGTGTTATATTTAATGTTCGCGTTTATTAGTTGCATTAAATGACATAGTTTCTTCACTCACATAAAAGTTGTAAAAATGCAAAAGATTTTCAATATGTATTTTTGAATAATATTGAATATTTATTTATGATATAATTTTTTTGTCTAGACGAGGAGGAGGAGGAGCCACAATTGGTCTAAGTTCTTCAAGACTGACCAAACGAGGATCTGTGCAAACTGGAGGATCTGGTGATGACTCCACTACCCAAGATGAAAGTATTGATGGCGAAGAAAACATCAATTGAATCATGTAGTGCAGGCTTTTATGCTATGATAACTTCCATAACGCATAATAGAATATTTAATTAACGTCAGAGACATGAAGGATAGAAAAAATTGTGTTAGATGCAAGGATAATCTTGCATATTGGTATTTTCAAATGATCAGTATAATTAATTAAATGAATAATAAACATAAAAAAAAGTAAAGAAATGAAAAGTTGATCGAAAATATGAATCAGTCGAAGATAATACGTAATTGTGGTGAGTTGGAAATAGAAAATTATTTCTTTTTTTTATTTTTTTTTCTTTTCACTTGAAAGTATAAATATATTATTCACTTTTCATATATAAGATGCCATCGATATAAGAAAAAAAAGTGTTAAAAGAATGTGTACATAACTTAACAATGCGTTCTAACAAACCGCCGAGCGGTTTTGATGCAAGCACGTAATTGAATTCTGCAAAACTATGGAGGGAAAAGAAAAATGTTTAATTAAAAATACAATAATAAAAACAATACAAAGTGCATAGATAATGAAAACAAAATCAATAGAAAAAGACAAAAGATATAATATTCGGGAAAGCAGATCGCTGCATAATTATTATTAAATATTATTATTATTAAATATTATTATTATTATTATTATATACAGTAAAAAATAACCTTCTTAAGTAATGATAAGACATTAATGTTTATTACTATTTTATTTTATTATAATTATTATTATTATTATTATTATTATTATTATTATTATTATTATTATTATTATTATTATGAGACAGTATCATCCCGAATATGAATTAATTTACAAAAAAAAGCATCAAACCAGAAAGAAATGTGATAAATATTTGAAAAACAATTATTGCTAGGGATTTATTTCAATTTAAAAGGTTTACTTGAGATGAAATATATTTTTCCTTTTTCGCCCAATTAAACGTTTTCATTTGATCTTAATTTTCAATTGTTGTACTCTAATATTTTTTTAATAATTCTTTGATGTGAATTATTGCAATGTAAATCTATATACAACTCTTTCGCTTATTTATATAAACATTTTATATAAATTTCTAAAAATTGACAATCGCTTGCTCTGATTGTGTCTAAATTTAAAAAAAAATTATAATTAATTTTTTTGTTTCGTTATATTTTATTTTCTTAGTTGTTGGTAGTAAATCTTTGAACCTTTTAAAATGAATTAAAAGAAAAAGTGGGATGAAAATAAATGAATGGTCAATAAAATTATCAAAAATCAAGTAAAAATATTAAAACAAATAAGTTTGGCATTTTTACAAAAAGAACTTTTGTAAAATTTTTATGAAAAAATCTTTATACTGAATGATTTTTTTACATAAAAATATACAGCGTTAGTATATTTTTTAGTGCGATATTAATCACAAAAACATTCATATAAATGCATTTATGCCGTTTTCGAATAAATAAACAAGCTTTTAAAATATTAGATAAAAAATGAATTTAAATTCATTAAAGACCAAATTTTGCAACGATGAAAAACAATAATAGTAATGAAATCTAGACTGGCAATTCACATTACTAATTAAGCCAAAACAAATTTTATGTAATAACAATTTTCTGATTCCCAATGCCTAGTAAAAATAATTGTGAAATGTGTATATAAGGAATTTGAAATTTAAGTGCCATTTGCTCACTCACTATTACCAATATTTCATTTAATATTTTTTTAATAAATGCATGTGACGCTTTTGTACTACTTATAGTAATTATGAGCGAGAAAGTGGCCTTCAGTTTGATATACAAATCTTGATAATTCCACATGAAAAAATGAAATAAACGTCAAATTCAAGAATCAACAAATTTTTGATACATTTCTTATAGATTAAACTTAAGGGTTGATTGCATCTACGAAAAAAGAGAGAACAATAAAAAAAAAAATTTTAAAAAAGTTATCAATCATTTATTGAATTATTACATGATAATTTTATTTTTTTTGTTCAATTTTGATAACAAAAAAAAAAATTTGATTTTTTAAGTTATTCAAATTGTAATTCAACAGCACAATTATTCACTTGAAGTATTTTCTTTTATTGCTTTAAGTTGACGAACAAGTGATGGAGTTGCGATGTCCAATGGAGTTTTACGGTCTTTATTTTCTATCTCAATATTTGCTCCATAAGTGACCAATAATCTAGCTTCTTGTTGACGATCTTCCTCACATGCTAAATGTAATGCAGTGTTTCCATATACATCCTTTGTATCTGAAATGAAAAATCAATTTTAAATTATTAATAAATCACAAAACAAGATGTAAGGTAAGTCAAAATATTCAATTATTAATTCACCTATATTTAAACGACTGCCTTGTTCCAAAAGCAATTTGAGAACTTCAATATTGCCTTTAGAAGCAGCTCTGTGAAGTGGAGTAGCACCCCTTTTATCAGTGATGTTAATATTCGCTCCACTTTCGATAAGTTTTTCACAAATAGTGAGCCAATTTTTACTGGCTGCATATTGTAATGCTGAATGCCCTTCAAAAGTCTGTAAATTTACGTTAGCTCCTTCATTTATTAAAGTTTCTACTACTTTATCTCGACCAGCTGATGCCGCAAGAATAAGTGGAGTCATATTTGTCTGAAATTGATAAATAATTTTAACTAACAAAAATGTTTATCAAAAATATTTAAAATTATAAATAAATAATAAACAATACTTAAAGGAAAATTATATAAAATTTGTGATTTTCGACGTTATTTCTTAATTCAAAATGGAGAAATATTTGTTAAACGAAAAAATAGTATATCGAGTACGAGTATACATTGTTATAGCAGTGACTGATTTTTTTTAATGAATTAATATTAATTTATTTACGCGCGCTTTTTTAGTTAATATTAATGCCATCAGAGTGTAAAAAACATTAAAAATGATGAAAACCAAATAGTTTATGAGTGTCATACTGATGTGTCCATTTGACATAATAATAAACAAAATAAAGTTTATAAATATTTACATCGTCTTCTGGATCAACAGGAACTCCCATAGATAATAAATCCTTTACCAAATCATTATGTCCACCCAATGCAGCCCAATGGAGTAACATGCGTCCATTCTGTAAATATAATTAAAAACAATATAATATGATGCTATTTTATTATTTACTTTTATATTTATTTTAATTAAGTCTTACACTATCAACTTTTGTTTTTAATGAATCATCATCACTAATACGATTTTTTACAGCCGTTGATTTACCATGATATGCCAAATCGTATATTGTAGATTCTTGTGCCATTTTTTAGGTTACAATCATGTACATATTCCAACAGTCATGTGTTAGAGCAGCTGTTCAACTAACATTGCAACAATCGGTCATTTAACTGATGTATTTGGGACGGTATTACAGATTAAAAAAAAAAAAAACATCATATGATGTTTTTAAGAGGTTTGAATTTCTAAAAAAGTACAAAGAAAAAGGTGTTTAAAAATAAACTCCAAATAAAATGGAACAATATTTATATACATCATGTGAAAAATGATAGTAGAGTCTATGTATTTCTAACTCTATTTCTTTTGAATCAATTTAGTTCAAAAATATTAAAATTGTTAGTATTATTGATTTAATTATTATTAATATTATTATTTATGATCATTTGAAATTATAAATAATATATGAACAATATCTATAAATACATGAAACCTATTGTACTCCGAATGGATCGTATTAGTTTGTACATTGGTAATATAAAAAAGGATTAAACACAACTTATTTGGATTAATAAAAGATTTAAGATAATACAAGGGGAGATAATAAAATAATAATCTATTAATGTACAATGTTTATTATTTACTCGAATGTAATTATACGTGAAGAAAAAATAAAACTTAATTATTAAATGAAATAAATACACTTTTTATGATAAAAAATACCATTTTGAATAATTTAATATTATAATTTATTTTAAACTCTGTCATTTATATTATGTTATAATATATATTATATATTACACACATATAATTTCAACCTTCTCTATTTCGATAAATGCTTTACAAATTGTATTTATAAATTCAATTATAATTACAACTAGCACACTTCTCTAATAAATAATGTTTTTATAAACTTATAATAAAGACAAAAAGTTGGCACATAACTTGGAACATCCACAAAAAATTATTTTACTTTTTTCATATTTCGACGCTCGTTTACATCAATTATACTCAAATTGATAGCGGCAACATACCCATGGAGAAGAGAAATACAAGTTTTCACGAATGCAATCGGTGTTGATATCCACAATAGAATCATGAATAAACTTTTTCCGAATACTGCAATATGATACATTATTATACAAAGTTTATTATTGAAGTAGAATATTGAATAATTTTATACATACTCAGTGGTCCTTCGGTAAAATGCAGAAAATACAAGATTGCATAGAACATCTCATTACCAGCACACATAATGAATAAAACTAATCGATTAGTATAATAGATACTCATGATTGGATTTTCTGACATATCAATGAATTTGTGAGAAGTCTTTCCTTGTAAAATTGTTCTGTAAAATATAGTTTTTTTAATTTAATTATAAGAAATTTGTAACTTTAATTTTGTACTTTTTTATCTATATCACAGTAAAATCAGAAAATTTACAGCAAGACTTTTATATTACACTACAGTGCAATGTAAATCCCGCCTACATAACTTTCGATTAGATTTAAATTCAATCGTGTAGGATTAGGTTTTATAATACTGACATTATTAAGTTATTGTAGATCTAAAAAATTTTTCTCAAAATGTATTAGAATAAATTAGATGAACACAAAGTTCACCAATAAAAAATAAATAAAGTAAATTCTATTTTCTTACGTATGGAAATAAATCCAGTGACAGGAAATGTCAATAGCCATGCTCAATTGAAACCAAAACGCGTATTTGGGGTAAAACATGCTTAGTGCAACTAATAAACACATTGTTCCAACTCGATCTGTTAACTGATCGAGCATACTGCCAAACTTAGTACTCTGATTGAAATATCTTGCTGCATGGCCATCGAATGCATCTAGTAGAGCACTGGTAATATAGCACCAACCAGCCACAACATAATTTGTTGGCATAAAATAGAAAGATATAATGGCAAGAACTACTCTTGCAAAACCTAAGAATGAAAACATACTAATTAGGCATTAAAATTCTACATCTCATATCACACTATTACATTAGTTTTTAGAATTTTAATTGCGAGATCTATATTTTTTACGACTCCAATGATTAATAAGCAAATTAAATTTTGTTTTTAAGATTGATTGAATTTATATAAATGATTTTTTTCTTGATGATAATATTGCTCAAATTTGTTTTTTATTGTACACTGGATGATAAAATATGATAAGAAATAGTTCATGATAGTAAAGTAAAAAAGCAAATAATTTTATGAAACCTTGATACACTAATTTAATTAATTAGCCTTTTTTTATTTTTATTTTAGCATAGTTAATAATTTCAATTTTTAATATTTATTAAGCTATTGTAATTTTAATTATAATTATTGTTTAACACATTAGAATTTACTAAAACTTTTTAACGTAATTTTTGATCAATTTCATGCAAAATTATGAATTATTTCATTAATTGTAAAAACTTATTTAAACTAAAATAGCGATTAATTATGACGTATTATTATTTTTATTTTCAAGATTTGAAATTTAAAAATTCTGAAAACAACAATCCAGTAAACTTAAAGTTTATTTGTTATCCTTACCGATTATGTTAGGAACAAACAGAAAAATGTTCTCACTCTCCATCGTATTCTTCAATGAAATTGAAGTAAAACAAATAAATGTTTGATAAATTTAACACGGCAAAAACATGAAGACTAAAATAAAACGGAGTTATTATATTATTGATTTTTCAACTACTTCGATTAAGTTATGTTTATAGAGAACCATGGAATATATAGAGAACAAGTTTTATCGGCAACTTTGGAGTTAACTTGTTCCATCTATCGCGAAAAAAGTAATAGAGAAGTACTTCTTTTTGCCATCAATAATTTCATGACATTGTCTGCAGAGTTGTAGGAATTTTTAACTCCACTATTAAGAGTTTAACAAATCCAAGAAACGGAATTATTAGAATCATTAATATAATTTTTATTAATTATGAAAGTATGAAATAAAAATAAAATCAGCAATTGCTTGTAAGTACAATTGCAAATAGTCCCTCAAGACAGAGTCTGGCAAGACGACGCCATATTGCTCGATTCCTGCCTAAAGTCGCATAGATAATTTCTATGCCCGGGTAATTTGAATTGGAACTTATTTATAGGATTTTACTGCAATTCATATTTTTATAGTCATTAAATATGAAACTTATTAAAATATAGTCCAAAGCACTAATCTGTTTTTTTCGTGATTTCTTACAAAAATAGTATAACGGCTTGTATTGCTTTTAGTAAATATATCTTTTATTATATATTATTGTTTAAATTGCAGTACGCTCAATTTGAATCTCTTTGAATTCCATAATCTGCTAATGGGTTGAACAATTTTCGTTGCTGATACAAATTGCATGTATAACACGTTTATTGAAATTTATTAACAATTTCATTTCCTTTCTCCTGTTGTCTGACAATTATTTATATAGTCATACTTACGTTCTAATTAAATATTATGCATTTAAATAAATGTAATGTAATCATTTGTTTTAATAACTTTTTTATTTGTAAAAAAAAAAATTTTCAATAAATACATATGATGTATAAATACCAGCAATGTAAAAACACTCATGTCATTCACATAATTTAAAAAATTATTAATTTACGAGCTTATGTTTATTGAATCAGTATTTACCATTATTCTATCCGGAATAATTTTTTTTTATCACAAAATTAATTAATTAAAAATTTACTCATTATTAGGCAATCAATTAAACCGATTATTATTTTCAATTGGTTAAATATTTCTATTCAGTACATTTCTATTCATTTTTTGAGACCCAGTGATTACTAATGGTCATGTAGTTACTGTTATAATAAACATATGTATATATATATATGTTCTTATTTATACTCGTTATACAACATCCCTTTTGAAACTGTATCCGCAATTTCTTTGGTCAATAAATTTTCAACGATTGCCAATCCAAAAGCGAATGCTGTTGCTGGTCCTCTACTGCTTATGATATTTCCTACAAACAGTAAATACATTTTCATATTATCATTAAACTAATTATTCAATATACTAAAACTGAGCAAATTCTAACTTTAACAGAACAATTAGTGAAAGTCTCTACATGTTTTATTAGGAGTGAGGCGTAAGTCTAAAGAGTACGTACTATCCAGCACTAACATCATATCAATGGAAAATGACTCAAATAATTGTTTACCATCTATGACAACAGCTTGGTCCTCGTATTTATAATAATCAGCCAATTGACTTTTCATTGATGGATAACAAGTAATTCTCGATCCTTTCCCAATCTCATGATTTTTCAATGCTGTAGGTGCAGCACAAATAGCAGCTATGGTTTTGCCTTCGCTTTTTTGACGTTGGAGTAATTCACCAACTTCTTTAGACTAAAATTTGAGAAAATAAACGTTGTATATATAATTTACAACATTGAATATTTTTCTTTTATAATATTACTTTACATAAATTAAAAAAATTCATATTTTCGAAAAATTATTTCACAACTAAGAGTATTATTAAAATTATTTCATATGATAATATCTTACATCTCCAAGAGCTTTTGAACCTCCCAATCCACCGGGAAGAATAACAGCATCAAAAGATTGATTTTTGATATCTTGTAATTTAGCATCAGCACAAATTTTTACCTCTCGGCTACATGTCACGCATTCGTTTCCACTTACACTTGCAATGGTAACAACGATCTAGAAGGAAAAAACAATTTATTTACATTATTCGTAAGTATCAATACAAAGTACATAATGGAAGTATAAAATTATTTTTTTGTAAGGTAAACTTTACTCCGGCTCGTCTCAAAATATCAGCAGTAATAACAGCTTCCATTTCTTCAGCTCCATCAGCAAGAAGTAAAACAGCAGTTTTTTGAGCCATTGTTCTCGTACAAATATTAGCAAATGATGTTCTTGCGACGAATTTTTGTCGAAACTATCATACATAAATAAATATATGGATTATAATCAGTACATACTTCATTAATGTTTTATAAGCAGTTATCTGTTATGTAACTTTATGATTTTGATTGAATATTATTATTAAATTTGAAAATAATAACAAATTAAATAAATATTAAATATTCAAATTAGTTACCACAGGAATTGAACAAAACAAATGTGATATTTTCCTCAAATTCATGAATTTGTGTAAGTTTACATGAAAAATACACATAGAAATAGCGTAGTTAGATGCTTTATTTATACAGTACAATTTAGGCGCTATTTTCGAATTATTTAGATTTTAAACACCAAAAATAGTGATAATTAGATTTCTTTAGTTATAAAAATTTTATTTCATGCATCACCTAGATCATTAGAACGTTTCTAAGTGATTGTCAACCATAAATCCTTTAAAAATGAAGTTTTATCCTCAAATTGAAGTTATGTAATTTATAAAAAATTTTTTAAATATTAACAAATGTCATAATCACTCAATGAAATGGCATGAAATTTTGTCAATATCTTTTATAAAACAGTGATAACAATATTTGTAATATTTAAACAATCTTGTATCGATAAGTATTCTAACCTTACTTGTGTTTTTAATGATTCATTCAAACTGCGTGAATTTAATAATATTTTTTATTTTATTTCATCATAATAACAGACTTATTATTTATAAAAAAAAATCTTTACTGTTACAGATTGACCAATAAGAATTGATAGATTTTTTGTAAAATGCACTGAAGAATTATTCGGAATATAGAGTAATCATTTTTCAATATAAAACAAAGGTAATATTATTGTACTTTTCTATGTATTAGATATCAATGAAACAATTAATTGTAGATTTTATTTTAGATTCATTTATAATGCACCAATTACATTAATAAAAAAATATATTTGTGAAGTCATCATTGTTATTACCTTCGATTGAAAAATTTTTCAGAAATCACTACATTCTACCAAAAAAAAGATAATCATAGCGATTATGAAAAAGTTCAATCCTCTTAACTATTTTAATAATATCAAACTGATTTCATCTTCTTCCGCGTATCAAAAAATAATATCAAGATGTTTTTCTAAGAGTTCTACAATGAAAAACGCTGTCAAACTATCGACAACTCTTTATACTTCACCAAATACAGCACCTTTGAATGAATTATCACCAGTAATTATAATGCATGGTTTATTTGGATCCAAAAATAACTGGAATAGTCTTGCTAAAGCTATCAATCAACAAACAAACCGTCAAGTGATTACTGTTGATGCTAGAAATCATGGTGAGTCTCCACATTCATCAGAAATGACTTATACTTCAATGGCTGAAGACGTTAATCAATTAATCCATACAATTGGTGTTGATAAATCAATATTAATTGGTCACAGCATGGGAGGTGCAGTCATGATGTGTACAGCATTAAATCATCCAAATCTTACAGATAAACTAATAATCGTTGATATGTCTCCTATTAAAACTAGTCCTAGTCTTTATGAAATGACTAAAATTATAGATGCTTTACAAAGAATTAAATTTGAAAACTATCACACTCTCTCTGAAGCACGAAAATCTACAGACAAGTTACTTTCTAGTACTATTGAATCAGTATCTTTAAGACAATTCCTACTTACAAATATTTCTGAAATTACACCAGGTCAATATAAATGGAGAGTTAATTTACCAGTAATAGCTGAAAATTTTTCCACCAATATCGCAGTGTTTCCTCAGTTAATTCCGAAATTAAAAAATCAATCATTTGATGGAAAAACTTTATTTATTGCTGGTGGAAATAGTGATTATATTAGAGTTGAAGATGAAGAAAATATTAAAAAATTATTCTCTAATGCCAAAATTCATTACATCGCGAATGCTGGACATTGGGTTCAATCAGATAACCCAACAGAATTTTTGAAAGTTGCCTGCAGTTTTATCAATTCTGATAGATAATGAAATATCGATTGATCATCATATTTTCTACAATAAAATAATTGTTTTATTCTAATAATTAATTATACGATATTTGTTAAATGTTGTAACTTGAAATTATTTTATACAACTTAATTTTGATCTTCTAATTATATTCTTTGAAAAAATGTATAAAAGTATTAAAAATTTGTTGAAGTAAATTGGAAAACAAAATAATTCATAGAGTTCAGTAATATAAAAATATTTATTGAATAAATATAAAAATAACAATACAATAAACCATTTGTTTGATAGATTAACAACATTTTTATCCCCTTTTTATTTGTTCATTTACATTTAATATAAAAACAACATATTTTTTTTTCAATTTATAGTTTTGAATTGGGTGACATGACTATATCTTTCAAGTCAATATAAGCTCCAGCAATAACTGGAGAATTATTTTCAACAACAATTGTTTGAAAATGAATCCTTTTATTTTCTCTCCACATCTCTGTACGTAATGTTTGTCCAGGAATGACGGGCTTAACAAATCGCACTTTTATAGAATCAAATAAATCAGGATTACCTTGAGCAAATATTTTCAATACATGACGGGTTGCAAAACCAAGTGAGCAAAGACCATGAAGAATAGGATGATCAAAGCCACCCATTGCTGCTAAATTAGGATCAATATGTAGTGGATTCATATCTCCACTAGCTAACCTATAAATTGCTGCTTGATCAACACTGGTTTGTTGAGTATACGATGCATCTGGTTTTCTTTTTGGTGGTTCAATTGTTGGAATTTCATATTCTGAATTTCTTTTACCACCAAAATTACCTGCACCTTTTATTACTGCAACTAATTGTCCTGTTGTCAGTTTTTCTCCAGTTTTTACATCCAATGTTTCATGTTCTACTAAAACAACTGCACTTTTCTCTTTATCAAGGGTCGTTTGAAGTCGAAATCTTGTCTCAACTGTAGCCTCTGTGGGAATTTTCTTCAATATCTTCATATACTGCTCACCATGTAAAGAACCAGCTATATTTATATCTGTATGAGATAAAGCTTTTTGGAAAAGATCAGAAGATAGACATCCAAGTGGACCGTAAATAACATAAAAAGTTGGTACAACAGCAAAATTATCATGATTCTCATAAATATAAGGAAAATCATAAGGATCTTTAATTGTAGCTCCAACTGCAAGAGCGTACAGAATTGTATCTTTAGGAGTATAACTGTGCTTAAAAGTGTAATAAGAACTATTAGTTGATTTTTCACTTGACAATGATTCTAAAGCTCCCATTAATTCACCAGTGACTTCAGTAATTGTATTGTAATGTTGAGCATTGGTCATATCAGTAACTTTATCCCAATTGTCACGAACATTTTCAGGAGTAACAGAATCGTTTATTGTTTTACGTAAATTACATCCATTCGATCTTACTAGATAACACTTTCCAGCCCATCCTAAAGCTGATTCAATGATTGATCCGTTTTCTGTACACTCTTCATGACATAACCACAGGACAACTGGAGATATCAATTCAGGTTTTAATTCTTTAAAAAATTCAGGAGGTACAATGTCTTCAGTCAATCTTGATCCAGCTGTTGGAATTATAACATTAGTATTTATTCCACTTGATTGTCCTTCAATAGCTAAAGTATTTGCTAATCCAACAAGAGCCATTTTTGCAGAGCTATAATTTGCCTGTCCAAAATTGCCATATAACCCACTATTACTTGATGTAAAGATAATTCGTCCATACTTTTGTTGCCTAAAGAATGGCCAAGCTGCTTTGGTAGCTTTCATCGCACCTTTTACATGAACGTCCTGTATTAAATCCCAGTCTTCTTGAGTCATTTTGGCAAACGATTTATCACGCAGAATACCAGCATTATTTACAAGAATGTCAATTCTTCCAAAATTATCAATAGCTGTTTTAATAATTTTATCTCCATCAAGAACATTATCGTAATTAGCAACAGCATGACCTCCTAGCGATTTAATTTCGTTCACGACAGAATCAGCTATCTTTTTATTACTACCGTCTCCATGTCTACCTCCTCCTAAGTCATTAACAACGACCTTTGCACCTCTTGATGCAAATAAGAGAGCGTAAGCTCGTCCTAAACCTGCACCTGCTCCTGTTATGACAACTACACGTGAATCAAATCTTAGTTTTGACATTTTTTTAAATGTGTAGTTATTTTTACAACCTGAAAAGAAAAATGAAATCAGAAATGTTAAAAAAAACTAGTCTTTGAGTTCAATTTGAACTTTACTCTTAATAATAATCAAATTAATATTTTTTTTACCTTGTTCCTTTTTAATATTGAATAACTATTTTTGAAGTATTCTTTATTGGTACTTTCGAAAGTATAAATCACTTTCTAATTTAAAATATTATTTACTTATTTGATCAGTTGAAGAAGGAAATTAAAAGATACTTGAATGAGTTGTCAACTTTGTTTTCTTTTCAAGTTTTGGAGTGTACTTGCTCTATACTTTGATAGGAGTTATTACTCATATCTATATATTCGTATCGTTTGTATACTCATCGTATAGCAATAGAGAGAGAGAGAGAGAGAGAGAGAGAGAAATATGCATGATAGTTTCGCTTCTCTGTGCATTATATGTTACTGTTGCAAAAAATGCCTCTTCGTTCCATTTAATGAAAGCGGAATATTTAAATCAATAATAAAGAATATGATTATTATTGATTAATTAATGGCAAATGGTAATAAGAATATATTTCACATGATTAACCAATTTTAATTTAAAGATTCATAATCATTGTGATACTGTCTTTATTATCATTAAAAAATATTGTATAAAGAAAATTATATCCAGCTTTTGCAAAATATTTAGTTAAAACCTATCAACACCAAAAATTAAAAAAAAATTTTATTATGTTTTATTTAATAACTAAATGATGGCTTTTTTAATAAATAAGTTCACTATGAATGAATATTTTTTAAATACTTCGGACAATAACCTAAAACATATTCATCTACTACAAATACTCTGATATTATTTTAGTTTATACTAAATTGTAATTTAATACTGTTATTTATTTAATTTTTACGATTACATGTAGTATTTTTAATAATTTCACTTAAAAAATGATATGAATATATTTTTGATATATTCGAAAATATAAAAAACAATAATAATAATAATAAAGTATATAGACTTTAATCTAACTCTTACTTTTAACTTTTTTCTATATATTTATAAATAACCCAAAAATGTTTTGTTTTTTAAAATTATTTCGGAGGTGATTTAAATATCTCTGTCGATAAATATACATGATTCAATTGGAGTAATTTATTAATAATAGAAACATCTGGAATGTGAAATAATAAAATAGGAATATGTTGGAAACGGAGCGCACCCCCACAAAAGAAAAACGAAACAAACGCAGTACAAGATGGCGACGTTTGGGTGTTGTGGCTGTTGAATACGTGCAGGGTTACGCTACTTAAGAAAAAATTATAACAAATTCATATTTTATGTTATAATAATAGTCTAAAAGATAACATAATTAGTGCCTCACAAATTTCAATAAGAAGATAATAGAAGAAATATCAAAATAGTCAGTAAATAAATGGTGAAGCAAAGTGACGGAGAAACAATGCGAGATCATCGTTGAATTACCAATAAAGCTCCGGTAAGTTTTCATTCATGAATTTTATGAACTCTTTACTGGAAAAGCTTCTAAGCAATTTTCATGAATTATTTTAAGGTTAGAATCAGTGTTTATTGCAGTAGAAGTATTGATTTTTTTTCATAATAAAAAAGCATAGCTTTGACATCATATTTTTGCCATTCGTGTGTGACTCGCGTTGCTTCCCTTATGAGTTTCCTATACATGTATTTATTAGAATATATAGTCCTCTTTCGTTCCTTTTGTCTAGCCAATTATGCTTTAATATTACTTTTTAAATGTCCCATTATTTGAGAAAGTAAAAATATTTTAATCACTTTTCAATTACATTTATTTATTTTATTGGATTGAAAAGATTTTTAAGTCTGCCTGTGTCTTTCACCGTGACTAATAACCACATAAAAGGGTAATTATCATTTGAAAATAAAAGGTATAACTGTATAAGTCGAGAATAAGTATTTGAACCTTTGCCGGACAAATAAATAATTGATTTAGTTGAAAAAAGCTAATGGCTCGTGTTATACATTTATTTTATTGGCTATTGATTAAATAATTAATTCATTTTAATAATTTATTAGACCCGCATGCAACAAGTCCATCGAATGTATATGTGCATCTTTATCGTAAATTTCTTATTTGATTTTAATTTTTCATTATGTATGTATTTTGGACCAGAAAAAATTAATTTTTTTTTTATTAAATTCTTTATTTATTTTTTATGATAAAATTCAAATATTTAACGTTGTTTATGGATTATAAATTTACATCGTGGTTCAGGGGGTGGATATTGTTTGATACTGACAAAATAACCGGAAGAGATCGAAGCCCAGTCGATAACACTGGAGAAAGACGGTGGAGCTTCGGAGGAGGGGGAGATGTCCGCTGGCACCCAGGGCGAGATTCGGGTCGGTCCATCGCACCAGGTTTGACAATTCATTCCAACAAATCCTCATTTTTTTTTTCTCTTCAATTTTAATTTTTCATTGTATTTTATTTATCATCAAAAAATTTTATTTATTTCAAGATTTCTAAATTCCAAAAAATTTTATTATTTTTCATTTCCTCAAATTTTTCTTAAAATTACCCTTCCGATCGAGGCTTGTTGGATCATCTTCATGGCGAAAGAGGCAGGTGGATTCTAAGATCGAATTCGATGGTTCAATTAACCAGAAATGGCAAAGGATTCTGTGGTTTAGTCACGGTGGAAAATCAAATAAAATAACAAATATATGTATATATATATATATATATTTTTTTTTAAAGAACGTTATTTGAACCGTCTTTATTCTCATGTCCTTCGTCGATTGCTCCAAGCAAGCCAATGACATTAATGATGGTATTAATAATTTAGTTGAAAAGTGGTAAGAATATTTTATCATATTAAAAAAATGAAATTTTTATAATTACACTTTATACTTTAATTTAATAAATTGAAAATCGAAAAAATTCTAAACGTCGATATTTACATAATGTCTAATGTCTAAGATTAAATAGAATTATTTTATATTGCCACTTTAAAACAGAATTACTTAATACGTAAAACTATGAACTAATAAAATAAAGATAACAATTTGACAGTAAAAAGAAACTCAAATAGACTGTTGATAATTCTATACTTTTGTGGCATCGATTGCTAACGGTGCGCAATTGAAAACTTCTGAATACAGGAATTGGTTTCTTGTCAGGCTCGATTGCCTGAATATCGTCCTAGTGTGCCACCAGCCGACCTCTTGCCGGACCCCGAATTTTTAAAGGAAAGAGAAGAATTAAGATGGATCCCAGCAATGTCATTGGATGGCGATCTGCTCATGTATTTAAGAGCAGCACGTTCCATGGCAGCATTTGCTGGAATGTGTGATGGAGGATCTCCGGATGATGGTTGCGTCGCAGCGTCCAGAGACGACACGACTATCAACGCACTCGATATTCTACACGACTCTGGATATGATCCAGGACGAGCCCTTCAAGCTCTTGTCAAGTGTCCAGTGCCCAAAGGCATCGATAAAAAATGGTCCGAGGAAGAAACTGTATGTATTAATTATTTCTCTAGTCTAAATGAAACAAATCGATAGAATAAATTGATGGCTAATTATATTCATTGTTTTTTTTAGAAACGATTTGTCAAGGGACTTAGACAATTTGGAAAAAATTTTTCTCGAATCCGTAAAGATTTATTACCCCACAAAGACACTCCAGAGCTTGTGGAGTTTTATTACTTGTGGAAAAAAACACCAGGCGCCAATAATAATCGCCCACATCGACGTAGACGTCCAGGTTCATTACGTAGAATTCGTAATACAAGAAATTCTCGTGCGGGTACTCCAAAAGAGGAGACACCCGCTCCTAGCAAAGAAAATACCCCCGCAAACACGACGAGCGCCAAGGAAGCAGCTACTGAGCCTGAAACACCGTCTGTCGGTGCTTCGGCAAGTAGTAATAATAACAATAACACAAGTAACAGTAATAACAATAATAATCCTGGTGGTGAAGTTAGTTCTGTGACAGAAGACGATAATTCCGAAGAAGATAGTGATTCGAGAGATACAAATACTAACGGGTCAGCATTTGAACGCTCTTGTCAACATTGTTCTTCAACCACATCAAAAGATTATCAGGTAGCAGGAAAAGATAGACTCTTACTTTGCTTGGAATGTCGTTCACACTTGAAAAAAACTGGAGAATTACCTCCAGCGCCGCCTTATCTGTTTCGACCCGTACCTGCGGAGTCGCCAGATAGTCCGGGTAGGATGCGGACACGTAACAAAGCGAAAGAAACGCCGCGACCAGCTCGACCACGTAGAATTGGAGGCACTGATACTCCTGATCAAGAAAAGCAACAGCAACAAAATCAGCAAACCCCTGATAAAAAGAAAAAATCAAATAATAAATCAGAAACACCTAAAAAAACGCAAAAAAGGCCGCCAGTTGATGACAACGACGACGATAAAGAAGGACAAAAGAGAAAACGTGGAGAACGGCCAGAAAGTCCTTCAGAATCATTAACTACTGACTCAAATTCTCTGATGGATGAACCAGAGAGAGAAAACGAAGTTGATTCTAATGAGAATCAACAATCTAATGCTCCGATTGCGAGCGAAGAGCCTATTTCACCGATCGAAACGACACCTGAAGATACCAATGAACCCACACCCACTTCAACACCTGTTCCTACCGCGGTATCGAACTTGCCAATTACTGTACCGGTAATTCATGCTTTAGAAAAGAAACCTGTTATTGAAGAACCGTCGCCTGAAGTCAAAACTGAACCAGAAGATTCCCCATTGAGTCAACCGGTTCAATTAAAATTAGAACCTATTAGTACAGAAATAGAACCACCTCAAGCTCTTCCTTTGAATATGCAATATCCTTCAAATATTCAAATGAGTTCTAAATTAGAACCCATTTCCACAGAGGTAGAACCACCTCAAACTCTTCCTTTGAATATGCAATATCCTTCAAGTATACCGCCAGCTCAAACAGTTCCCCAAAATCTATCTCAGAATATTCAAATTCCTCAAAGTATTTCACAACCGATTGCTCAAAATTTACCGCCAGCTCGGGAAATGATTCCACCACCGACAATCACAAATCATTCAGAACCTCAGGCGTTAACACAAAATATATCAATGCCACCATTGAATTTAAATATTCCACAAAATCTGTCTCAAATGCCACCATCACCTCAGCCTTTAGGATTAACAACTATGTCGACTGACAATCGGATGGCTGAAAGAATTAATGAAGAAAGAATGGCCGAGAGAAGAATTCCCGAAAGGATGTCCGATAGATTACCAGAAAGAATAGAAAATAATGAACAGGATAGACCTTCGGAACCTTCAAATCTCTTCCAACCCATTCAACCTACTCCAATAATGCAAAATGAAAAACCTTCAGCCATTTATAGTTTAGCAACGACACCTCCGATGGAACCACAAAATTTGAAAATCAAGCAAGAAATAATTCCTTCGGAGCCAGATCCTTTACAAAGTTTAAAAGAAGTTAAGGTGCCTGGATTTCAAGGTGGCTTTCCTGGGCCAAGTTTGGAAAATATTAAAAAAGATCCTGATGCCGGAAAACCACCAACGCCAAGCAAACATTCACATTCAAATCAATCGTTGGTTTCTCAACAACAACAATCTGTACCGATTCAACAATCAGTAGCAGCATCTCCAACGCCTCTACCTCCTCCTACGTCGATTCCTCAACCTGTGATGCATCCAAGTCAACAACCAAGTCCTCATATGGCTCACCCATTCCATCCTCATCATCCTCTGATGCATCATTCATTATTTGCCGCAATGCACCCATATCATACTCCTTATCCTGGTTATCCTCCGGTTGGAAGTTATCCGTCTTTTCCTCCTTATGCTTATGGACCACCAGTTCCTCATGCTATTCCACCACCTCAACGAAGTCAAGAAAGCACAACAATGATGACTGCTCATCATTCAAGTACCAGCTCCAGTGTTACGACTCGTGAAGAGGGCGAAAATTTAATAGCAACGCATCATCACTCTTCCAGCCTTCATCAAGCAGCGACTCTTCATCACGACAAATTGCTTATATCATCGCATTCATCGCACAGTCATTCTTCATCGCACAGTTCCCAGCACAATAGTCAGAGGAAGCCACAAACAATGGTCTCTGCATGTTTAACGCCAAGCAGTTCAGTACATCATCATCATCGCGGACCTCCAACATCACAACCCAGTGTACCATCACAACCAGCAGCTATTATCGAACCTAAAGAAGAAATTGAACCAGAACCTGAAGAACCACCAAGTCCACGTGGGCCATCCCCAGAGCCTAGAATTGAAGATTCTGAATGTCATAGGTCGCAGTCGGCTATATTTTTAAGACACTGGAATCGTGGAGAAAACAATTCTTGTACTCGAACTGATTTAATGTTTAAACCAGTGCCTGATTCAAAACTAGCTAGAAAAAGAGAAGAAAGATCAAGAAAACAGGCGGAAAGAGAAAGAGAAGAACGAGATCGTGCTGCTCAACAAGCCAGAAAAATGTCAACGCCTGAGAAACAGCCTGAAGTTTGTAAACCACCCAGTCGGGGACCAATGGAACCAGTTGTTTCGCCTTATGACAGATATGCAGCTCGTCCAGGTGCCTATGCAGATACTCCAGCTTTAAGACAGTTATCAGAGTATGCACGGCCGCATGCGGCCTTTTCTCCAGCTCGTCATCCAGCACCTCCGGATCCAATGCTTCATTACATGTACGGGCCTGGTGCAAGAGAAAGATTGGAGTTGGAACATATGGAAAGAGAGAAAAGAGAACGGGAAATTCGAGAGTTACGTGAAAGAGAATTAAATGATAGGTTAAAAGAAGAATTATTGAAAGGAACTCCAAGACCAATGCCTGCTCCAGTTGATCCTCATTGGCTAGAAATTCATAGAAGATATGCTGCAGCTGGCTTAGCGCCTGGACCTTCGGGTCCTCCGCAAGGATTGCAGCATTTTGGACTTTATGGAGCACCACCGGGTCCGAGTCAATTGGATCGAGAACGATTAGAAAGATTAGGTAATTTTTCAGAAAGTTTTTGGAATTATTCTATATAACTCTAGAGCTTTGGAATGAGGATTAGAATGAATCTTGTGGTGAATGGAGAGTGGAATGGCTATCGGTAAAACATAAGGTAAATGTACATCTCACCGATTATAAAAATCAACATTTTAATGGTTTTTTTTTTTTCATTTATTATTGATATTGATTTAAGTAAAAAAATATTTAGTACTATCGTATATTGAAAAATTATCTTTCTTCAAAAATGAATTCAAACTATAAGATAACGATAAATTGATATTTTACTTGTTTTAGATTGAACAATTAGTTATTTATTGCCACTAGTAATTGATTTTTTTTAAACATAAAAATTTAAATTATTATTTAATGAAGACACAGATAGCAATTATTAAAACTACTACTTTTAATGAATTTATTAATTTTTTCGATTTTGCTATAATCTCCAAAAAGAATTCCTTCTGAAATAACTTCCAGTCATCTATTATTTTTATAATATCACAGAGATTCATTTTAAAAAGTCCTTGAAATTTCTTGAGATAACTGTTTTTTCTTTGTAATTGAAAAAGTCTAAATTACTGCAATTATTATTTCTTTATTTCTTCGGCAATTGGATTAACTATAATTAACAGATAAAACTTGACTCTTTGAAAATGAAAGAAAGAACAGATGTCCAACAATACTTGCTTTGAAAGTTAGCTTCTTTTTTTACACAATGCTTTTTATTATATTAAGAATATTTATTTTCATTATCAAGTTTTGAAAGAGATTACTATTTATTGAAATATTCATGGACATTCAGCCCAATACTGTTTCTTTCATTCTGATCCAAATTATATACAAAGAGTATTTAAAGGGGTAATCTATGAAAATAAACAGTTTGTATAATACTTTATCATTTTTTATCATTATTAGTAGAAATACGATAGTTTTATGAGTATTATATGATACAAAATAATTTTATGGGGTGATAATGTAACATTATATAGTTGTTGATAGTATTGAATTACACATTCAATATATATAAATTTTCATTCAATGTATCCAAAATGTTATTTACTGTTTTAAAATATGATTAGATAGGTAATAATAAAAGTATACTATGTATGTAAATGTTTTCTAAACATACATCAAATGTTGATAAATTTAATCCGAACACAGTGTTGGATAAATTTTTAATGTGTGATAAATAATCAAATTTAGTCACATAATATTAATCTCATTAGTTGAATTTAATCACTAAAATGAACTTAGTATCTAAGAGACTAGTAAATGGTGTTGACAGAATAATCATTAAAAAAAGTCACCAAAGACTTGTAAATCAGTCAGTAATCGGTGAAGTGTACATTTGCCTGTTGTTAAGTTAACGAAAAGAAAAAAGAGAAAGAAAAGAGTGTTGACATTGGGTCCGTTGATGTGCGGGTCTAGGGATTCCCACTGGAGCCGGCGGGGGGCCAGCGGGCGCAGGGGCCGGCCATCCTGTGGCACATCATCATGGCCAGCTTGATGAGCGCCTGGCTCTGGCTGCCGACCCGATGGTCCGGCTGCAGATGGCTGGCATCTCGCCCGAGTATCACGCTCACACTCACGCGCATACGCACGCGCATACCCACTTGCACCTACATCCAGGACAACAACAGGCCCAGCAACAAGCACAGCAACAGCAGGAAGCGGCTGCCGCTGCCGCTGGATTCCCCCTGCCTGGTATGTCTCCCTTGCCAGACCACTCAAAATTTTCAAACAATACACCCGCAATCCTTGGTTTTACTTCAATTCTTTTTCCTCAAGCTAAAACTCTCATCTTCACTCTGTTTTTAACATCTTTTATTTCCTTTTATTGTTCAAATATTTTTGAAGCATTTAAATGATAAAACCAGCAACATAGGTTTTGATTGATTTAAGAAAAAGAGTAAAGATGAAATTCGTTTTAGCTCGTCGGCTTTTCTAACATTCAGGGAATGAGTGAGATGAAGCGAATGAGAAAAAAGTCTATATTATTATAATTTATAAATTAGTAACTGATTGTTTGAGTATTAAACTATTTTTTTTTTTATTAATAATTTACTTTCTTTGTTTATTTTAGTGCTAAATCTGATTTATTATGAGAATATGAATGATATTAAACTGAATGAATGACAGTTTTATAGCACTAATAATAAACTTGCTTAAATTACGAACGAATAATCGTTTAACAACTTATTTATATTAAGTTTTTTTTTTACATTTTTCATTATTTTTAGCATAATATAAATGATGAATGTAAGGCCTCTAAGTATGAATTTTAATCATTTCATTTAACAATTGACAATTTTTTATAAAATTAAAAAACAAACAAACATTATAATTTATTTATTCAAAATTTGTATAAAAATTATTTTAATATTTTCTTGTAAAAGTGGTGAAAATGAGATGTGGTGTTCTTTCAGAATGTGTAAATTCTGTATACAAAAATAATTAATTTTAATCGATTGAAAAAGAAAATGGCAACGATCAGTCAATTGTTAGCACTGAATGGGAAAATTATACTTATATGCCAATTTGAATAAGTTTATTCTTTATCGAATCTTTTTTTATATTTTTTCATCAAAAATAGCAGCTGCCGGTGCTAATTATCCTCGACCAGGAATGATGCAACGGGATCCAACGCTTGCTCTACATCCAGCTGAATTGCTCGGACGTCCTTATGCTGACATGGCTGCAGCTCATCACGAACAATTTCAACGTCATCTAATGATGGAACGTGAAAGATTTCCATCTCATGCTTTAGTTGCTCATCATGAAGAGTATATAAGGTTCGTGCCTTAAGATAATCGAGAGGAAAGTGAAGAAAAATGGATTACAAAGACTAATTAACTAGTTAATTATAACTACATTGTTCAACTAATGAATATCAATTAAATGATTGACTTAGAGAAGAAATAAAAACTAATGATGATGAAAAAAGTGAAATGAACATTATAAAATTAAAGGTAAAGGATTTTCAAGAAAAATACAACTAATAGTATTTTTTTTTAGACAACAACGTGAACGTGAGCTCAAAGTTCGTGCCCTGGAAGAAGCAGCACGTGGATCACGACCTTAAGATCGCTCTCGTTCATCCATAGATTTTATTAAAACAATAACATTCAACTTCTTCATCCTGGAACATACACCATTGAAAATGAATAAATGAGTAAATCAATTAAATAATTGATTGAATGAATCCTTTAAAAAATTGTTCGATAAATATTTTATAATTATGTTATAAAAATTAACATTTCTAATAATATTTTTTACTAATAATAACTTTTTTTTTAAATAATCGTTCGGTTAACTAGTTTCTCTTAAATTACATAAATTTTGCATTTTGTTCTATAATGTGCTATCATTTCTTTTATTCTGAATTCCAGAACGAAGAAGTAGAATTTTCAAATTTTTTTCTTACAAGATAAAACTATTTACATATATAAAGTATAAATATATAAATATGAATTATATAAATATATTGTGACGTTTTATGACTATTTAATATGTTAATTAGTCAAACGTCGTGTAATATGTCCAGTGTAAATATGAAAAATAATGAAAAGTAAAAAAGAGAAAGAATTAATGAACGAGAAATTAATCAAACAAAATTTTTTTTGTTGATGAATAGTTTATGGTTTATCAATTATTAATAAATAGTAATTGATTAATCAATTCTCTTGGAAGATTACTATTATATAAAATCTAATTTTTTTAGACACTGATGTATTTGTAAATTTCACTTTTAAATGAATTCATTTATTTATAAATTGTGTAAGTGTGAATTTTTTAATGTAAAATATCCTAGGATTTTTGTTTTAATATTAATAATAATATTAATAATAATAATGATAACAATATTAATATTAAAAATAATTTTCATTATTAGAAATAAAATTTTCGACAAAAACCCTATGGATTTTATTAGTAAATTTAAGTCAATTTTTAGAATGAATTTTAATTCCTTTAATTCTAATAGCACATTTTTATCTTACGTGAATAGGAAAAGGTCTTTTTTAAACAAATTATTTACTTAAGTCATAAATAAATATTCTTTTCTTTTTTCTTTGTTAATATATAATTTTCAACATAATTCATAATAATATCATGTAATTTATTTTTTTTTAAATATAAATTACAATGTGAGATGTTTCAAAAATTAGAAAAAAAGTAAAGAAAGAAGAAAGAGGAGAAATTTTCATATATCCATATATTTTTATTCTATTTCTTCGTTTCTTTGTCTTTTTTCCTTTTTTAAAAAAATTTTATTACTTTTTAACTCTTTTTTTCTCTCTTTGCAATTGTTGTGACTAAAAAGAAAATATAAATTTTGGGTACGTGTAAATTGTATGAGCTATTTAAAACAAAAAAAGGAAAAAACCCAAACAAAAAACAACAAAAAAATATTCTATGTAATCTAGCTGTTTAAAATAAGTAAAAAAATTTCTTACAAACAATGCATATTTTTTTTTTATTTTTCACTATCTTTTCTTTCTTCATCTTATTAATTATTGAATGTTATAAAATGTATATATATATATATATATATACATATGTCTATTAGATCAGTATCAATTATAATTTGTTAAGCAGATGCGACGTTTTTGTAAGAGTTCACAGAGTGTAGTTTTGTTTTTATTAACATGAGTAATGTGAAACTCAGCACTTCCTACTGACATTTAGGCAAAAAATGTAAAAAAATTTATGAAAAGTGGGGGAATTCTAGACCATCCTCTTGTTAAAACTTGAAGATGATTTTCATACTCATTTTTGTTCTACTTCTGTTCACTTTCGTCTCTATAAATATCTTTTTAAACTTTTACTTTTATTTTAATAAAAGCCATTATGTTGAACAGATCAAACTATTTGTTATAAAAGAAATTTAACAAATTGACATAAATGTTTTAATATTCAAGAAAAATTGTAAAAAATGACGGATAAATGGAAAGAAGAGCCAATAAAGCAAAGACACAATGCCAATGCGAGAGAAAGAGATCGTACTTTCAGGTAAAATAAATAAAAATCACTGTTAATTAATTTATTGTAACGTAGAGTAATTTAATTGTAGTTTTGTATTATTTATGTATAACACGGTAGAATAAGTAATAATGTTTAGAAAAAAAAATATTAAATTTTTTCTAGTGTTAATATGGCATTCAACACATTGAGAAATTTAATACCAACTGAACCTGCTGATAGAAAATTATCGAAAATTGAAACTCTGCGCCTTGCTAGCAGTTATATCAGTCATTTAGATGCTGTTTTAATAGCTGGAGTTATTGATCAACCTTGTATGAAGCTTGATGATAACTTTCGTCGTCCAACAAATAAACCCAATAATTTTTATACGCGTCCACAAGTGTGTACTTTTTGTTTATCATCACAAAAGAAATACGTAAGTGGTTTTATCGATTATTTTTTCTACCATTCTTTAATGATTTTTTATCTACATTGATTAATGATTGGTTTCCTCTTGCAGAGTTTGGGTGTAACTTCATCAATTTTATCAGATTTAAATTGCCAACAATATGTAATTATTCCAAGTGAATTGAATAATTGTTTAAATGTTAATTAGAATAATATATAGATTATTTTTAATACCATTGTTTTTCAAACTTTTAGCGCGAAGAATTTGCACTATACAAGTCAAATGATGACTTAAGTATCGATTAAATTGTACATAACTTATTTAAAAAATAAAAAAAATAAATCTGAACAAATGAATTTTAAATTTGTTTTTCACATTAAATACTGAATCTAATCGATAACTATTTAAAACAATAGTATCGATAGTTTTTATCCAATAATTGGGTTTGTTTAAAAATTTTTATGCCATTTTTAGGAAAAGTTATTATATAATTTAAGAAGTCATCAATAAATAGCAGCACATATCTCAAATTGATTTTGAGTATTTTTTTTACAAATTAAATACATATAAATATTTTTTTTCAAAAAACCCTCGAACAATATTCACGTAATTTTATAGATTGCATTAAATAAATAAAGTCATTGATTTTCGTATTCGAAAATATAATGCGAAAATTAAATAAAAAGTATTGACAATAAAATAGAAAAGTTGAAAAAAGATAATACAAAATGTAGCTGCATCGTTTGACATTTTTCCTAACAAAAGAAGCTATGTGGTGTGTCTGACATATGTCGATCGATTCATCAAAAACATTTATCTCAAAACTCTAGCTCGTCCTCATTTTTCTTTCCTTTTATTTTAATAAGTAACAAACCAACGCAGGATAATCGAAAAGTTAACTTTAACCATTAACCAATGAATTAAATAAGAGTTTTTGATAATAATAATAATGAATTTCAATATTATTAATAATAGAATTTGTAGAAATAATAAAAATTAATAGTGGGTATTGATAAAAGTGAAAAGTGGCGCGCTTTAGTTGTCAGCCATCTTGTTTGTGCTCTGGTATCTCGAAAAAGAAAGAACGACGGAGGAGTGAGAGAGAGAAAGAGAGAGGTAGTTGGTAGTAAGTATTGCAACGGTGGTGTTTGTAGGCCGTACGAGCGAAACGAACGAACGAGAGGTGCGGAGGTGTTACAAGAGAGACGTGAGTGAGCCTTCGTATACACAAGGCTTTAAAAAACGTCGTGTTCACATCATAAGTGTTTAATAAAGCAATAAAACGTTTAATAAAAGTGACGAAATAATCATTAATATATCAAGTGGCTTTGCACCCCGGGCTCAAATCCCGTGGGAGCGAAGCAACCAGTCTAGACATCCTATCCCCGGGAAGCGTGCAACAAAAAAAAACCAACAGGACTCGCCCACAAGTCCGACAGGACTCTAACATGGTAAGTTAGTGTTTATTTCAATTCTTCATTTATTTTTTCATCATTTCTCGTCTTATTATTGTCGTTGGAATGGCGATTTTCCAACGATTAATCAATTATTACATGACAGTAAATTAAGAAAAAAAAATTAACCTCGAGAACTGCACCCTAAGGATTTTCCGGGAACAAAGAAAAACCGTCGAGACAAACGGATGTCTTGGTTTACTTGTCAATATTTTCAAGTTTATCATCAAACTTAATCGACATTCACGACGCTCATTCTGTTTACAAATTCGATATTCGTTTTTTTTCGTCAAGACTCAGATGTCTGAAAATTTGTTTTGGTGAGGCTTCTGAGTAGTTTTCTTAGGAAACGAACATGGTTTTCTTAAGTTACATAATATTTCATTAAATAGTATACCATTAAGAGATATAATGAAATATATTAATTAATTGATCAATTTTTATTAATTCAGTACTTTAAGGTAACATTCATTATTATTATATTTTTTCATTAATTTTTATACCATCAACAGGCTACACTTTTGACACAATATTATGAAATTTTTGAGATATTTCAACCATGAAACATAAATATTTACATTAATTAATTAGTTTAATGATGTCAACTAATTGACTTATTCACTAGAATTTAAGAATGTAGATCAACTCACCATTAACTACTAATCATCTTTATCCTTTTTACAACTATTTTATCTAATAAATAATTTCTTGATTATCTAATTACTATTAACATATTTATCAATAAAAAAATTTCATTTACTTCAATCACTTAAATTATGAATAACGTTTTTAAATGTGATTTATTATTTATATTGAAAAGATGTAAAATTTTATTTTATTCATAAAAAAAAACAATCAAAAATTAATCATTATAAAAAATATCAACTATTAATAAGTGAAATTTTTCAATTGACTCAATTGTTCATGAAATTCATTAATTAATACATTGTGGACAAAAATTACTATTTATAACCTAACCTTTATTATTGTGATGTATTTAATATTTATTTTTTCTAATGATGAAAAAAATCAAAATTATTAATTATTCAACAAATAAAATACTTGATGAACATAAAAAAACGTTAAAAAAATTGTTGATACTTTAAATTAACAAGCACTACTTAAAAATAATTAGCATTACAAAACTGATATACATTCAAAAAATAATTATTTATGAACCAAAAAATATAATTTATCCTTATAAAATACTAATTAATTTAATCCTCATAATATATCTACAGTATGATATTCTTTTCATATAATATTTTTTTATTATAAGCATTTCATCAACTATCCATGCTAATTTAAAGTAAATGAATTAACTGATTAATAATTTATTTAATAATTGAATACTATAAATTTTATTTAAGAATAATATGAAATTCTAGAGTTCAGCATCAACAGGCGGTACTGAGGGGTCGTCTAGTCCTGCCTCGAGTCCTGCATCAGCAACAAGCCAAGCTATGTCAGCACCAAAATATGGTACTTTAGTACCAAACCGTATTTTTGTTGGTGGAATATCGCCGACAACAAGTGAGGCAGAGTTAGCGGAGTTATTTTCTACTTATGGCAATGTTAAAGCAACTAAAATAATTGCTGATCGAGCTGGGGTATCCAAAGGATATGGTTTTGTAACGTTTGAAACTGAAGAAGAAGCTAAAAGACTTCAGCAAGAGGTAAAAAGCAGTATTGGAATTATTGTATCATTTTCATTTAGTTAATCAAATAATTTCATTTCTTTAAACTGTTATCTTTATGTTTATTTATTTATTTTCAGTCCGAGTGTATCGTCTTGAGAGAAAGAAAACTAAATATAGCGCCAGCAATTAAAAAGCAGCCTTTTAATCGTTCGTTCGATGGTGGCTCAGGCTCACCTCCAGCTGTGCCTACAAGTCCTTATTATTATGCTAATGGTAAGTAAATATTGATCTTTAAAATTATTAACGATTTTAGTTATCAAAAATCAATTATCAATCAAATTTTTTTTTTTTAAGGAATGGGTCTTTCTTATCAAAATGGTTTGACATTTTACAATACAGGAGCGCCTGCTCCTGGAACACCTCTAGCACCTCCAGCAGATCCGACAGCTATTTATCAAGCTGCTGGAGTATTTGGTAATTTTTTTAATCATTTATTTTATTATTTAAAATTATTTTAAATTTAAAATTCTCGATGAAAGTAGATAACAGCTATTAAAAGACTATTCATGTTAATTACCCAGAGTTTTCGTTATACATAATCTCAGAATGTTTGAAAATAAACATTACTGCATAATTAATTATGTACATTGTAATTTACAGGGCCTCAAGCTGCATCAGCACATCAAACTTTTGCACCGATGATGTATCCTTGTCCAGCGCCATCTTTATATATGCCACAACAATATCAGTATTCTCCAATGCCTGTAAGTAATTTCAACAACCCAATTACCCAAACTAGTATATAATTTAGTAATTAAGTCGTCAATTGATTAATTCTAGTCGTTATTAGTCTGTTGTCCAAATAATGTAAAATATACATAACTAAAATATTTATCAGTACCCTTTTTTTTAAAAGGTCACGTAGTGTGTCTAAAAAACTTTTCTTTTTTCGTGACTTTTATGACGAAAAGTTCAAATTGATTAACATATAAAGATGATATCAAAAAGTAATATAAAATAAAATAAATTAAGAAATATGTTAAAAAACATAATTCAAAGGTAAAAGAATGGAAATGAATGGATATAGTTATCAACGATATTGTTAATTACGGTATTTAAACAGACAAACGGTCTAATGGGAGAAGCTATACCACCGGCCTTTCTACCAAATCCGCAACAAATGCCTACTTATGTACTTCTCGACGCAATACAGTATTGAGGTTTAAAGGTACTAGAATGTCACTTTAACAAGAAGAAACTTCATTTTAAATGTGTTTTTGTCATTATTTTAATGTTCATCAAAGCATGAAAAAAAATGTTTATCATGCACATTAGACAGGCATGGCAGGATTATATCACCAAAATTTTTTTTTCGTTTCGTTCTTGTTTATTATTAGCATTTAAATGTATCATTGTTAATTATTATATTATTATATTTCAATTTATTGAATTATTTTAGCTTTACAGCAAATCCTTTTGAAACATCCCTCTGCTGTTGTTGATAATTTTATTTTTATCATTTATGAATTACATATGTAAACATGTATTAAGTCAAGGTACTGGTTTTACATAATTGAGCTTACAGTTTATATCAAAATAAAAAAAAACTTGGATCTATGTTTTAAGCTGCTGTTTAACTTTTTAGCTTTCTCAATTAGCACAGAGTGAATAGTGGATGATTTTATATTTTATTGAGTAATAACTTTTTAATATTGCTGTTGGCACTATTGTTCCTGTAGCTTTATTAATTCAATATTTTTCAGTATTTCTTCCAATATAATGAATACTCGATCATTTAATAATTGTTGTGAAAAATAATTTACACAAAAAATATTATTTTGAAAAATTGTTATAAACATTTTTTATTCAAATGAGACCGATTTTTCTTACATATTTTAATGAAAATAACTTAAGAATGGCTTTTCAGATTATGCTTAAAATCTAATCAGCTGTAAGTTACTTCAAGACGTATCGATTGACCTCTTATTCAATGAAATCACTCAATTCGTTCTCAAAATATCGTCAGATAAAGTTTCTACTAAATATGGATTAAAAAATTAACAGATTTTCATTTTATTAAAAATTAATATTAATATAAAAATATTTAATTATTTCAGTATAATAATTAATATTAATTAATTCAAAACTATAAATTCATAAGTATAATGTATAATTTCATTAAAAACAATTAATTATAAATCAATTTTGATATTATAAAACAGTCTAGCTGACTTTTAATCTTCAAAATTATTTATCATATAAAGAAATAGACTTTTTTTTATAATAGTTAAAATTATCTCCTTTGACAATGAAAAGTTCCAATGCATTTGGACTTTTTACTGATAATTGTTAACTGCGAAAAATCCCCTTACATCCCACAGCCTTTTTTAACACTCGAGGCGCTTTAGCCTTTTTTTCAATAGATTAAACGTTACAAAAAATTCTATAATTAAATTCTAAAATGCGGCAAAATTACACATAAGTAAAAAAAAAAATTTTTTTTCATTTTTTAAATCGATAAATTTGTCATTTTATTATCCAACTTCTAATTCATTATTAGATGATAAAACTTTCAATGGCTTTGAAAAAAATTGAACGATTCATATCATACAGTTATTTAATTGAGTCAGATTTAACATCAATTCGTTTTAAAATTGATAATAGTTATTAAGGTAAAAATATTTTATGAATAAATCTATAAATCTTATTTAATTAAAAAATTGCTTTTGAATTATTAACTATAAGACTGTTTAATTATTAAAATAATGAAATTACATAATTAAAAGTAAAGACTTGATAAAAAATATTAATATTTTTCATTGTAAGTGCCAGTACCTCTACTTTATTATGTATTAATGGCTGTTTAGCGGCATAAATTATATATATTATATACATCTATCTCATTCAGAAGCAGCTAATTCAAGTGACTTATTAATCTGCAGTACGAGTCGTATTATCCGGGAGCAGCTGGAACCCAACCATACCTGTATGCATCGAGCAATACAACGAATAATGGAAATCCTAATAGCGGAGGTGGTGGATCTAGTGGAAATAATCCTGCTGGAGCAACAAGTCCTCCAACCAATGCTCCTCATGGACTTCAATCAATTCAATCTGGTCCACACTACTATACACCACCTGGACCACCTACAAGTGCTCATCACCCTCCACTTTCAAGTGGTCCAACTCCTGGAGTACCTCAGCAGCTCCAGTCTGATCATCTTTATTATAATTTTACATCTGGACCACCACATCCTCCACCTCCACATCAGCACCCAACGCCTCATGGACCTATTGGAGTTGGAGATCAACAGCTGCTTCTTTATACGACCGATGGATCATGCCAACAGCCTGCCAATAATTCTGACGGTCAAACCGGACCTCCAGAGGTAAGCATTTATTTCATTTCATTAAAGAAACCTCGAGAGTTGAACAAATGATTACTAATATGGCAGTCATTTAACATATTACATTTCAATTTTATTCTTGTTTTTTATTTTTTTCCTTCATAATCTTACATTTATGTTAAATAAAAATTCATGTTCAATAAAAATTAAATTAAATGATGAAATTAATGTACCCTGGGTGCATAGTAGAATCCATTATGTATATTCGCAATTTTTCGTAACAATCATTTCACTTCACGTTAAAAAGTATTTTTTTCGATGTTTTTTTTGACATGCGTAAACCAAGTTGATGGAAAATAATTTTTTTATAATTTTGACATACATTAGTTTCTTAAAACTACACATGAATGATAATGGTTTCCTTTAACCATTAAGCTATACTAAAAGAGTAAAAGAAATTATTTTAGTACTATTTCATATTTGGTTAAAAATTGAGTATACTCCCTTCGTCTATATTGACTTTAAAAAACGATGAAATTTAAACCTTTTAATATCTTTTTGAAAATTCTAAAAAGATGAAAGAAAACAATAAAAATAGAGCAAATAATAGGAAAATTATTGGAAAAATAAGTGAACATTTGGTACTTAATGAGAAAAATGTTGAACAGATGTTGAGTTGAGATTATTTTATTGAACAGTCGTAGGATTCAAATATTACAAGACACAAAGTATGGTAGACAGGACAAAGATTAAAACAGAAAGCACTCCAATAAAGATTTTACATTAATTTTAAATGTCTTAAATTTTAATATAAGGGTTTTAGGATAGAAAAGTTTTTCAAATATAAAGTAGAAATATTCTTAATCCGTTTTGAGTAAAAGTATTACATGACAATTAATATTATCAAATTTTTTATTTGCAGCTCTTTTTAATAAAAAATCAATTTTATTAAGATTTTTTTGAATTATTGAAACAAATAAAAAAAATTATGAAAATTATGATGACAAAAAAAATAAATGAACAAGAGCAAGAGTACTATATGTAGCAAAAATAAACACACAATATTTGTGAAACTTTCTAATTTAAAATCAATTTTTCAACTCTCGAAGCTTTTAAAGATAAATGCGTTTAATAAAAATTGTTCTCTACTATTTTTTAAATATTTTTAAATTGAAAAATTAGAATAAAAAATTTTAAAAAATGTATAAATCGAACAAATCGTAGGATACACGCTCAACATCGAGCCAGTCAGATCATCAGTCACAACATCGAGTACAGTCAAGTGGCAACGAGACTCATGTAACAACAACATCATCTACTCCATTAATTCCCATAATGCCAATGAAATATCCATTATCAAATCGATTTCCAAATTATCATCCTTTAGCTATTCATCCATCCCCACTTCCACAAACGACTATTTGTTCTAATGAAACCGACGAATCGAACCTCAATCCAAATACAATGCATTGTAGGATTCTTTATCCAATTTATATTCCAAACCCTTACAATACACCAAGCTTATTACCAACCCCAACAAATTCATTTGATTCACAAAAATTAAGAGACCAAAATCAAGGTAAAACGTCTTTACATCATCAACATCCTAATGGATATAATTTGATTTCTACAATGCATCAAAATCCGTATAAGCAGCAAAATAATAATAAATTTTCGACAACGCGATTAACTAATCCGCACAATAGAAAAAATTATTCTACTTCGTCTTACGTATCTCGATCATCATCTAATATTAATTATAACAAATCAACAAATTCATACAATACATCAAAACATCATCATTCCGATTCAAGTAGCACTCGTAGACCATTAAATTCTGATTTTACGGGTAAAAAGAATTTCGCTAGTACTAATAGTAGTAGAAATCATGATAATAATGATTCGAGTAATAGTGACGTTAGAAATTCTAACGATAAACAATCCACAAGTCCACCACCTGCTCCTTATTCACCTATGACACGTCCACTTCCAAATTTTTCCCCTCCAAATGTCCAGGTACAGCAGTTCTATGGAAACCAAGGACGATTTTCTAACCCTAATCAGACGCAGCATCATCAACAGCAAAGAAAGTATGGATCTTCAGTAACATCAATTGGATCAAATAGTGGACGGTCAAATAATAAATCAACTGATAAATATAATCAATCAAGTGCTCAAGGTGTTTCTTTGCGATCGAATAAGTTTAAAGTTAATGGTATTATGCAAAATAATAATGGCAAGGCTGTTGAAGAAAATCTTGGTGGTGCTGGTGATGCTCAACAAGCTGTTGCAAGAATGCCATTAACTCCTCCGAGTACACCACGAAATATACAAGACTCAAGTCAAATTAATGACGCGTGCCATCAAATGCAGGCGCTAACTCTTTGAAAGAGAACAGATAAACAATTAAAAAATTATTTAAAAACATTGTTGCGTCTATACATTGTTGTTTCTTGTTGTTTTTTGAGAAGAGGGAGCAAAGAAATAGAATTAATATAAAACATAACAACAAATGAAAGAGTAAAAGAGAAACTAAAAGCTTAGAGCTAAAAATAAACTATTTATTTATTTAAATTTTATTTTTATTTTTTCTCGACGAAAAATGAAAAGAATTTGAGAAATAATTATTCTAAATTATGATATTAACTATTGGGGGCATAGCTGATTAAGAGTTTTCATTTTTTTTTCTTTTCCTAACGTCCCATAGGTAACACATAACAGCGACAAAAGAATTGACTAAATCATTAAAAAAAACTCCCTCGGCTCAAAATATAATGAATCTTTAATACTTCCTATAAAAAACCGTTATATATATATACATATATATATATATACATATATAAATACACAATAGAGTATAAAAAAGTGTATCGTCATGTTAAAGGTTATAAGAAATCAATGATAAATAATAATAATTATTATTATTAATTATAATAAAAGAAATAAAAATATATCTAGCCGATTCGGATACTTAATGCAATTAAGATTATGTATTATACATACAAAATATATATATATATATATATATACACTTAAACAAAAAATGAAGACAGAAAGAATGAAAAGTACGCATATATCATTAATAAGCAAAATACAAATTATTAATTAGCTATATTGACAAAAACGAAAAACAACGTTATAACAAAATAACTCTGGAGGAAAAGGATATAGTTAAAAATTGTTTTGAGATTACAACATTAAAAAATGAAATGTTTAAAAATGATGCTGTTTTGAAGCGAATAACAAGACTCTTATTTGAATCATTGGTTAATTAATTAATTGAAGGGAGAGTGTCTGTGTTAATTGTTGTTTCAATTAAATAAATAAGAAAAAAAAATGCAATTTTTTATTGCAGTAGGCTCGACGAAAAATGAAAAAAAATTCAAATATTTATTAAAATAATATGTTATTTAATGAATAAATAATAAATAAAAATAATAGTTAAATGCAAATAAAAATATCCATGAATCTCGCGAGCAAGGCTAGAGTAGATTAGATAAAACCAAAATGCCGAGTTAGATGATTGATTAACAAATTAGAAACATCAAATGATTGTTAATTATTTCAAAATAATAAATAAATATACATACATATATATAATATAATATATATATATATATACATGTATGTAACGATGTAACAAAAAAAAATTCATTAAAAGTATATTAATGCGAAACTCGTTGTTAATCGTACAAATACGAGCGATCTGTCATGTGTTCAAAGACAAAAAAAAACATTTATAAGTAAAGAAAAAAATACATAAACCAATGAAGGAATGGGATGTTTAGATATAGTTATAAGCGTTGGAGTTATAAGATGTTAAGAGAATAATATTGAAATAGTTAAAAAGAATTAAAGTGTGAGAGATGATGATTCATCATTTAAATAATAATGAATAAACATGGTAGGAGAAAAAGAATAATAATACGGTTGCTCAAGGCACTGCCATCTTCATTTTTCATTTTTGTTGTTGTTAATGTTACATTTAATTATTACTCCTCCCTCAATCTCTCTCACAAGTTAATGTTATAAAAGACAACAAGAAAGACGCAAAAAGTACTTAATATATTATGAAAATAATTTCTTTATTATTTTTTGTTGTTATAATGATAATATCAATTATTATCATTATAAATATTTACTTATTAATTATCTTCATCTTTATTATTAATAATTAATTATTACTAATTATTATTTTCGTAGAATTATTATTATTATTATTATTTAATTTATCAATGTAATAGTTATATTAATTAATATATTATGATATCGTTATTTAATTATTTGTGTCAAGAAACAATCGATGTGGTAATGAAAAAGTGAGAGTTAAGTAAATTTCAAGAATGGGCGGGGATAAAGTTAAAGAAAGAAAATAAAAAAATTTTAATAAATAAGCATATGTATGAATGAAGCTGAGTTAAAAAAAAAATATATAAAATAAAAAAAAACGTGTCGGCTGTGAGCTTCCAAGCAAATAAACAATAATTAAATTATTATTAATATTATTAAAGTGGAAGAGAGCAAGAGTGTTGAGAGAAAACGAGAAAAAGTGAGTGCGAAAGAAAACACTAAAGAGTATGAAAATATATAGAAAAAAAAAGAAAAAAAAAGGAAGAAAAAACAAAGTATAATAATTTTAAGCATATCTTATTTTTTATTATTGCGGATTATTATTATTATTATTATGATGATGATGATTATTATTATTATTATTACTATTATTATTATTAAATTATTATTAATATTATATGTAATTATCATCGCTACAGTTATTGGCAAATTAATGCTTCTTCAATTGTATTAAAAAATATGCAAGATATTACTTAGTAAAAATTTATTATTTTCATTATTATTATTATGAATATCTCATCAAAAACTATATTAATATGTAAACAAATACTTTGTTTTTCTTCTTTCTTCGTTGAATGTAAGAAAATATATTTAATAAATAAATATTTGTTGAATTCATATCTAATATATTGTATAGTAATTGATAAATAAATAATAAAAGGCCACTGTTATTGATGAGATAATAAAGAGACTAGTAATAAATAAATATTATTATTTAATTTGAAAAATATACTTGATAAAATACATATTAATTTAAAGAAATTTCATTAAATTTTGTGGAAAGAAAATATTTAAATATAGGCCTAGGTTCTTTTGACATTAATTAAGAATTAAATTCACTTCAATATAATATTTATGAACAAATTAATTATTAAATTCGAATTAGAAAATGATGTATGTATATATATATATACATATATGTATGTAGTGCCTTCTATTTATTTATTCGGTCGCTATCTTGACGGAAATTTTGACACTTATTTGAAAAAATGTACTTTAAAAGATATAATAAATAGTTCATTGTTGATTAGTTAATTAAATAATAATTTGATTTGAATGTTGAATAAAAAGTCAGGAAACAGTTAAAAGATAAATTAAAATCTTATACAAAAGTAAAGTGATCAATGTTAACGAGTTACATTATTTATTTATTAAATATTGAGTGTTATATAACAACATTGTTGATTATTCTGTTTTATATAAAAAAAAATCAATTGTAAAATTGAAGATAGTTGAAGCTGATAGTGAACGTTGATTAGTTAAATTTTACAGCTCATTTCGACACTTATTTCTTTCATGAAAAATATTTGAAAATGATTCATACGAATATACAATTAGTAAATAAATATATTAAATATATCGCAGCAATATTAATATAAAATAAGATAATAATATATTCTAGAATGGGAGAAAAATAAAAGTATAATTTACATGATTGAAAAATTAACAAAACGAAAACAAAAATTATTGCAGATTAAACAATAATTAATTAATAATATAATCACCCTTTTAATTAGAAAATATATACAAGAAACATAATAAAATTATTGTAACTTTCAAATCAATATTAATCTTTAATATTTAATTATATTAACTAAAACTCTCCAATATTTGCAAATAATAATCAATCATCGTGGATCTAAGAGCATGAATGCGTAAACTGTAAATCAATGACCTATGAATATCTGTTTATTTTGGAAATTGATGTTTTATTTTACTGTTTTCTTTGCAATAATTTTTTAAATTTCATTACAATATTTCGTACTCTTTATATTTGAAAACGTTGTAACGTTCGAATCGTAATATATTTATTTTCATCAATTTACTATTCTTTGGGAAAATATTATACTTGTCATCAATATTTGCTTATAAACTATATCACTGTAATGATGAAAATCATGAATATATATTAATATACCGTAGATAAGTATCAAATAATCATAATAAATTAATATAGACCTCAATCGGTAGTGAGATAAAAAAAATCTATGGAATATATCCAGCTTGAAATATACACTATAATAATAAAAATGTTTATTCACATTATCGATGAAAAAAAAATAATGATTGGTCGAAAAGAAACTCATTAATAATAAGGCACAATTATTTTGTCCAAAAAGAAAACTAAATTATTAAACAAAACCAATTGATTGTTTTCTTACTATTATCATTTTGGCAATCTATAATTTCACATTAAAAATAAATCCTAAATTTATATATGAAATAATTATATTAAATCATAATAACTATCGATTGATATTTTATTATGATTAAATAACTAAAATAATAGTTTTAAAGATAGTCACTACTATACATAAAAAAGTAATTGATCCATAAGAAAAAGTGATGGTACTATATAGATATAATACTTGTAATAATGATAATAAAAATCATAATAATAGAAATAACAAAGAATGATATGGGTATACTTTATGAATTAAAAATTAAAAATTAAAAATTAATGTAACAGTAAATAAAAAAAAAATACTGATTTATGATAATAAAAACAAAATTGTACTGTGAATAACGAATAAAGAAAAACATACAAATATACATGTAATAAAAAAAATAATATTGATATTATTATTGTTAATAATAATGATAATAATAATAATAATAACAATAATAATATTATATGAAATATTATACTAATAATAATAATAACAGCAACATAAAAACATATATTTAGAACAATACTATAAAAGCAAATAAAAGCAAAATACTTTAAGATAATTAATAATAATAATATTAATAAAATAATGATATTAATTATAATTATAATAAAGCATACTTAATAATGTATAAATAAAAATTAAGAAAAAAATTAATACAAACACAAGTTATGTAGTTGGAATATATGAATAAACAAATAGAGATTGAACAAATAAAAATTATGGAGGGGAAACATAAAATTTCAATTAATAAAAACGAAATGATATGAAAATCAGTAAATAATTAGTATAAAGATGATATCGAAAAAACCTAACAATAAAAATGTAAATCTCTATTAATGATAATAAATTTATTTCCATCTGTAAAATTTTTTATTTCTGCATAGTACACTTGGAAGATTTGTTTTTAATCGAAATCTTTAATTCAATTAATACATGAGTTTCATTTAAGTGGTCTTTATTGTTGTTTATTTAATTGATATAAATATGACACATTTTATTTCAATACTATAATATTATGTATTAATTAGGAGATTAATACTATTTTGATTAATAGTACAACAGTAAATATTTATAAAAGTCGTTAAAAAAGCATCACATTATTTTAGAGGTTGTTTATCATTTAGACCCCCATTTAACATCAATATATAGTTATTCAAATTGATTACATATTAACAATATTTTTTGAATAACTATTTAGAACGGCTTTAGTTACCAATTTTTTATTTTGGTTATTCCACTAATTCATTCCCTAATTAGTGCTTTACATAATACACTGTCAGCAGTTTTTAAACATTTTCATTTATATATAACTTAATATTCATAATACCTTTTATAATTTCGCATTTTTAAAATTTTATAACGGAATATTATTTAACCAGAGACAATTTATAGATCTTATCGTGGTGTCTACAGAATATAATATATTCTTTGAAAGGCCCACCAAAATGAATTTTGCCAACCTCTGGATTTATATTTTATAAGAATCCTTAATTCCAAACATCGGTAATTTATTTTATAGCTCTGTAGTCATATGGGACGTAAGAGCTTGAACTCTTTTAGCATTGCAGCTTTTGCAGAGAACATGATCATCTAGTGGATAACAACCACTTCCTTCAGCATCAGAGGATAATACTAAACCACAATCTTCACATTTATAACATTGAATATGAAAGCTTCTATCAAGTGCAACAACTCGAACAGTTTCATCTTCTCCAGGCTCTGGCATAATAGGCAATTTACAAACACAGCATCTGGGTGCAAATTTCTTGTGGAAGCATTGAATACAGTGAATTTGATTAGTAGCATCAACAGTAAATGGAATTCCATCTAAACTTTGTCCGCAAACAACACAAGTAAAACAAGATGGATGATAAGGCTTTCCAGTCGCTCTCAAAATCCGGTCTAAAATGGGTCTTGTGCAGACACAACATTTTTCTAGAGTATTTAGATAATCTTCTTCACAATATGGCTTTCCTTCAAGTGAATAAAAAGGTTTCCCTTGCAGATTAACTTGACAAACAAAGCAACAAAAGCAATCAATATGAAAGACTTTATCCATAGCAGAACATCCAGTTCCTTCACCTTCTACTTTTTTTCCACAATGCGCACAAATCCCATAGATTTCACTGTCATCTTGACTATCTTCCATCCCTTGAACGAGTAAATCTGTCAGCGTATCAACTTCTTTAACTGGAGATACTTTACTTGGTGGTTGAGAGCTAGCAGATCCATAACCAGAATACATGGAATAGTTACAAGACAATTGTGAAGGTGGCCGAGGATTAATTGGTTCATAAATTGATTCATAAGTTGAACTAGACTGAGAGCTTGGTCCATAAATATCATTTGGATAATCGTGATGGTTTGGTGGATAGTCTGATTGATGATAAGTTGCACGACGCAATTCACTATAACTGGATGAAACTGGACTTGGAGGCGGTGGTAATTCTTCTGGTGGTGGTGGAAATGCATTACCTGTCACACAGGAAATATATTCAGTCGGCTCTGGTGGTGGTGGCAAATCATCTGTTGAAAATTTGAGTTCATTATAATTTTAAAGAAACTTTTAACAAATTGAGATAATATCGAAAATTTTAAAAATTGTTACATACCATGATTATGAGTATTCATTATGTTACAATAAGTATTTTCCGGCTTATTCCATTGAATATTGCTATAAATAATATCCTTTTCTTTTGATTTCATCGGAGTGGGCACTGGAATTGGCACGGCCGGCTCAATATTGCTATAAACTACATTTCTTGTTGTCCGATTAGATCTTTCATCTGTACTTGGTATTTGAGGCGATGGAATATTCTCCCCAATGTTGGAATAATAATTTTTTTCATCATTATAACCACGTTTTCCATCATATTTTTCTCGCAATTCATTTTTATACATGTGTTCATTTTGGTAAAAATTCTCATTATTTGTGTGATAAAAATTATTTGACTGTTGTAAAGATCCAGGAACTGATACAGAAGTTAATGTTGAAGATACTCCAGGGTATACATTTTTGTCAACATTTGGCCGAACATACGGAGAAGGAGAATTAGCATATAGTACACTATTCTGAATGGACTTTTCGTTAGTGACACTATTATTTAAAACTGTACTATATGATGGTGTTGATGGAGCCTTTATAGTATAACTTTGCGGTACCTAGTAATCAAAACATATTTTTATTGAACGTATTCAAGATTTCTTTAAAATTGGAAAGTACAATTATAAAAACTTATTTTAAATAAAAGTGAAAATGATAATAACGTAGTTGCAAATTACCAGCGATGTTTCCATTACCAGCAATGCCAGGACAAATTAATATCATAATAAGTCATATTAATAAGTTCATCATGGAAATTTTTTCATTATTATAATAATTGTAACTGTATACTAAATACACACTATAATTATGTACAATTACCATTTTATGATTCATAAAAAATGTACATATAATTATGTGCTCATTATAATGATTGGAGAATTAGAAGAATTTCAATTGAGGTATATTTTTATGTTTTTCTTTTTAAATGAAAATTACTAAGAGAATATTAAAGAACAAAAGAATTAAGTTGAAAATTTATCTTTCAAAAATGATTAAGATTACATTAATTTAAATTTTTGATTGAAAAATATTCAAGAAAGTCATTTAAAATCAATTTTGTTAAGAGACATTTCGACTGTGATTATCTTTGCAACTTGAGCAACAGTCTTGATTGCATTGGTCAATTTATTTCTAGTAAGAACTTAAGCATATTGAGTCAATAAGAAAGTTCACATATGGTTGACATGATTTGAGTATTCAATTAAATCGTTAATTGAAAAGATTTTCTGTTAGTATATCGTTAGTATAGAGTATTAAAATGTATTTAAATATAAATATTTTAAAAATAGAGTAGAAAAATACAAAATGCTGACCTGTGGTTGAGATTTTTTAGGTTTGGGTGGCACAGCAGGTCCAATTTTTTTCCCTTGTTTAGCAGTCTTATTGATTTCGCTTATATTTCCAGAATCAAGTTGCAAGTTAGCAATTTTTTGTTCCAAATTCCCAACGTTTGACATCATGTTTTTGCAATATATACTCTCTAAAATCTTAAAAAAATAATTTTTATTTGTAATTACCGGAACTCACATTTACATTGTTCAAATGAATTGAAAAATTTAATTACTTTAAGGTTAGAATATGATGTGATAAGTTTTTTTTTCTAATTTATTGTATTAAAGAGCACTATAGCAATTTAAAAAAATTTAAGACTTCTCAAAATGACATAAAATTTACGACTGGAAATTGAGCAAGTTGAGTCATCAAATCTTATCGTTCTTTATTGTACGTATACATAAAGGAAGGGAATTTTAATAAATTCTTTAACGATGATTCTTCGTACTTATCTGCTCCAATAGTATTAAAAACGTAACATTTCCAGTTTCCAAACTTTTAAATAAATTTTCTAATAATTGTATGCAGATTAAAATGCATTTTTATTACATTAATTAATGGTTTTAAAACACACAAATCGGCAGTGAAATTGTTTTTTATACAAGAAAAATACATATGTAAGTCGACTACTGTGATCGATTCTATTGCGCTTGCGTCGTTTCTCTATCCAATAAGAAATGATTAAGAAAATGGGGGAAAGTTACACAATTTTAAACTTCAAATTTTACCAGTTTAATGTTTCAGTATAATACAATCAATAATATAATCAGATAATAATATTTTATTACAAAATAAATCATAAGTAGTGGTCGTTACCAAATTTACTATTATCCGATCACTACTTTGATAAAGAAAGTTTTTTTTAATTTCTTTTACTGATAAATATTTTAATAAAAAAAACTTATATATATATAATATAAATTTGAATTTCAGTAATTCTTAGATTTATAAATCATTCACCAATGTTTTTATTAATTATTTTCTTAATGACCACTCAGAAGCCGAGCGATTTTTTGGTCATTTTTTATGATATTACACTTGGTCTGATGAATTTTTTCAATTTGATCATTAATATTGGCTTCAACTTCTTTTAAAGATTCTTCTAACGGTTTTAATGACTTTTGAGTATTATTTCTCTCAACAATTAATTGTTCTCTTATACTAGCAAACTCGTTTCGACAATCACGTAATTCTCTTTGCATTATCTCAACATCCTCTTGTAGAAAATCGAACAATTTACCTAATGGATTTGTTGCTCGTGTTAACATTTGTATTGTTCCACGTAATTTATCAATTTCTTTAACAATAACATCTCGATCTTTTTTCAATCCTGAGTCCCATTCTATTTCCACTTTATTTGGGATTATTTCAACATTCCCTTCATTCACTAGATCCCTTTGAGTCTCCAAAATCTGTGCTACTAAATGACCATGCTCTTGACCTATTTGTGGGTTATTGAATAAATCTGTACTGTTGATGGGTAGATTATTTTCAATATTTCCACTCTCAATAACCACCATATTATCAGCATCGTCTTCTTTTCCATCGAAATTCTCTACAATCACATTAATATCTGCCATTTGAGTCATCATATTGTTGTCAATAATAAAATCTGGTTTATTTCGTATCTTGGGTGCAGCTGGACGCGCACTTGGTGGACGTGCACTAGGTGGTCTCAACAATGCACTTCTAGCTCGTTTGTTATTTTTTTCAATAGGTTTTTCAGTTGGTTCATCATTCTTTACATCTTTTTCTATTCCAGTGTCTTCTTGAATAATATTTTTAACTTGAAGTACTTTTTTGTCATTCGCTTTATTATCTATTAGTGATGGATTTACGATTTGATCGTCTTCTTTATCATCACTAGAGGTTTTTTTAACTTTATTTTCATTTATTGTTGAAGACTCGTTAATTATATTTGTTTCTATTTTTTCTGATGTTACTATATTTAAAGTATCATCATTTATATTATTATTTCCTTCTGATGATTTTTCAAGCTCATTAATTTCCTTAAGTTCTGTAATTGATTTATTGCCTTCGGCTGTATGATTTTTTTTCACCTTGGGTATGTTATTACTTTCTTTTTTTTTACTTTCTTGTGTTTTAGAGTCTCGTGATGATACTTTTAAGTCTTTTTTCTCTTTATTTGTTTTTCCTATACTTTTACTATCTCTTTCGTTCACCTTAACTTTACTGCTTTTCTCCTTGCTACTTTTTTCTTTTTCTCGATCTTTGCCATCTTTATCTTTTGTCTTCTCTTTAGAGCCACTAGATAATTTTTCATTAGAACCAGGTTTTGATAAAAACTTTTTGGATTTTTCATCACTTGGTGAACGACTATTAAGTTTGGATTTTTTTGAATTACCATCTTTCTTTTTCTGCTGGATTTTTTTATAATAATCAATAGCTTCATCACTGGATACTTTCTTATCTAAAGCTCGCCCAATAGCTTGGAGTAGTTCATTAGTTTTTATTGGTTCTTGTCCTGATACTATTTTAGACGCTCTGACAGAAAGTTCATTACCAGTTATTAGCTTTACAGAATCAATTAACTTGGTAAGATACGTTAATTTTGATTCTTTATCCGTGTAATTTGCACTATTTAATTCTTCTTCATTATATAAATTCTTCAGGAATCCTGTTTCTTTGATAACTGATGAAATTATATCATGAATAAATCTGAATGGTGGTTTTTTTAAAAGTTTTTCTGTTAACGGAGGCTTTTTAATATATTTTCCAAGTAGATCTTGAGTTTTTTTGATAGATTCCTGAAGTTTGATATCTTCGGCCATTATTAGTTAAAAACTAAATATTCACACGCTTACTTTTCTATGTTCTAGCTATTTTTATTATTTTTCTAAAAAACAATTTATTGTCAAAAACGTCTGACATCGAAGTTAATAATAAACGTTATATTTTAATGTTATGTTGACATTGTTGTTTCATTTACGTTTTCATAGCAACATAGAACCAATACAACAATCCAATCCGGAATTGCTATTTGGTGGTGGATTCATGTTTATCATGAATCGTAAGGTATCATGTGAATGTTACTTTATCGACATTTTAATGTCAACTGTTGGTAATTCATCAGTCGCTTGGTTTCAAATGTATTTTAAAAAAATTTTTTTGCATACAAATTGTATTGGATTGTTTAAACATTGTTGTTGTAAAGTTTCGGTATGTTAAAATATATCGAGATCAATTAGCTATTTTATTGAATCAAGTATTGCATCTGCAAATGTAAAGAATAAAACTTGTTACGCACGCTCCAAAACTCATGTAGATCATTCGAGTTAATTTGATAAATAATTGTTATGCTATTCTATTGATAATTTTATTGTCAAATTCTTGAAAATATTGAATTAAATTTTAGTATTATTTATACGTATGAGAAATTCATTGAAAAAATTAGTAATATTAAAAAAAAATAGTAAGATAATTTTGGAACTCTTTAGAGTTTAAATATTCCGCGTGAAAAATTAAAAATCTTTTTAACCAATCCGAAAAGAGAATTTTCTTTTTAACCAATTATCTAACACCTTATAATTAGTGTCGGTAGATAACATATGGTAGTATGTGTAATAAAAACAGGCAAATGCATATGAAGGTGTACATAAAAATAAAAAAAATGTTTTAATTTCTCTAACTTATCCAACGAGAAAGGCATTAGGAGTGTTATTCCATGTAAGAAACTTTATTGAATGCATTAAATCGACTCTAGTGATGACCTAGAATGTAAGAAAGCTTAAGAAAATGGCATGAAATAACTTGTATGCTTTATGAATTTATTTATCTACGTGTCAGTGAATCGAAAATAAAGAGGATAAACGTCATAAGTGATTTGAACACGATGTCTGGATGTTAAAACATATTATTGTAACTTTTTTATTTTGTTAATTTTTTATTGTTTATTTATTACAAAAAAATATTTCTCAATAGTGCATCAGTGTTGAATACAATTTCTTTATTTATTTAAATTATAAATATTTGTAAAAATGCCAGATGCAATTGAAGAAAAAATCCAAAATGTTCTCCAAGCATTGAGCTTAAATGACTCTGAAGAAATTTGTGATTTTACTTTATCTCAGCAAAATGATGCTATTGGTAAGTTCATTTTATTTAATCATATTTCGATGTTTTTTAAATAAAATAGATGATTAATTACAAATTATTCCAAAAATTCATTATTGCAGAAGCAAAAGGAGTGAAACCAACAGTCAGTTCAGATTACGTTCCTATCTGTCAAAAAACAGTTACTTACATCGTTGCTGCAGTGATATTTAATGATAAAGACCAAGTATTAATGGTCCAAGAAGCCAAACCTTCATGTGCTGGAAAATGGTATCTACCGGCTGGTCGAGTAGAACCAAATGAAAATTTATTAGAAGCTGTTAAACGTGAAGTACTTGAAGAAACTGGATTAAAAATGGAGCCAAAATCATTGATTATGGTAGAATGTGCTAGTGGTTCATGGTTTAGATTTGTAATGGCTGGAACAATAACAGGCGGAAATTTAAAAACACCTGACCAAGCTAATGAAGAATCATTACAAGCATCTTGGATTGACAATATTAATGATTTACCATTGAGATCATCAGACATTCTACCATTGATTCAACGAGCACGTGACTTTCATAATGCCGTCAATCCACCTTGGTATGCATCAATTCTTCCGGTTGAAAAATCGTGGAATAAATTATTGCTCAGACTTATCGTGTGTATAAAAAAAAAAGCTACGTAAGTATTGTTTATTGTCTGAATTAAAATACTAAAATTCGATATTATAATTTAAAATTATTTTTAGAAATCGTATGCATGTATTAATATCTGAAAAATCGTATCTTCATTTACCAATGTGCGAAATAAACCCTGGCAAAAATGTACACTCAACACTACATAGATTTATGGTTGTAAGTATCAGAATAATTATAAAAGAAATTGTTTTAAAGTTATTTGTAATCGTTGAAAAAATTTGTTTATTCAGGAAATTTTCGGGGAACAAGTTGCTTCACATCGACCTCACGGTTTATTATCAGTAGAATTCAGTGGAGAAACACAAGGGGATGGATTATGTCTAACGTTATTAGTATCATTCCGTCCTGCATTGGAAGAAGTAAAAATAAATGGAAAATACGTATGGCATGAGATATCAAAAAATATAGCTGATTTAATAGCGGATAGGTTACCGCGTAATATGACAATACCACTAAATGTTATACGCTAATAAATTATTTTGACGGACCGATGAGAAATATTATTTTTAATTTTTAAAATTATTTTTCATTTTTTTAATAAATTATTTATTACACTGTTATTAATATTAAAGTATTTTAATGATGATAATTAATATTGTTATTGTTGCTGTTATAATAAAGTAATTATCACATTATTAACATTATAATCGTAAAACAAAAATATTATTTAATTATTTTTTTACATTATGATAAATCAATATTATTTATATTTATATTCTAATCAAAAATTATAAATATTATTGATTATTATTTATCGCAGCCTGTGTTCTCTCTTGTACAATTTGTTCAGCACGATAAACACGGTAACATACTAAATAATCACGAGCTAATTTAAATAATGTATAATAATAATTTAATATTAGTAGTAACGTCATTGAAAGTATTTGGTACCATTCTACAGTACGAAATAAAATAAATAATTGTGCTGCTATTAATAACAATTGTAAACATAACAGTGAACATATCAACATGGTTGGATTACTAAAGAGAGCCTGAAGGAGAAAAATTCTTATTTTTAAAATTTTTCGAATAAATTTTAATAAATTGTTTATAAACTCAAAATTACTTACATAAAACCTATTATGACTTGAATTACCAGGTTCTGCTGCTGTACAAAGACCTTCTGATCGATATAATTCTTTATTATGTTTAACAAGCGAACCATGAGGCCAAATAACATTATCACTCCATAATTGCGTCGGAAGATGTATATTTCTGCTTTCTACTTTTGACCATTTACCTAAATGTAATGCTGCTCTGTGTAAAACATCGCAGTATCTAAACAAATATATTGATATTTATTTTAGAATGATTGTCAGTCCATAATTTATGTATGTATAAGGTTGTAATTATAGCTAATTTATTTATCTTAAAGAACTTTAGTCGAAGAAAAAATCCTACCTCACGGGGTATGCTTGAGCAAAGTGAGCACTCAATTGTCCTAACCAAAAGAAAACTACATGTTGTACTACCCAACCAATATTAAAATGAAGATGTTGAGGTACAAAAATAATTGGTGCGATTCCACAAACATACGCACTACCTGAAGATGCAAAAAGTGCTCGTTTTAATCGACGATTGAAATCAGAGCGTAAGCTCGATACTTCTGCTCTTATTGTAGATGCATTTAATGAACAATTATGCAAAGGTTTATCTGAAAAATCCATCCAATAATTTATTCTAAAATTAATCTCCAATATTTTAATACATTTGTGTTTAATAAAATATATTATTATTACCAAGTAAAAATTTAGTTTTTCGATCTTCTTTAACATAAAGAGGAGCCGTCGTAATATCAAAAAAAGGCCCTATGTTTACTCCAAACATAAGAAAATATACAGAAATACTCCTAGAAAAATAAAAGATCTTTTAATTGTTCTGATCATACATAATATCAAATGTGGCATGAATACTTACGGATAGCATAGATAGAAAACTTTTATCACATTATGACGCTCACTCATATAATATAGACACCAAGTTAATATTGCTAATATAATTATCAGTAAAACAATCCTGATTGGAACATAGATTTTAATATCAATAATTATTTATCATTTGACGTATATTATTTAATAATAAAATATTACCTAATAAATCTTTGGACGCTTGGCAACCATCTCGCTGGACTAAAAGCATCAATACATCGTCGTAATAGTGCATAAATAAATCTTCTAGCCATCATCGTCAGGATGAATATCATTAAAAAAGGATCTATTAAATAAAAGTTCTACACAAAAAAAAATATATATATATATACATATATTAGTCTATATAAAAAAATTAATTCAATGCATATACGCAAGAATTACCATGCTATAATCATTGTAAGACTGTGGTAACCACCAGACAGTTTTATATAAATTCAAAAATTGCATTAACGCGGCAGCTATTGATATACCAAAAGAAAGAGCTTCAAAAAATAATTGATCATCAACAGGAACCGCAGGAATTGGAACATGTTTTGGAGCTAAAAGTCTATTGTTTATTGATTCACCATATCTTTTCTCATCACTGAATGATGAATTAATATGCGTTGTCGAGGTTACATTTATTGTCGATGATGGTGATTGATTATGAGAATGCGAATGACAAATATTTAATGTTGTACGTCCACTTGAATTGTTTCGACTTGAATTACGTCTTGTACCGGGCATGATTTAATTGATAATTTATCAAATTTTTATTTTTTGTCTACAATTTATTATCATGGTTTTAATAGTGTTTTTTTCAACTACACTTTCCTGTACATATACACATGCTATAAACTTCACACCCATAACAAAATCGTATGTTACCACAAAATCACAAAAACTGTGTAGAGAGACAGCTCGATTATTAAAAAAATTTCAAAATATACATGTGGTAACATCTAGTGAAGTTCATTAGAACACATCTTTCGAAAGGGAGGTAAAATTTAAAAACATACTAATTACTAATTTGTTAATAAATATTAATAAAAGTGATTAATATTATAATTGTATTTAATTACTTTTATTTTTAGTAATAAATTTAATTTCATCGCATATCTTTTATGATTTAAAGTTAATAAATAAATAAATATTAATTGATGTTAGTTAATAATTAGATTGCTTTGATTTTTTAAAATTTAATCTTTATTCTATTTAAAATTATATGTATATTTTTCAACATAAAAATTATTTAAGTATATTTATAATTTTATTTATAACAAAAATTTATTGATGAGATCTTTACTCTTCACAACTTATTTTAGAATTTCTTTGTATTGAATTTTGTATAAATGAATTCTTAATTTCTAAGGATACATATGTATAATTTTATGTTCTATGTGTTTTAATGCACCAAAAATCAATATATAACTATATATAGTATATAAAATATATAAAACATGTTTACGTATATGTGAAACAAAATAGGATAATAATTTATTTTTATATTCTACATGTACTGAATAATAAGACTAATGTTAAATAATACAAGACATTAAGAAATAATATACAGAAATATCGTAGAGTAATAAAAGATATACTTTGCCTTTGATTGACTCTGTTAAAATATGTATATCTGATTTTCAATTTATAATTAATAAACTGTTGTTTTTCAAGGATAAGTTAGGATATTTAAAACGATGATAATACTGAAAACTTAGTTAAAAAGTGTATGAATTTTATAAATTCAGAGTTTCAAGTTTGATAATGATAATAAAATAGTAATAATTTTTTGTTCAATTTATTTTTTTGCTATTTATTAACCTTATAATTTTTATGATAAATAGTAGTTTATATATAACTATGTAAGTTGTCTACATATTAAAATCTAGCAATAATATCGTTATTTTGTATGTTAAAGTGTAGCGTACAGGCTATCTCCAAGATAAATACAAATATTGCGCTTTAATACAATCAATTATTAAGTATTTACATTACATAGAGTAAAAGATCGCTTACATAGCAAAAATGATGATAAATCGATCATAATTTTTATTAATCGTTTGATTGAATTATACATTTGCATTACCATCGATTAAATAATTTACCCTTAAAAATTTTTGATCAACTCCAAATATTTTTCCTACAACATATTTACAAAAATAATAATAATAATAATAATAATAATAATAACAATAATAATAAACAGCAATTATAAGAAAAATAGTAATTTTGTGTGGAGTTGTTTGTTAGTTCATGAAAAATGACAATAACTTACGATGGTCGCAATGCTTTTGACGTTGATGTTGATTTGCCAACTATTTCTGATGGTGTATTTTTGCGTTTATTACTTCTGCATCTTTTGACGTAGGCTTCTATTAATTGAGCAATTTTCTTGGGATTTATTTCTCCTGTTTTATTATGACATATCTGAAAATTAAATATTTTCCTTATTAATCAGTTATAACAAAGATTGTTTGTGAATTTTGTATCATAGAATATTATTTTTAAATATTTAATAAATCAACAAATAATAAATTACCTTGGGCACAGCCTTTCGCATAATATCCTTATATTCTTCTTTTGTGACATGTTTCTTAGTGTAATGTGGTTTTAGTACCAATTTAACTTCTTCAACAACTCGTTCTTGTCGATTGAGTTTTTTCAAAAACTTATCCTTTACTTGCATTTCAACAGCCGAACTTGGCAAGTCATCCAATATTTGAAGTTGATTTTCATCCATACGTACTCCCACTTTAGAGTTACTATTTCTTTTCCTTTTTTCAGTAGACTTTTTGATACGAAGTTTATTCGAACCTCCTTTAAGAACTGGAGATGATCCAAATAGCGCATCAAAAGCGTCTTTTTTATCTGAAATATTTCTATTTACTTTTGACGAATTATTAACATTGTTACTACTAATAGTTTTCGTCGTACTAGATATACCAGTTGCTGATGACAGTCGTGGAGGACTATGATGATTTCTAGCAGGACTTGGAGGATCAAAAATTCCATCACTTAAACTTGATCCTGGCGAGTAAGGTGAAGATGTATCAACAGCACCCATGTCATTACCAGTATCCATAGATACTTCACTGCCATTATTTGCAAGCATTGAACTATTTCTGTTACTACCCGGTTTTGAATTTCTTGAATTAACTGGCAAATTTTTCCCACCACTTGAAAATACGTTAGAAAGTGGAGGAACTCGATCATTTGTTCTTTGTTGCTTCAATTGACCACTTGGTGAGAGTCGATTTATTTGACAAGAATTTCTTTGAGCAACATTGAAGCCAGATGGTGGATTATTTAAATTAAAAATACCACTTCTTTGAACTGCAGCAGCAACAGTTGCCAATACAGGATTTATCGTTGTAAAGCAGTTCAAGTTTGATGAAGAAACTGGCATTTGATTTGCATGATCTTTAAATAATTGATTATCCATTGCTTTTGTTACATCAGATCTCATATCATGAGTTTTGATTGGAGAACTCACATTTTTATCCGGTGATATTGCTCTTTTGATTGTCACCATAGATATTACCTTTGGTTTTTCACTCTCAGGCTTTTCATTATTTGACATTAAAGTAGATTCATTGTGTTTTTGTTCACTGCTTAGAGTTTCTTCAATACTTGGAGTTGGTGATCGAGATTTAGTTGGATCAAATGGATCATAAACATCAGGAGACTCTAGAGGAGAAATTGGTGGTTCAGGAGGAGTATTAGGACCAATTTTACCGCCTTCCATTGCTTCTGAATTTTTATTATCACTTTTTGAAGATTTTTTTTCGCTATTTTCTAATTCACCTTCTTTCCTTTTAGTATTATCATCATCTTTTTCTTTACTTTCTCCCGTCCTTTTATCTTCACTTTCCATTAATACTCTTTCTTTGTCTCCATCAAGTCCTAATTCTAATTCTCTATCTTCTTCATCTTCATCATCATCTTCATCTATATCTGCCTCGAGACTATCTTTTTGTACTTTTGAATCTTTCTTTCCATTCGGTCTTTTTTCTCCTTCTAAATTATCTAAACCTTCATTTTTACTTCCATCTTGATTTTGTTCTTTTCTAAGTATATCTTGTATTTGGTCTTCATTTAAATCTGCATTTCTTTCTGAATCGTCACCATCTTCAAACATATCTATCTCTCCTTTTTCTTTTGATCCTCTCGAGACTTTACTTGATAATATCCTATTGCTATTAGTATTGATCCTTTCGTCAATCTCCATTTCATCATCTTGATCAATATCAAATAATGGATGCAAAGTAATTTGACGCATTGAACTTGGCTGTTTATTGATACAAAATTTAACTTGAGGTTCTGGCGGTGTTTTAGGTCCTTGCATCATGAACTGATCCAACTCCAATGATATAGAACGCTTCTGTTGCAATTGTTTGTACTGCTGTTGGAATAACTGTTGATGGTGTTCTTGTTGTTGTAATCCTTTGTCGTCTCCTTTAGCTAACTGTTTCATGTCTCCTGGTTGAACAACAAAACCAAACGTTCTTTGTTGATCATCACCATCGTCGTCGTCATCATCATCATAACCACTATTCTTTTGTCCAACTTTTCCTATAATATTGTCAACATTATTGTCATTAGAATTACCATTGATTTTACCAGCCTCACCAACATTATTACTGCCATTAAGACAATTATTAGAGTCATTAACCGCATTACTATTATTAAGACTGTTACTGTTATTGTTATTACTATTATGATTATTTCTTTCATCATTATTATTGCTATTAACGTTAACATTGCGGCCATCATTATTCTCATTATCATCATCACTGAGAACAATTACATCTTGCGGAGAAAGAGTTTGTTCACGGAATGGTGATTGATCTAAATCAATAACAGCAACAGGTTTTTTAGTTGCAGCAATTTCAGCTGCTTTCGATTTCTTCTTCTTGTCTCTTTTATTAAGCTTTGGTGATCTTGATCTTTTTTCTTTAGATCTATCTTTCTTTGGCTTTTTACTAAGCGGTTCATCTGTTCGAATTGGATCACGACGACGGCGTTTAGTAGTTGTAAGAAGTGGTAAAGTATCTGTTAAAGTTGTAACATTATTTGATTGGCTAGTTACATTATCATTATTGAAACACACGCTTACTAAAATATTATCACCACTTGCAAAAACTGCTTTTGATGGTGGAGGGGTTCGATTTCGTTTACCACTAACCTTGCGACGTTCTAAATCACGTGATTTTTTCCTTTCTTTAGCTTCTCTTCTTTTATCCTTTTTCTTTTTATTTTTATTAGCATCTTTATTACGAAGTATTACAGTTAAATTTTTCGGAGATACAACACCATCAATTGGAGCACCAACAGAGCTAGTAACTACTGCTGAAGATGATCCCAAATTACCCGCATTACCGAGAGAACTTAATAAAAGTGATGATTGAGAAGGTGGAGATGAAGGTGGTAATGCTAAGGATTGGGATACTCCTAATTCATCAAGTGAACTTGATGGTGACCAGCCGTGAGACGGCATAATATGATCATTACGTTGTTTATCAATTGGAGTTCGTGAACGCGATCTTGACCATGAAGGAGTCCACTGAGCACTCCAAGACGTTGGTGCTGCTGCATTCATTAATTGATCCTTATCTGTTCTGATACTAAATGGACTTGGGTCCATTGCTTTATTATTCCAACTCCGATAATTTCTTTCACGAGAATATGATCTGTCTCTCGATCTTGATCTATCCGTGAACATATTAGTATTTGAAATAGTCATTTTTCTCTTTATCCGTTTTTTGTTTAATGATTTAGATACTTTGGCAGACATCATGCTCTTACTCCTCGATCGTTTTCGTCGTCTTGAGTGGCTTCGTGATTTATGCTTTTTTGATTTATCCTTCTTTCTTGATCGCGATTTAGACCTTGATTTTGAGCGTTGTCTTGAACGTGAACGGGACCTTGAACGTGACCATGAACGTGACCGTGACCGATGCTTTCTCGATATGGATTTCTTTTTATTTCTTCGTCCAAGGCGTTGATTCGATGATGATCTACGGCTACGTCGAATTGTTAGAGACCTAGAGCGTCTTCTGGACAATGAACGTCGATCACGAGTTAATGATTTTTTTCTACCCCGTGATGTTGATTGTTTATATGATGGAGATCGGTCTCGAGACCAAGAGCGTTGATAGTGTCTTGACCAAGATCTACTACACCGTAAATTCATCCTTGGTGAGTATGATCGGCTTAATCGTTCACGAGAATGAGATCTTTTATTACTTTTTTCTAAACTTCTACTACGTGATAAACTTCTTGATAAACCACGAATATCTCTACCATATTCGTCTTTCCTAGGACGAACGGGTTTTTCTGCTACTATTTTTCTTACATCATACCGTGGTAATTCTTTTCTTTTAACTTTCTTTTTGTCCGTTTCATCTTTTTTCTTTTTTATTTTTTCTTTACTCTTATCTCTATTTTTACTTTTATCTTTTAGAAATTTCTCTTTATCCTTATCTTTTTCTTTATCTTTTTCTTTCTCATTAAATTCTGTACTTTTCATTTTTTCACGATACTGACGTTCTTTATTATTTTTAGAAATCTTTTTCCATGCAACATGATTTTCAGATGATATATTCTCTTTATTTTTTTCAGTATCCTTACACTTGTCCCTTTTATCTTTTTTCTTTTTATGACCATCAGAATCTTCTATATCTGATAATTTGTCACTTTGTTTTTTACCACTAGATTTATTATCATCGGCATCATTATCATTCTTGTTCTCTTTCTCTTGTCGTTCGCTTAAAAGTAATAATTCATCTTCAAAATTAATTGGCTCATCATTTTCAGAAATTGCTTCTGTACCTAATCCAGCATAGTCTATTGGAGTAGCACAACTAACATCCAAATCATCAGTTGATCGGTCTTTAGTAGGGGGTGTAATTGGTTCTAAACCACTATCATAAGGAGATTCATTATTTTCATCTTTATCATCTTTTTCCTTTATTGGCATTTCATCTTTACACGGCGTGTAAGCACCATCAGAATCCCAATTATCAACACTAATATTTTTATCATCGTCATTATCTTTATCAATAGTATTTGATGACTTATCTGGTTCTTTTTCCAGTTCAATATCAGAATGGATCATCGAATCTATTGATATATTTTCCGATTGACTTTTATCTATTTCCGTTTCATTATCATCATTAGTGACCTTCAATTTATCATCTTCATTATGAGACGATATATCTCCAGAAGTATTTTTTAATTCTTCAACATTTGTTTGATCAGATACTTGAACATCAGCAATACTTTTACCTTTATCATTTTCTTCTTGATTACTTTTAACCTCTTTTATATTAAATTCTTCCACTTCATACTCACCATCTTTTTTTTCATCGTCTTTTTCTTTTTCTATTTTTTCAGAACTATCATTGTCACTTTTAACAACAACACTGCCTTCACAATTTTTCTTATCATCACTCTCATCACTTTTCGATTGATTATCAGAAACTGTATCGTTTTTCACACGCTCAAATTTCTTTTCTTTAGATTCTTTTTCTTTTTCTTTCTCCAGTACATTGGGTTTCTCAATATTATCATCAAGTTCATCACGTATACTACATAATTTATTATTTAATTTAAATTTACTACCAATTTTAAAAGTTATTTTTCCTCGAGCATCAATAGATAATTTTTTTGGTGGAATTTTACTTAATGTCTGACGTTCTTTTTGTAAAGATTCAATATATGGGTCTGAAGGTTCCGGAATATCCGTCAAATCACAAGCTTGTACGTCAGCAACAATAATATCATCATCATCTGGTATACTGGGTGGCATTGGAGGTGGTTCTAAAGGTCCTATTTGCTGAGTTAATTCTTGTTCAGTATGTCTGGCAACATCCATAGTTTCTGAAGAGTAAATAGAGAAATTCGGACAATCTGATTGTGAATTGTTATCATCTTCATCATCAGATACGTCTAAACGAAGAAGTCCCGTATTTAATTCGTCAAGTTTATTAGATGAATCAATTGGTGGTAAATCTGGTGGCATAGGGGGTGGTTCTAAAGGCAGTGTAGATGAATCAATGTTCTTCGGATTTATTTCATTATTATCACCTTTATCATGTTTATTTTTCGTACTATCATTACTATCACTATCAATAACCGAAAACGGATCATATTTATCATCTGTTTTCATTTCATTCGTTTCTGTATCACCAGACTCTTTTGGAGTATCGTCTATCACTAAATCATTTTCGTCACTTTCATTTTCATTGTCACTTTTCATATTATCTTCAAAATCTAACAAGTCCGATGGTGGAACTGGTGGAGGTAATAATGCTACTACATTTTCACCATTATTTTCATTATCACAATTTGTTTTGGCTGTATCTGCGGATTTATTAACAGGAATCTCCATATCACTATAAATATCACACTCCTCTCCATCTGCTGGTTGTTCTGGTTGAACAGCTGCCAAAGGTTCACTTGAAACAGATTCGTTGAGTGTAGGTGAAGTGTCAGCAAGATTTCCTGTTTCCTGTTCAGCTTCTGAGTTAACGTTTACTGGTGTTAAAGGGGAAGATGATACTTCAGTTGAATTCAGATTATTCGAAGCTGTGTCTGGAGCAGCTGAAGTAGTATTACTAACAAGTGGAAAATTATTTATGTGAGAAAAATTGGAGTGTTGTGATTGATTTAGCGATCGAAACGGTCCTGATCTGTCAGAATTAAATCGTCGTTGTCGACCGTTATTATTACGAAAATTATTACGGCCTCTGAATGGTGGCATTCCAGGTCCTGGAGGTAGTCTCCGATTATCAAAATTTGGCCTAAAATCATTCATGGATGGCGGTGGTGGTCTAAAATCTCCATAACCAAAATCATTTCTTGATCCTGAACCACCATAGTTTTGTTGTCCACCACTTGAATAAGAGTCTCGTATACTATAATCATTTCTATTATGATTCCTATTGTAATAATTGCCTCTAAAATTTCCTCCGTCAGCGTTATTATTATTTCCACTTCCTCGTGAATTATTATATAAAGGTGCTTGAACTATGTCCACTGAACTGATAGTTGTAGAGACAATTGTATTTTCAATTTCTGGACTATTGGTAATCCTACTATCTTGTGAAGCATCATTACTTCTAACAATATCTTTTTCTTGATCAGGTATAATCAGAGTGCCGTCAGCTTTGAGTGTTATTTTCTTTTCTTTTGAATGCCACAACTTTTGACTATTAATAATATTTGTGATTAAATCCGTAGCTGGTTGAGGTTCATCTCCTGTAGAAGTAGAACTTGTAACACTTTTGAGAGCCAATCGTCGTCTAATTGTATTTATTGATGATACACCTCGATGTTGAATACCAACAATGGAACCAGTATCGACACCATTGTCTTGTCTCACAGAACTCATTTCATCATCTGACCTAGAAAAATAAATTTGATTGTAATTATTTAATTTAAATATATGCATTATTTTTTTTTATTTTGATAGTATAAATTATTAATGAGAATTTAATTAATTCATAACTAATGAATACTTACCCTGAAGGTGAATAATCTAAAGCAAGATTATTTCCAAATAAATTGAGTTGTGGAATGCCAGCACGGTACCTTGCATTAGAGATTTCAGATCGTTGAGATCCTGGTAATTGTTTTGTTAGACTAAATCCAGTAGAATTCATTCCTCCAAGTTTTCTAGCCATGCTTAATGTAAGAGCTAATCGTTTTCTCACAGCCTTGATGTTGTCGAGCTGACAAAAAAGTTTACGACGCATCGATTTTGTTTTTCGCTTCTAAAAAAAGAAATAAAGAACTCTTCAAAATAACATTAAGTTGATTGGACAACAAATAGTTAAGTAACAATTCAATAGAAATAATTTTTAGTTAAAACAATGAGCGGAATTTCATGCTATAGGCATCTTGAATAATTTTCGGACTGGGAAAAAAACATTAGCAAACTATACTTGAATGTTGAATTTATTTACTCATGTATTCGACTTATCAAACATTTTCAATTAGTAACCATTAATTTATAGTGAGTAAGTAATAATTTACAATCATTGGTACATTTAACATAAATTCACATGTCTTATGACATTATTATCTAAATTAGTAGTTTTATGAACGAACAAAATATTACAAACGCCAATTTGAGATTAAAATTCACTATAACAATTAATTTTTTGATTTTTTAAGATTAATAGATACGTATCACTGTTGTATCCTTAATTAATTTGGTCAAATTAACTTAAGAGCGAATACATTGAGTTTATTAAAAACATTGGAAGTCATAATTTAAACTAATTGGAAGGAAAAATAGCAATTGATGATGTGTTATATTTGTATATAAGGATAAAGTGATGTTGAAAAATTCATTAATTTTTTAAAAGAAAGTCATAAATTATGAAATTACGTTGAGTTTGGTACCTTACGGGATTTTACTGTTCGCTTCTTACGTTTCCGGCTTGTTTGGCGTGATTTAACTTTGACATAGGTCACTATTTCCTGTTCTTCACCGTCAGTATTGTATTCTCTGATGTATACTTTTTGATGATGTAATTTATTATCACTCTTTGTTTTATGACCTCTTTTTTTTCGACTAGATGTTTTACGGCTCTTAGATTTAGTGGTAGTGCGTCTAGATGGAATAGTACCAGAGGCTCGACTATTTTCCGAAATTGAGTCTAATCCAGATGAAGTTGATGGCTGATCTGGATCAAATGTACGTGGATTTGCACGATCACTCGTTCTATTGCGATCAGCATGAACGCTAGCACGTACACGTTCTGATTGACGTGTTCGTGGAATAAGTCGTTGTCGTGAATGAAATCCAAAAATTGGATCAAAAGGTGCAGTAAATCCTAGACGTCTTCGTCCATAAGTCTGTCCAAGGAGCCTTGCTTCTGCAATTATGTCTGGTAACTCATTGAAATCTTGTTGGATCTATAAAAATGTCATAAAAAGATTTAGTTTCTATTACATTGAAATAATAATTAAAGAAAGTAGTTTATTTGTTACAAAAGTCTCGCTATAAATATTTTTGTTAGTATTTTTCATTTAACTGTTATTTTTTTAAAAATAGTGTAATCAGAAATTATTATTCAAACTTTCACGTTTTACGAACTATATGTAGCTATTAAAAGAGATTAAAAGCTTGATATTTTTACGAGCGATGTTTATTTAATAATATTTGTCTATTACCAAGAAGAATTATCCAATGTTAAATAAAGAATTATTACAGAAGAATATTAACGATTTATGGCAAATGGTATGAATATTTGAATTAGCTTATTGATTTACCATCCATAAAACTGTTCTTTATAAATAAATCATTTCATCATTTGTTATTAATCTAACTTATTATTTAGAATAACTGAATAAATATCTAGGTGAGTATATTTGGTAAAAAAAATGTTACAAAAACTTAATAAATACAAAGGCCTTTGTAACGATAAATGAATAATATCATTTGTTTAAAACCTACCATTTCAGTGAGATCTTGATTTTGTTCGATTATACGTGAGCACCCTGGACAGAACCATTCTTCGATAGGAACCTGATCCATTGGTGGTGTTAAACACTCTAAATGGTAACCCGAATCACAACCATCACACAATAACAGACGATCTTCACGATCACCCTGATGACAAACTTCACATAGCGTAGGATTTTCTTGCACTGGTTCCTCTACCGTAGATCTTGGTTCTACAGGTATAACATTCGTAACCTATAAATATTTGATATAAATGAAAATTTCAACAAAATAATTAATCTTATTAACTAATTTTGACATACCTCTCCATCTATTCGTGCTTTAACATGGATGGTGTTGAACTCTAAGCGGTCTACTGGGCAAGTGTTAATATTTCTACTCCATTCATTTATGCATAACAAACAGAAACAATGATCACAGGAAGATGGTATTCCTATTTCTTGTTTGCGAAAAGATAATAAACAAATAGGACATTTTTCTGATTGGCCATCGCTTTCGTCAGATTCTGCACCTTCTGGATGACTATCAGTTGATTTAGTAGTCTTTTTAGGTTGTTTTTGAACATTTTTAGATTTTTTTGGCGACGTATTATCTGAACTATCACTACTGCTTTCCCAATCTGATTCCCACTCACTGTCAGTACTATCAGAAGCGACTAATGATTCGAAAAAATTAAAGAAATTAATTTTTCTAATAAATAATATTGAAATATTTTTTATTAACTATTTATTTCTTACTGAATACTGATGTATCACTTGCACAACTGCTGGAACTCATATCATCATCTTCCTCCTCCTTAAAAGTAGTAGAAAACAATAGAAATATTAATGAAAATACATGATTAGTGAAATAGTCATAATCTATGGATAATTTAACGACTTACGTGGTTTTTTCGTTTTAATGATTTTCCTTTTTCGATGTTTACATCTTCATCACTACTATCATCACTCAAGACTTTCTATAAAAATAAAAATATATAAGTTATTAACTAATTCGTAAAATCTAAATCACTTGAATTAATTATAAAATTGCACAAAACCTCAATGATGATCCAATTTAATAGTTAACCTAATTCTAAATTACTGTTTTTTATTTAAGACTAAATAACGATATATTTTCTTCTCATTTAAAAATATTTAATAACTCACTTTTGATCGACATTTGCGATTAACTTTAACTACAAACGAATCATCACTGCTTTCACTGTCAGATATACGACATCTAATTCGTTTTGATGGTTTTGGGATATGATCACTGTCACTTGCCATTTTCAAGTGATGATTATTCAGCTAACGATTATGAACATCCTTTAGATAACTATAATCAATAAACAATAACAATATAATTATCTTATTAACATATACTTTCAATAACAAACAAATGGCGTACAATAATAATGGCTATGATTATAATAACAATAATAATAACCACAAACCATTGATATTATTATGATGCTGTGTTATATTATAACGAATTTTCTCTTGTTTAATATTTTCTTTGTTGTAAATGATGTAACTTGCTGATGAACAAACTGAAAAATTATTAAATAATTAGACATGTCTGTAAACAATTATGAAATGGAGTAAATGTTTAAAAATTACATATTTGTCCAATTTTATACAGTTATATACATTTTTAAATATTATTAATAATCTTATTAGCATGTTAAATTATTATTTATCCTTTTATCATCTTCAAGAAGATTTTCTGTTGTATATAAAACGCTCGATGCTCTAAAAACTGATAGCATTTCTTTTCAATTATAAAGAAAACCGCAGCATTTCCGTAATAATATATGAAAGTCGATACTTTATGTTTTAATAAATAAATAAGTAATTTAAAAATATCACAATTATTAAAAACATTTTATGGTAGATGTATCAGAAAAGAAATAGTAGAAAACTTTCAGTCAACTTAGTCTGTAAATTGTTTACTATTTGTGCGGATTGAATTTCAATATTTACTTAATTAAATAACTTACGGATATATATTATTGATAACACAGTGATTTTAAACAATATTACAAGTAAAATGACAGCCGAGAGATACGCTAACTTGATCTGCCCAATCTTCAGACATCTTAGTTACTCACGACGCCAATTTACGACGTTGCAATATTTATCCTTTTAAGATGGCGACCACCATGGTATTAAGTGAATTCTTCAATCAACTAAAATACTTATTTGACAACAATTGAAAAATTATTTGCTGATCTCTTCGATATGTTGTTTTACAAATAAGTTAATTACATGTATTTACAACTAAAAATATCTTTGATATTTATTAATCAAGAATATGGTATAATTTTTTTTCTCCAAAAAATACAGGAAACACAGATGAGTAATTTGACTCACGTAGACACTTTCAGACTACTACTTCCGCATCTGCGCAGTAAATTTTCCCAAGAAGAGCGAATCGATTGTAAGATACAAATAAATACTAAGTAAATTACTGATTTATCTAGATATTTTAATATATATGTACACTAAATAATTAAGTAATACATGATAGTTAACCAACACAGTTTTAATTGGGTAAAGGCAAATTATGTGAGATTGTATTCAACTTCAACTTGGTAATAAAGTAAATGAAGTTTTATGTCTTTGGAACTTTATAAATAGAAACGAATACATTATTAGTATTATAAAAAGTATTGCAATTATAAATATATTTTATACAATAATTACTAGCTTTTTAAAATGTAATTCTATCAGTGATTATATAATTTCAAAAGTTAAATAATGTACAAAAATATTTATTTTTGTAAAAAAAAACAATTATCTAAAAAAAAAAATTACAAAATATTTAAATCAATGTAAACTAAAAATTAACTGAAACAGCATAAAATATGATTTTTGAATTAATTCATTTATCTTCGTTTATATTATTTTAATTTTATTATGACTTAAATTCATGATTTATGAATCTCCACTGTTCATTATTTAAGCTTTTTTTTACAAAATATGTTTTATCTATTTCTGTTATTATTCATTAGTTATACTCATACTTATATAATTATTTTTTTGCATATATACATGTGAAATAATTAATGTGTACTTAAAATTAAATTTAAATCAATTAAGTATTATAGACAGCTCTGTGACTTCTTAAAAATTAAATTAATAATTTTATTAAAATTTAATTGTAATTTTCTCTAGAAATTCGTTTAATTCAAGCATTATTGTGTCAATTGATATCTTGAAAATTTTGCGCCTTTTTCCACTTAGCCACCATACTTGATACTTCTTTATGCTTTTTATTTATAACAATTTTAACCTGTAATTGAATTGAAATAATTAGTGGGATTAGAAACAAAATTGCAACTGTTTTTCAAGATAGCAGTTAATTATATAATTTATCCAAATTCACCTTTTTCTTTTTTTTTTCTTTGATAGAATTATCAGTTGTGGGAGATGACGAAAAAGGTTGACAATCAGTTTTGATTGGCATAAATAAAGATTCCTGATGTAGAGTGGATTGCAACGTAGGTGTTTGAATATTTTTGACTTCTTGTTTATCACTTGTAGTAGCTTGACTTTTTTCAAGAGATGCAATATCGTTGTAAAATGAATCAACAGCAGAACCCAAAGATTCTTTTTTCATATTGATAGGAGGTTTTGATATCACCTGAGTATTTGCATAAATGCCTGGATGATGAAGCATTAATTGAACTGCTTCCGGATTAGTAAATCTGTTTGCAGCAGCAATTATAGCTTGCTGTTTCGATAAAATACAGTTAAAATAATAATAAATGAAAACTTCTATAATGCATTACATCATGCACTTGAACTTATCGAATAGAAATACTAATCCTCAACTTACATCATGTAGATGCTGATAAACAGCTGGATAATGTACAATTTGATTATGAACCAAAGCTGGATGATGCCCTATTATAGAAATATTCGTTGGATTTGGTATGGCTGCTGCATAAATTGATGCATTAGACTGTGGAGCAGTAGAAAAAATTACAGGTGATTCGATGGATGCAGCAGCGATGGCATAAGGACTTTCAGTTTGATCTACACCAGGTGGAAGAGGTTCAATATGTGAAGGTGTATTTGCTACAGTTAAATGAGTATTAGATGATGGTAATAACACTTCACAAGTAGTTGAAGTACTTTCTGGTATATTCATTATATTCTTCTTTTCACTTTCATCAATACCTAAGAAATAATTTTTAACAATTATGAAAATTATAAACTTTAATCAATTGAATGCACTGAAAATGACTTACCATTCGTTGTTTTATCATTACTATTATTATTTGGAGAAACTTTCGATTGATTTTTGTTATTTGATTTATTTTTCTTTTTTAAATCATCAGCATATATTCTGGGTGGCGGTGGAGGACTTGGTACAGATATTTGAGGAGGTAATGGTGCCGTTAGTTCACATGACTGACTCGTATTATCAATTAATGCTTGAATTTTGTCGTGTTTATCATCAGAACTATCACTTTCTTGGGATGGATTTTGATTTATTACATTTGTATTATTTTTTTCTTTGAGTAGTTTGGCACTTTGCGATTGCTCTAAATTACTTTGAAGCCTTTCAAAAACATTAGATTCAATAATTTTTATTTCTTGCTGATGAACTGGGGATGAGGCTGCTGGAGGTGTCGTACATATTTCCATTTCTTCAGCACCACCAATAATATCTGGATAAGACCATTGTATTTCTCCACTTATTTTATTTTTATAGTAATATTTTTTAGAATCTCTATACAAAAATAAATAATTGCATTAGTTATTCTATAATATTGTTGAAAGTTTGATAGATTAACAATATTCTGTTCGCTTACTTATTCCAAAGATAATCCCATTCAGGAGGAGCAGCAGCTTCTTCTAATTGAGAAACAACTTTTTTTGTGTCATTTAACCAATTAAAAAAATAACTATCAGTTAAATCACCAGACTCCCAGGCATTTGAAAGAGCCTATAATAAAGATAATTACAAAAATAATTAAAATAAACATGAACTAAAATAAATTTAATGAAAACAAATCTTACTTGTAGTTGAATATTCAGTACTTGAGCAGTAGGTATTTCTCCATTTTTTTCGCACAAAATTTTCAATTTTTCTATGAGTATTTGTACTTGATGCGTAAAAATATAATTTTCGGTCTTCGAGATTTCATTTTTTACCTCTATCGTTTCACCTTTGATAAAATCGATAGAATATTTGCCTAAACTACGTTTTTTTTCTTCAAAAGAAACAGTAGAAGAGATGTCTTTAGTTGAATTATCGATTTTATCATTATCAATTAAAGGCCTTTTTAAAAATCCTAAACCAAGACGTTCATCATTTCCTCGTGAATTGGCTAACACTTTTGAAAAATATAAATTCATTATTTATGTAGAAATTAATTGATCCAATACTATTAACATAACTAATTTTTTTTACCATCAAAAGCAATTCGCCTTTTTCGTTGAAACCCTTTCATCGATGTACTTATATTTTCTAAAGTTCGATTAATCTTTGGTAATTCGTTATTTTTACTAAACATTTGCATTGATTCTTCATTACTTGAAAATTCTACTAAATCTGATGGTAATTCTGATTGATCTGAATTTTTTCCAGCTTTTAGGTCGTCTGATCTAGATTTATAAAATGAAGAAGGAAAAAGTGTATTTGCAGGGATTTTTTTGCTATTCAAACTGTCATCATTATCTGAATTGTCCGTGTAACCAGATATGAACCAAGGCTTCATTTCATTCTTATACTCAGTAGATTCATCTTGTGATTTACTATTTGTTGAAGAATAATTACTAATTCGACTACTTGAAGGTTTTTCTGGTTTTATTTGATATTCATTTTTACCATCATCCACTCCTCTATCATGGTTATTCTGTACATCTTGATTTTTTGATTCATAATTATTAGTCTTTTTTGATGAATTACTTGCTTGTGATTCGTCGTCATTTCTTTCATCATCGTCGTCACTTCGATCTGATTCAGAGTTATCATCTCCAAAAGATGTGATCATTTCAATAGTGCTGAAACTTGAAAAATGATAAATAAATGAAATTTTACATTTCTCCTATTTCAGAATATATAATATTTCTTTTAGATAAATTATTGTACTAAAAATATATACTTACTCATCATCAGAATCATCACTTTTATCTTTTGGTTTCGTTTTTTTTACCGATAATTTTTTTTTTGAATTACCTGGATCACATTTTTGTTTACTCCATGAGAGATTTGTTTTAACTGTTTCGTTTGATGGGTTATTTTTTTTTTGTGGATCTGTATGATTTATTATATAAATACCAATTATAATGATTAAAATTTTTAGATATTTTATAATAAAATAATTACCCGCTGGTTTATTAGATTTCGGAACATCGGAAGTTTTAATCTTAGGATTAGCCTCAATTTTATCTTGATATTTACATGATTCTTTCAGTTCTTTGAGCTCTTTTGGTATATCCCAAGTAACTTCATTGGTTTCAATATGCCAATAATACGGATATCCGGTAGACTCGTCGTAACACTCTTGCCACACTATTAATAATTATTAATAAAATAATTACAAAAATATTTATGTTAATTCATATTTGTACACTTACACGAAGAAATTTTGTCACATGCTGAAGAAGGCTCGCTAGATTTAACGGCGTTTTGGTTATTTACATTGGGAATATTAGATTCTTTGTTTTGTTCTGTAATATATTGAATTTCCTGCAAAAAAATTTTTTTTAGGAATTGAGTTCTAGAGTGAAAAGAAAATGTTTATTAAAAATTGTGTGTACATACCTTGAAAAAATCGTTGACTTTAGCATTCAAACCCTGTCTAACATCGGTTTCGGGCTCATCATCATCACTATCTGAATTGTATTGTTCCACTAAATTGATAAGGGAGCTACTAGATATTCCATTATTTTGAATGTTTATAGAATTTTCATCCAGAATATTTTTTCTACGTCGTTTTTTGTTATTCATTATAATAATTTAACAAATAACAAAGTTAAATATTGATTTTACTAATGTCTATTTAAAGTAAATTCCAAGATTTAAAATCAAATTGACTTTGAGTAGCTCAAAAAGAATAATAAGATACTACAGTATTATGAATACATGAATACAGGAGTATATCTTCATCACACTATCCAACACTACAATAAAGAACATGATATAATTGTTAATTTTAAAATTTCGTGTAATATATTAATAATTGAGTTTGACTTATAATTAACCTCAAAAAATTGTTGAAAGTTTGTACAAATGTTTATGTTAGAAAGGTACATGATCCGAAATAAAAAATATATTTGAGAGCATAACAATCTTTAAATAAAATATCACTTCACTAGAAAGTCTGAAATTTTCAATACACTTTATTATCACGACTCTTGATGATTAAAGCCTATATCATTTTTTTATCACAAAAAATTTATGTATCTGAATATAAATATACATAAAATATACTACATAAACATGTATAAACATATCATATTCATGATATAACACATGATAGAGTCTAAATTTCGACACAACTCGTGTCCGCCATGTTCAATCAGCTGTTTAGAAAAAGATAAGAAAAACTACTGTCTCTTTCTGACTCATAGATATTGGTTTTGTTTGGACAGAAAATGGTGAACCATTGTAATGACCAATAGAAGACTAAAATTTTGTGTCTAATGGTGCAATCAGATTAGCGAATCCCTCTACAGACAAAAATAGGCATTTAAGAAGTAGACGACCTCTTACAATGTTTTTGTAGGTTAAGAATTCTGTAGCTGTTTAAGTTAACAGCATGGCAATAATTTTCTACTCCAAAAAGTAGATTTAATAAGTTATATATTACTTCTTCAGTTAAAAATAATTTTTTTATCGTTAAACACGTCTATCAATATTTAAAAAATATTAAAGTATATTTGTTGTGCGAATTTCAATACACAAAGCATTAAATTACCAAATCACAAATAGGTTATTAATTGATCATAAACAATGGAAAAAAATTATCGATTATTTGTAAAGTGCTTACCAAATAATATTACAAGTGATAAACTTCAAAAACTTTTTGATAAATATGGATCTATTAGTAAAGTTGACATCAAGGAAAAATCTATGAATGATGGAAGTAAAATTGCTTTTATTAATATTACTTCAACAGATCGGAAGCTGAATAATTGTAAATATATAGAAATACTATACATTAATATGTACTTTATCATCATTAAAATGTATAATCTAAGTATTTTTAAATTTTTTATTTTCTAGGCTATCAGGATATAAATTCTACTGTTTTAGAGGGTAAAAATCTCTCAGTGGAATTAGCAAAAGAAAGTTTTCTTGAGAAACTTAAAAGAGAAAGAGAAGAAGCACAAAAAAAAACTACTGAAAAACCAAATGGGAAAATACTTCAAGGTCCTTTGGAGCCAATTAACATTAAAATCCCTGATAAATTAAAAAATAGACAAAAATCTCTCATTTCACAAACTACAGAATTTAGTCAAGATCAAAACTTACCAGAATATACAGTAAAGTGTTCTTCTCAAATTAAAGAAATCAATGCAAATTCAGATATCATTAATAATAGTGATAAAAATAAATACGAATCAGAATTGAAAAGAGTTGCTTCTTTAAAGCAACGAAAACAATCGTTTAAAGCTAAAGAACAATTAATCCGGAATGCCTTGAAAACTGTGGTACGTAATAAATAGCCTTTTAACAACTTCAATACTTAAAATGTTATTTTTCAATTTTTTCATTTCTTCTTTTAGGACAGTAAAAAAAATAAAATTGTTTTTTCTGATGATGTTGAGAACTCTGTAAATAATTTATCGCATCAAAAAAAACCATCGAATCATCCACAGCTATTTGATGACGATAACGATGATGATAATGAACACAATGAAATTACTTTCGATTTTAATAAGAAATACAAGCCTCAAGTAAGTTATTTTAAATCATGAAAGTCATGGCAATTAGTCTTTTACAATATTGTCAGCATACTTGGTTTTTAATTGAATCATTTCCTATCAGGCACAATCGATTGGAAATGATAGTCGATTTATTATGGATGACAGATTTAACGAGGACGAAGAGGAGGATTGTCAAAATGAAAACGATGAATCAAATACAGAAAATCTAGAGAAAGATGAGTTAACTAAAGAAAAAGAACAAGAATTGAAAATTTTAGAAAATGTGCTAGGAAAACCTATGATTCAAAGAGATGATAAAAATATTCCTCCAAGAAGGTAAGTATCTCAATCAATTCTTAGAAAAAATATTCAAGTATCAAAAGTAATCAAGAAATTTTGATAAATAGAACAAATGCTATGATTCGTTATGATCCTACAAAAGATGATCATCGTAAGCATGAAATAAAATTCGAAGAAAAAATATCTGAGCCGAAGAAGAAAAAGAAGAAGAAAGCGATAATCGAAGAAACAGAACAACCTATTCCAGTGTCCAATGAAGTATTTTACTCGGTCTCAGATAATCTTAAAGAAAGTTTAACTAAAAAAGAAGAAGGATTTAGTTTATTAAAGACTTTTGGTGCTACTGACATTCCAGGTATTTCTTCTATTTCAAATGTATTAAATCTATTATAAGTTGATTTTTTTATTAATCATGGACATTAATTTCTTAAAAAAATTCTTTTATAGAGAATAAAAATAATAACGATTCTGCTGAGGCTATTTTACATCAATCATCTAAATTAGGTGCTAATTTTGATATAAAAAACCCATTCAGATATGATTCATCTGAGTCAGAAGATGAAGATTTTTCTGAAAATACTAATACTCGAAATGATTCGAAAGAAAATGGATTGAGTAATAATTCATCATCATATTATATTGATAAATTTTTCTTAATTGATGATGATCCTAGATTCAAAGGTAATAAATTCAAAGCTTTTATGATTTAATTACAAGTATTTTATTCATATATATTTCAGTTTAAGTATTTCTATCGTTCTTTTATAGACGCAGAGGATTTTTTCGGAACATGTTCTACATCCGAAACGCCTTTCAACGAGTTGAGACGTGAATTAAAAAATATTGTTCGTTCAAAGGTACGGAATAATGTTCGAAAAACTTTACCTTGGAAGAAAAAAATATCAAGTGTAAAACGTGTGACAAAAAGACGTAAATAGTTTAAATAATTTTTAAAAAGAATATAAATATGTTTTTTTATTAAAAAAAAAATGTTGATAATTTTTAAAAAAGATATAAATTTTATTTCAACCTCATCCACCTTAGTATTTCATTATAATAGAAAATAATTTTTTCACATTTATTCCCTAAAGATAAACATTAATTAATTAAAGAAAAAAATATTCAATATATTTTATATATACAGAAGTTAATGACTTGATTCAATGATTTTTTAATTTTATGCATTTCGGCGGTAAATTTTCGATAAAATTTTGAAAAATAGGTCGTGTGGTAGTCCACGTGATATCTGTTGAATATGAGTATTCATGAGATTATAACTTTCTTCTTCATAAATCGCGTAAGTTGTGGAAAGTCCTAAGTCATCATACAACTGTTTGATTCGTGCTACTTTTTCATCATCATTATACCCATAGCATTCCTATGAAAGGAAATGTCATAATTTTATTTAAAGTAGAATACCTAATAAGATTTCTTCAACTAGAAATTATTTTACCTCAAAAATCTTTCTCTGAGACGGTGTTACGCGTTGAAGAGCAACGACGGCTAACCAAGTGCATTTCCCTTCTTTAATATCTGTTCCAGTAATTTTTCCGGTTCGTTTTGAATCTCCATAACAATCGAGATAATCATCTTGAACTTGGAAGAAATGACCTATTTCTAATAGAATTGTTTTTGCTTGCCTATGCATTTCTGGATCTGTAATTCCCGCCTATAAAATAAGAATATTCTTTAATTAGTAATGTTTAATTCAACTGCAATTTAAATAATATGAATAACTTGATACTTACAAAATCCATTGCTAAAGTTACTGGCATAACGAATGAGTAATATGCAGTCTTATACTTTACAATTGCATTATAGCGATCCATTGTGAATAAATTAAAATTTGGTCGCTCACCGAATTGTGTTGAAAGTGTATCTAACGTTTGACCCATAATGGTTTTCAACGTCGTCTAAATTATTCATAAAAAAAATTTAATCATACATATCATAAAATTTATAAGATTTTAGTTGATATGTAAACAAGTTTTCATTTTACATCATGGAAACACTCCAAAAGATTCACATAACATGGCTTTTTCTTAAAGTACATTCGGAGTAATTGATACAATGTTTGCTCCAATAAAAGCCCATCATTTATTGCTGAGAGTCCAATATTATTGTGTAAATACCAGCATGGTTGGCCCCTACGAGTCACTGAATGATCCATCACATCATCTTCTACCAATAAAAATGCTTGATGCTACAATAAGAATAGTATAATCAATCAATTGAATGAAAATTAACTTGCAATTTTTATCCACGCACCAATTCAGCACACCAGCCTAGAATTCGAGCTAGACGGATATTATCTTCTGTTAGTTGGTCTTGGGGTACTAATTTTCGATAGGCATATACTAAAGCTAAAGCCCTATTTTTTTTTCCGTTAGGAACATTATATTGTAGCACCTGTAAAAATTAAAAATTAAATCGTTTACATACTTTCTATTTTATTTATTATTATTTATAATAAGGTGATGTCTACCTTTGCCATCCATTTAGTTGCCTCTGGAATATCTAAATGACGACCAGCTTCAGTGAGATCACGAACAATATCAGGCCACAGGGCCATCATTTCCCTACTTTCATCTTTACTAGATATCCAATTTATTTGAGCCATACTATGAGCCATTCGACGTATGACAAACCTGTTGTGCAATTAAATAAATTATTCATTCTTTTTAAAAAAAATCCAATCTTAAGAAAAGTAACAAATTTACATAAAATGTAGAATAAATATTTATTGATTCCAACAAAGAACTGCGTTTAAAATAAATGTGAAAAAATAATGAAACTGTTTTTTGATATTTTGTTTTCTCTAAGGCAAACATTGATTGAACTACGGAAGTTTATTGTTCTTTTATACTCTGTTACCAAGAATAACAATAATTATACTGTTTTTCTTTAAGAAAAAAAATTAATTTTACTTATGTCAACGCTATCCAAACTTTTTCATTGATAAGACGACTTTGCATTTAACAATAGCTTTGAAAATTATAATGATAAAAATCTAGCCTTCATCATCATAGTTGTAGCATTTAAATATTATAAATATAAATGTCTTGATAACTGAACTATTTACAAAAAAATAGAACAAAAAAATATGTATAAAAGTATTATTAAGATAGTAAGCTGCTATCATTGAATGTTGGCACTAATGTGGAACCCGTTAACATTATTATTAATTATTATTCACGTTTAAGTTGACTATTCATAAAGATAAATATATCCAATTATAAATAAAAACCTTGACAGAGATCATTTGATGCGTTGACCTTGATAGAGGTGTTTAGATCAAATGTAAGATTTAATAAAATTATTTCTTTATTGTTGTTTTATCATACTTACTACTTGATAACAACAATAAAATTATATTTGCAAAAATGATTACCTGGAATTTTGGATTGAAACATCATAACTCGCCAATTTGCCAAATGATTTTGATTTTATTTTATGGGAATGTATAAAATTTTGATAGGCTCTTTTTGGAAATAGTTTTAAAATTGATCTATTGACGACAGACATTGTGGCTAATTCTGAAAAATTAAAGATATTTTGGAAAAAAAATTCATGAAAAATGTCACTCCTAAATCATTTACTCCAAAATAAATAAACAAATAAATGGAAAATACTTACACAATGTTTTCCTTTTAAATCAATTTGTTTATGATATCCTGATAATTGTTTGAAAATTATTTATATTTAGAAGAAGTATCAATTTATTATTTATTAATATTCTACAGTAATTTTAATGTATTATTTACAGTGCAAGTAATTGACTAACAGTCAAAGATAAAAAATGAAAGTTGTAATTTCTTTTTCTACTTGGGTGTACGTGCCATTGCCTACGAATGCTGATGGTGGACTAAAGAAATTTAAGAAAACAACTCAACACATCATGTTTAGTTCTAAAAAACTTGACTATATTCATGGGAGGCAGTAGTATCGTACAGTCATCAGCTGAGATGATGAAACGTCAGTTTATCAGTTCATTGTCATTATCAGATTAATTCACATTTTAAGATATCTTATTCTATTTTTAATTAAATGTTGCTTTTATTCCATGATAATTTAAAGAAAATTTATGTATTTAATGATAATAAAAATAGTAAATACAACGAACTTGATTATTTAAGAAGGAGATTATTCACTCTTATATTTTTATTTATCATTTCAATTCAAATGGCATCAGCTGAAGAGAATAATTCATTTTTTAAATCTGATTCTTGTTCAATATTTACTTCAAAAGTTTATAAAGTAAGATGATCCCATTTTGGAGTACAATTGTTTTGTGTAGATTATTTTTATGTATTATATTATTTATTATTATTGACATGCTTCATATCAATTATGTTTATTTATTTTCTATTTAAATGTAGATTTTAAGTATGATTAATTTTTAGACAATTATAGAAGAAGTTAATGGAAATATTATTTCTTCACCTATCAGTATTCATCTTTTACTATCATTCCTTTCTCATGGCGCCAAAGGAAAAACAGCCGACGAATTGATAGACAATCTTTATATCGAAGATTTCGATCAACTGTCTACTGAGTACAAAAATTTTATTTCCACGTTAAATGTAAATTTATTGGCATAATATTTAGGTATTTTATTTCTCACGTATTTGTCTCATAATATTATTTTATTTTGTTTTAGAACATAGAAAAAGTAGAACTCCATATCGCAAATTCAGCATATTTACATGATAATGTTCAATTATTACCAAAAATTTCAGCATTAGGAATAGATTTCTACAATTTTGCTGTATCAAAAATAAACCTTCAAGATAATGTAAAAGTTGCTGATCAGATAAATAAATGGATAATGGAAAAAACAAAAAACAAAATAAATGATATCATCAATTCAGGTAGCGAACGATATTAATAATGAACAGTAGAAAGACAAAAAAATATTAAACGTTAAAATAATTTTTTTTATTCTGTTAAAGACGATATCACAGCAGATACGAGAATGATTCTAGTTAATGCCATTTATTTTAAAGGATTGTGGAAATTTCCTTTCAGTCGTAAAGATACAACTAATGAACCTTTTTACTTAACAAAAGAAAATTATAAACTAGTACCGATAATGAAGAAAAAAATTCGTTATGCTCATGGTGAATTACCTCAAATGAATTCGAGGTTCATTGAAATTCCATATACCGTAAGATTTTTAAATAAATAAATCCATGATTAACAATTAACAGAGAAGGTTAATTAACAATTATTGTATAGTTCAATAATTTAATGACTGTTAGTGCCTCAATATGAAATCTTATTATTAAAAAACAAATGTAAACTATTTTTATTTATTCTAATAGAATGAGAATTTGAGTATGGTCATTATATTACCTAATGAAATTGAAGGATTAAATTCATTGGAGCAAAATTTTGATTGGAATTCTATCGTTAATGCCGAACCAAGTCATCAAGAGATAATCATTCATTTACCGAGATTTACAATTGAATCAACGTTGAATCTTAAATCAATTCTTAATAAGGTATATTTATACCATTTAATTCTCCTTAGGCAGTTAATCAATTTATAAATTATTTCATTAAAATGATAAAAGTAAATTAATCTTACCTTTTGTGGACTTACAATTATCTATTCGATAATTATTTTATTTATTTATTTATGGATTAGATTGGAATTAAAACTATGTTTGAAAATACAGCAAATTTTTCTGGAATGACAGAAACTCCAGTAAAGGTCAGTAAAGTCATTCAAAAAGCCTTTTTGGAAATTAATGAAGAAGGCTGTGAAGCTGCAGCAGCAACAGGTAATTCTTTTATTGAATATTTTTAAAATGATGATTTATTTGAATAAGTAAATTATTTTTTTTTAGTAATGAAAATTCGATTAAGAAGAATGATTGAAGATCCAGAAGTATTTCTAGTTGATCATCCTTTTTTAGTTGCTATTCGTCATAAAGACAGTAACATTCCATTATTTATTGGAAGAGTACAAGATATTGATGTAAATCGTCTATTACTTAGCGATAAAAGAGACGAACTGTAATTAATTAAAAAAAATAAACAGTTTTTCAAACCATGAAATACCAATTTCGCACAGAAAAATATTTAACAAGTATTCATGTATATTTAGTACGTGTATTTTTTTAATAATAAATTCACTGACATTTATGACAATTTATACATTTAAAATTTTTATAATTTAAAAAGAATATCACCAGTATCCATCACGATTAGTCTAAAAGACTATTTCCCTAATTAAATTAATTTTTTCTTAAATCAAACTATTGTCATTATAATTAGTATTAAATAAATCTCTCGTTCCACTCAAGACTATTTGATTTTTCTTCAATTGCATTAAGTTTGTTCATCAATAAGTTCTGCAAGCTGTCTAGGTTCCACAACTGGTAAAGAACAAGTACGATGCCGACAAACATAAGCTGTTGCTCTACCATTTTGTGTTTTCATTTTACTTATGACCTCATTTCTCTGAAAAAGTAGAGAATCTCTATCTTCAGGATCAGTTAAAAGTACTAGCTTTGCTGGAATTAATCGATCTCGAATAATATCCAATAACTCTTCGGTATCTTTTGCATCTTTTTTTCCTGCAATAAATATCTGGAAAACCGAATCGAATCGAAATAAGTATTGATATATTTAATTAATGCAATCAAAAAAATTCGTACAAGAAAACATACTTGAGTAGTAGCATCCCAATAATGAAGTAATGCACATACTAATTCGGGAACAGCGATAGGAATCCGAGTTAGAGTCTCATTGAAGAAGGAAAGTAATTCAACAACTTTTTCATTATAATCTATTCGATCCATACATGCAGCTAAACGGAGTAGATTACTGCAAGCTACAGAATTTCCGGATGGTTCAGCTCCATCATGTTCTGAAATAAACCAATTAATGAATGATTATGGTTGTGCGATAAATGATCAACTAATAAAAAAAATTACCATCTTTTAATCTTAAAATAATGTTCTTATCATTATTAGTTGTAACAAAGTATGCGCCGTCTTTATCATCCCAGAATAATTTATTTTGAATATCTTGTAATTGTTCTGCGAATTCTAACCAATGAGAATCTAAGCTTGCTTCATATAAATCGAGAATACCTTGTATTACGAATGCGTAATCTGAATGAAATCCAGGAATAGGAACCGATCTAAAAATTAAATTAATTTCAAAATGATGTTAGAATACAAAAATAAAAAATAAAATATACTCAACAACTTACGGTTGCGTTATTTGATCTCCTTCGCCGCGATAACAACTCCTCAATAAAATTTGATTCTCCTTATCGAATAAATATTTTTTTATAAAATTAGCAGCGTCTTTTGCATATTGGATATATTGTTTATTTTTTGTCGCAATGCCAGCATGCGATAAACCACTTATCATAAGTCCTAAAAACATTTAAACATTATTACATAATAATTTTCAAATTTATAATAAAAAAAAATTTTACCATTCCATGCTGCAACTATTTTATCATCTAAATGAGGTCTAGGTCTTCTGGAACGAGCTTCAAACAACACTTTTTTTGCCTCAGCAAGATACTTTTCTGTCTCTTCAATAGTACAGTTGAATTTATCAGCTGTGTCTCTCAAGCTGCCATAGATTATCAGCACATTTTGACCTGTTAGTTCTCCATGAGGGTCCTACATCCGATAATATCGAATATTAGCTTATTACACTATATTACGGAAATTCATAAACTTACTTGTCGTTTAGCAATATTGCCATCAGTTTTCACGTTAAAGTGATAAGAAAAAATATCACTCAGAGTCAAATCATCGCGTCCTGGAACTGATTTTCCCAATAACTCATCAATTTCTTGAGCTGTCCATACATAAAAAGCTCCTTCTTTCTTTGCAGCAGCATCTGTAGTTGGAAAAGAATCAGCATCTTCAGCACTATAATAGCCGCCTTCTTTATGACGTAAATCTCTAGTTACGTAAGAAACAATATCATCGACAATATTAGCAAAAAATGGATCCTTAGTTACTACAAAGGCACTGGAATATGACCGTAATAATTGTCCTTGATCGTACAGCATCTTTTCAAAATGTGGGACATGCCATTTACCATCTACTGAATATCTTGAGAATCCCTAAAAATATTATCATACAAGGTACTCAATATATAATTCTACAAATGTATTCAGAAAAAAAAAATAAAACCAATACATTTGATACCTGTCCAATATGATCATGAATTCCTCCATCAGCCATCTTTTTTAATGTATGAAGACACATTGATAAACATTCTTGACTTAATTCGCTTTTTGGATCTCTAGCGTACATGTGGAAAAGAATATTCAAATTAACAGGCTGAGGAAATTTAGGAGCATCAGAAAATCCACCGAATTCACGATCATATGATCTGATCAATTGTTGGACACATTTTTTTCCGCAATCCTCTGATGGTGGTATTTTTTCCTAAAAGGCAAGTAATAAAAAAATTGACAGTACAATTTCTATTATATAATTAGTTAACAGAGAATGATAACTCACTAATTGATTATTGTTTTCAGTGGCCATTTTCAGAACTTCCAATATTTTTGATCCAGATTTGATTAGATCTTGTTTATTTTCCAGCCACTATTATTGCCATAAAAATAATAATAATTACAATAATTATTATTTTGAAAGAATAATTTTAAAAAATTCTAAATCACCTTATGAGCAATACTAAGAAGAATTTTTTCAAATCCTGGCTGGCCATATCTATCAATTGGTGGAAAATATGTCCCTCCCATAATTGGAGTTAAATTTGGAGTTAAAAATACACTCATTGGCCATCCACCATGCCCAGATATGGACTGAAATAAAATTTTATTTCTTATTTCTACAAATATTATGACAATTTTATTAAAAAATAAACTATAATAATCACTTGAATGAATGTCATGTATATTTTATCAATGTCTGGCCTCTCTTCTCGATCTACTTTTATGTTAACAAAGTATCTATTCATAATCTTTGCAATTTCCGGATTTTCAAATGATTCTTTCTCCATAACATGACACCAATGACATGTTGAATATCCAACCGATAAAAAAATCAATTTGTCTTCTCTCTTTGCTTTTTCTAAAGCTTCTTCACCCCAGGGATACCAATCAACGGGGTTATGAGCATGTTGTAATAAATAAGGAGATTTTTCTAAAGCTAATTTATTGGATTTGAAAGGTTTATCAGTACCCCCTTGCGACGTTGATGCCATTTTAATGTTTATTTTCAGTATAGTATGTCCAAATCTGCAGAAGAGAGATTTTTATTAAAATAAACATTCAGTTACATTTTAAAATATTTAATATTTATATTTAAAGTAATAAAAAGGAATGTATTATGTTATTTATTTACCTTCCAGATGGTAATTTATTTACTTGTGAAAGTGTTTCTGGTAAGATAAATCCTTTATAACTAGTATTACAAAATTTCGAAGTCTCTGATAAACATCGAATAGCAGAAAAGAATGAACATCTTCCCAAAATCATAACATCTATCATGTAAAAGACAAATTGTTTGGAGCAATCGAGAATTTATATTCTTTCAATCAACTTTCTCCATATGCTTTATAATTTTGACCAAAATTTATATGGCATAATGAGGATTTATTTACCTTACTTTGGGGTAAATGATCAATTTAATAGTTATTATTTTTATAAAATAATTTTGAGCATGCCGTTACCGGAGAATAACAAATCGTTTTGAGGTTACAGACGTAGTTAATTGATGCTCATGAAAGTTTGGATTCAATATTAATAATAATTCAAATGACACAAGAAATTATTTATTATTATTGGTAAAATTTCACTAATATGCAAAAACATAATATAAATTTTACTTGATGAAAGAATAGAATGTTGACAGTTATCACAACTGTGAATTCCCAGATTATTCGATATCAGTCGATTTTTATGTAGTTTTGACGTTTTAATTCTCAATTGTTGTTATTATAAACCAAAAAAGTGTTACCACAATTATATCAGTTTCATCATAAACTACATAAAATATCATAAAAGAACTTGAAAAATATTTCCAAGTTTTGTTTACCAATGGAATTTAGATCTTAACGCCACCTAGAATATTTATTTTGCTTTCAAGTTATCAATCTAGTTAATCACATGCTCCTGTCAATAGTCAATTTATTTTGGATTATAAAACTTTTCTAAAGTGCACACAAATATTGTTTGTTATCATTTATTTATAATTTTTTTAATAATTCAGTGACAAATTCTTAGTTAGTAAAAATTTAATATATATAAAATGTCAAATGTACATCGTGAAGCTTTCCAAAAACAAATTCAACAAGATTGGGCAAACAGAGAATATATTGAAGTAATCACGGGAAGCATTAAAAAAATAACTGATTTTCTTAATTCATTTGGTAATTACTTGCAAATGTATTATAGTAATATGTTTAAAAATTAATAAATAATAGTTATAATAATTTTATTATACCATTTTTTTAGATATGTCTTGTAGATCACGATTAGCAGTTCTAAATGAAAAATTAACAACATTGGAGCGCAGAATTGAATATCTTGAAGCATGTGTAAGTGTTTAGAGTTTGTATATTAATGACCAAACTGTTGAATTTATTTAAAAAAATTATTTTTTATTTCAGGTGACTAAAGGCGAAACCTTGACATGAAGGATCTCTAATTATCTATGAAATTTTATTTACATGATCCATAATCATATTTGTATATATTTACATACTTTAAACATAGTAAATGAAATAAACTTGTCACCAGATTTTTAGAAGTTTATAACGTTTTATTTTAACTTACACAAATTATACTAATAAACTTTTTAATATTTAATGCAAATTTTCAATGACTCATTTTGACATTTAAAAAGTTTATATATATATGTATTTCGACCCTAGTATTTCCAGTCATTGTTTTAGTAATTCAATAAAGGAAATATAATGTCAAGAAGAAATTATCAGTTTAGGTAAACTACTATTGTATACCTTTACATTACCGAGTTCAACTCCGAATATTGTATTTAAATTTATTCTTTCAACTTAATATGGTCGTTTTGGCCATTCTTCAGTGATAATTGTTGTATCATATGTATCAAAATAATTTCCATACTTTTTGTCCAGTTTTCCGACGAACTGCCAATCATTTTGAATACTATCTTTCTTTAACCATGCACTAATCATAAGAATTGCTGTGGCCCAGCACGTAAATTCGAAATTTTTCCTCCACGCATGTAAAATAGGTCCACATGCCAATGCTAGTACAAAAAAGATATATATTGATGTGTTATTCAAAACAATAAATTAAGGTCGCAATTAAAAGTTATCAAATAAAGTGTGTTCTTTCACAATAGTATTTTTGAAAATAAGACAAACCTCCAAGGACGTAATTAATTTTATCATCTTTTTTCCGAATATCAGTTGCCATGTACGTAACAGAAGCAAATGCTGTTGCACATCCTATTAGTGGAGCAAACCAAAATCCAGCAACATTAGCAACTTCACGAATGTTCTGAGCATGAGAAATAGCCAAGCAATCGTAGCTGGTAGTAGCAATTCCTGTTACTACTGCATATTTATTAACTCCCCAAAGTTTGCCAATGGGGTCGGTTCCTTCAGGACTATCATAATAATTTGGACCTTTTAATAAAGTAGGTTTCTGAAGCTGAAGATCACCATCGTCGTATCTCGACGGTAAAGTACTATCTGCAATGGGAAAACATAAAGGTTAAGTAACAAGAGGAAAAAAAATATTTTTACTATAAGTAACAGTAGATATTAATATAAAAAACCATTTTTTATAGTATGTTCATTTTAAAGAAAAAATAAAATACCAAAATTTATGAAAAATACATACAGAGTCCAAACATTTTTATGCAGTTGTTCAGTATTCTTTAAAGAGTAAATAAGGGACTGACAGCGCCACAGAGGGGTTATGTAATTTGATAATTACATGTGTCAAAGAATACGACTAACATAGAAGTTCGAATTTCACGATTTTACAGACCACCATGTGCATAGTATGTGAATCAACCAATGTGCTGCGCTACAGTATGCTCCATTTATAAGATAATCTCGATCTTTGTGCCTTTATGTTTGATTGTATTTTTTTTTTGACTAAAAAATTTTAGTCAATTATCAGTGTTATCATTTTTTATTAGAGAATCTACTAGTTTAATAATGTTTTCATCAATTAGTAAATTTTCTCGTTCTACGGTATGTTAATTCTCAAAAAAAAATATTTTGTTTATTGTAGTTTGCAGAACAAATAGATGCAAATACTCTACTGATTTATCATTATAATTTTATTACAGTCTTTGAAACATCGGTTTCTTAGGTTTTATGGTAAACAAAGTGATCAAAGAACTACAACAACAATAAACAATCCACCTGCAATTAATGTTGATGTTGGAGGACTAAGTGGAAAATGTGTCGATGTTCCAGCACAACGTAAGCTCTATTTAATCATTTCAAATTATAATATAAGGTTTTTTCTAACAAATTCATGATTATTCTGTTAAATCCATTAATTGTAGCTGTTGGACCTGGTGCAGCTAAGGACAAAGAGTATAAAAATCCGGAATATTTTTGTTATCATGTTGATAGTTTTGCTGAGGCAATGGTAGAACTCCAGAAATATCGACTTCCAGCTCCTTCCAATAAAAAGAAATCTAGTCATTAAATATTTTAGAAATGGTAATATTCATCTTTCACTAATAATTATTTATTTATTATCATTTGACTAAAAAATAATTATTATTAATGTAAAATTATATAGAGACTTAAATGTGAATAAGTAATGTAGCATACCCAGTTACTTTTTATTCAATACAGTCCACATTTAGAAATTATTACTTGATTCTTTGGTTTACCAGTTGTCGTTCCGAAATATTCAATCTAAAAATTGAAATATATATATTAGAAAAAATATATATGGTTATTTAAATAAATTATTTATTTACTTTCATTAAATTGTTGAGCCCATAAATAACTGCTCCAAAAACAACATTTTTCCTATCGAGAATTTCAAGTTTTTTAAAAGTCAAATTGAATTTTGAATCATTAGTATTTTTTCCAGAATTACTCATTGATAGAATTCCGCATGTTGTATGTTTAAAATGAAAGTTTTCATCCTCAAAAGAATCCCCATAAATAGATGTACCTCCACTTCCATTGAAATTCGTTACATCTCCACCTTGGCACAAGTAGCCTCTGATAATACGATGAAAAGGAGTATTCTTGTAAGATTTCCCATGATATCCTTCGCAAAATGATAAAAAATTTTTACATGTTTTCGGGAGAATATCAGCATAAAGTTCCATAACTATTTTTCCTAAAGATTGTTGCGTTTCCACTACTTTTAAATCAAAGTAACATTTTGGTCGATTAGTTGTCAATATATTTTTTATCAGATTTTTTTTATTCAATTTTTTATTTATTTTATTTTTCGAATCCATTTCTGGTTTACCATAGCGAATTTGTTGAAGGTGCTGATATAATTCTTTATTTTCTCTTATGATTCTTTCTTCATTTCGTTTTTTTCCATCTTTATCTCTATCAGACACTTCATATATTTGGGTATTCCAACAATCAGTTTTAGCCTAAATGCAAATCAAAAATTTTTTATACAAATCGAAACAAAATTAATTGAACTTTTTTTTAAAACAAGCAACATAAACCTTTGATCGATAAATTTGATTAAGTCTTTGCAACAATTCCCTATTTTCTCTATCAATTTGTAATACCCGTTTTACTTCATCTTCAAGTAAAGTGACATTATGAATTTTATCCATTTGGTGCGATGTAGTACTAAATAATTTTGTGACGTAAAGATTAGTTATTAAATTCCGTTGTGTTTGATTGATAAATACATAAACACAGACTGATGTTCAATTATTTAATTTCAGATAAATCACTGTAAAATAAGAGAATATGTTCATGAATAGCTTATTTACTAATGTAATAAAAAAAAAACGTTCCATTCATAATGAGATAATATAATGTGCTCTGTATACTCAAAACTTTAAATCCATTATAACATCAATAAAATATTCTCATTTATTTGGCAATAGTCATCAGATATCATAATACAATTGATGTATTTTTTAACAGTAGCAATTATACAATACTGTTTAGATAAAATATGGAAGAAAAATACATGAAATACTTGATATATACTGTTGTAAATTATTTCTATAATTTAATTATAATTGATTTTGTTTTTAAAAAATACAATTCACAATTTCATAGATTGTTACAATTTGCAATTGATTATAATTAAACGGAAGTGCTCTGAAATATAAAATCCAGATGATGGCTGACAGATAGATAAATATCAAATAATGATGACTAGTTAAAAAAAATCTCAAAAAAATATTTGATTCAATACTTATACAAAATATACATAAAGAGTATTGGATAAGCTTTGAAGAAATGTATATATACACAGAATACTCTTTCGATAGAATCTGTTGAATATTTATCTACTTTCTTAACTAATTATTGTTCTGATTAAATCTATTATTGTCAATTCGTTGAGGATCACAAAGAAATGCGTTAGTATGGCAGTATTTATTTTAGACCCAGTAATCTTTCAGCAACACCGAGGTAGTAGACGGTTTGTGCTATTCCAAATAGAGGTGCTATCACAATCATTCTGCAAGCACCTCCTTTGAAGAATGCTGTTGGACCTTCATTTTTCAATGTCTTGCTGCAATTATTTAATGATTAAACGAATTCGTGAGAATAACTTGATTTTTAATAAATAAAACTATTAGAGAAACAACTTACCCTATGCAATCTAATACTCCATTATAAGTGGGCTCACCAGGAGCTTTATTTATTGCTTGTAATCTCGTTTTTACAACATCAAATGGATTAACCATCAAAGCTGCAACTGAACCAGCAGTACATCCCGCCAAAAAAGAGCACCAAAATACAGCTGTAAACAAAATAATTGTTCATTGAATGAATTATTCAGTAGACAATTATTTTTTATCAATACTTACATGATCCATCTTCACGTTTAGGACCAAGATTATTCAATCTAGCGAATAGCGGAAAATAAATTACAGAAAATGTTACATCTCTCAGAGCAGTAGCACCAGTTCCTTGATACAGTCCTAAAATTCCTTTTTTTTTCAGGAGATCTGTGGTCAACGACCATGCTGATACTTTTGGTATAGTTTTTCCTTCTATCAAAGTAATGTAAAGAATAAATTAAACAAACATGTCAACTTATTGTATAGTAAAAATAGAAATGAAGGACAAATCTATTTGTGTAATAATCGTAAAGTAGATAAAATTAAATAACACACCACTTTTCGCTGCAGAAGCTACTCTACCAGCATCTTGCATTTGAATTTTTAATAATTCCATAGGAGTGGTTATGATTATTTGGCAAGCTCCTGCTGATCCTCCAGCAAGCATCTCACGTCCAAGAGGCAATGGCTGACTTCATTGAAACGATAATTAAATTAATAATAAATCTAATATTAACATTAATAGACTTTTTGCTGGGTAAATTAATAAAATTTAAATTTTTGATAAATAATTAAATCAATTATCGTTATGTCTGTATGCATAGAAACTAATTAACGCTATCGATAATATTTATTTTCATAGAACGATTAATCGTTGCAGAAATATTTACGACAATCTACTAGCGTAAAGTGAAAATTTAAATTGAAGAGAATTTCTATGGAGTGAATTCAATATTAGTTTTAAAATCAACTGGAGACCTCAGGAATCTGGGAATATTCATAAAATATACCTACTATTTTGTAACAATGTAGACTCAAGATGAAAACGTTTGAACCGGAAATTAATTTCTAATCGTTTAAGCCATTTCTTTGGGTATTTAGTCACTGAGAGAGTTGATTCCTAATGATTCGAAATCAAATTAATAATATTTTCTTCAATAAAAAATTGACAAAAATAATAAGGGTGGTACTACTGGTTAATTTTGAATAATATATTCTACTTGATTTTATGGATGTTAATATGTTTGAAAAAATTTATGTATTCATAATAAAATCAAATTTATACATTCAGTATTTTAATTATTCATACCCAGGTCCTGTTGATAGGTAATGCCGAAACATATCATTTGCTGTCAACTTAATGGCCTTCTCCGGTGTAATTAAAAGAATATTAACTCCAGAACCTTTGTACATTCCAAAATATCCTTCAGCTGCATAAGTTTTCTTAAAGCAGTCAAACCTATGACATTTTTTTGATTGTTTTAAATTGTTTTGATTGATTGATTGATGAAATAGTAATTGAATAAAACTGCTTACATAGATTGATACATTTTCTCTCCACTTGGTCCAACCACTTGATTTTGTAATCTTGTTTTTACTAAATCTAATGGAAATACCACAGATACACCAATAATACCAGCTATACCTCCATTGATAATTTTTGGAACCAATTTAAATTGATCAGGTGCTACTGTTGCAGGAGTTACTTTAATTCCTTCTTTTGCCATCATTTTGCTAATTTTTAATTTGACTCTAATCGACTTTCAAGCTTTTTACGTACTGAAATAAATTTTTAGCACATATACTCAATAATTAAGATAACTAAAAGGTCGCATTATCATTTATATCATCAAAAAGGAAAAAATCAATAGAGATAAATTATAAATATTACAAAACATCAATAAAAAATTTTAATTACATTAATTTTGTTGCATAATTCTACGTATTTAATATCTTTTTGATAAAATTAATTAATATTGGGAATCACTTTTACAAATACCTTTTAAAAAATAGTTGATGAAATATTGACCTTGTGTATAAAGAAGAAACACTTATCACAATTTCTGAATTTTATTTTAACTAGCTGATATGATCATAAGTATTTCATTTAAAATTCGGGTTGATATCACCACTTGTTTAATAAATGGAATTATTGAATATTAATTAAAAAGACAATGACATGAGACAATGACCCTATTCACATAAAACCGGTCGAACCCATTGACATTGGACACTGCGGTAAAAATGACATATTTTTTCCAAAAATTTATAGTCCTACTTTCGAGCCTAGAACAAGCTCATAATGCAACCTATTTTTTTTGTTACAAACTGAAAGATAGATGAAGAGAATATTCTCTTATAACAACAGTTGATATAAAATTCATTATAGATGGCAATTAATGAAGAATCTGAAAATGGCGCGCCAAGCTTAAAAATTTATTTTTCATCAAAACAATTTTATAAGTAATTATAACAAATACTTATATGCTCAGAATGTTGGAATTTTAAGATAAATAATAATTCGGAAGTTTCATTATTTTCAAGTGTAAAGAGATCTGATAATTTTGCGCAATTTGTTTAAATTTAAATACTCAATTAAATTTCTTGTAGGAAATACAAACTTCGTTTTTATCAACTTATGAGTTCTAAGAGGAAAATGACAACATTCTCCAGAAAGAGCTGCCTCCAGTGAGCATTACTTAAAAGAATTTCTCATGGTTGCTTACCAAGTTGTAGAATCTTAAGCTTATATCTAGACTCGTCTTTGTCTTCATACTCCATCATCAAAAGAGCGTGTTGTGGATTTGTTGTAATTTACGTTAGTGTTATGAATAGTGATGAGTTTATAGAGATAAACTCCTTTGTTTGCGAAAATAACATTTTATAAGAAACAAAAAAATAAATGAACACAAGAGTATGTATATAAGTTAATGGCTGTTTCGTATTCAGATCTCTTTATACAAAGAAATAATTAGTGTGATATTAAAAAAATCCTATATTTATATACTTGCTACCCCTAAAGAGCCATTGTTCTTGAGATAGATAGTAAAAAATGGTGTTCGTCAGAAAAGCAACCCACGCCGGTAGTTGGTACACAAATTCAGGTAAAAAATTTGTTATTGCCGAAAAATGCTGATGTTTTTTTTTAACTTCTAATAATAGAATTGCATTCCGAAAAAATCTATAACCTTTGCTAAATTTATTCAAAAATACTCTTTCAAGTGTACTAAGTAACTTGACATTTTAATAATAAATTAATCAATAATATTTCAGGATGTGACTTAAATAAGCAACTTGGAGATTGGCTAAGTGCTGCAGATTTATCACACGGACCAGCTAGAGCTATTATTGCTCCGTTAGTAAATTTAATTATTATATAGATTGATAAAAATATTTTAATGAAAATAATAATCAAAATTCAATTATTCATTACAGTCATGCTGGTTACAGCTACTGTGGAGGATGTGCAGGCTTTGCTTATCGACAAATAAGTCCTGTTGTAGTGTAAGATCAGCAGGTTTAAAAATTTGATATATTGCTCCACCAAATTTATTCAACGTTGCTAATTGATTCTTTTAATGCAATTCCAGCCGTAGGATTTTTATTCTTGGTCCTTCTCATCATGTAAGATTACCTGGATGTGCTTTATCGTCAGCTTCTACATACATAACTCCTCTATACGATTTGACTATAGATCAAGAAGGTAAAAATTTATTAACATTTTATCTGATATTTAAAATAGATCAAATATTTACTATTCATTTTTCATTCATTAGTGTGCCGTGAATTGAAAGAAACTGATGAGTTTGAACTGATGAATATGAATACTGATGAAGGTGAACATAGTATTGAAATGCAATTACCATTCATTGCTAAAGTTATGGAAGAGTAGGTCAACTAGAAATTAATTTTTATTTACATAAAAATAATCCAATCAATAATACGTGATTTTCAATTCTAAATGATTGATTTTCAGCTTTAAAGATGGATTCACTATAATACCTATTTTGGTTGGCTCAATGAGTCCAGAGAAAGAAGCTATTTATGGAAAGTTGTTAGCACCTTATTTAGCTGATCCACAAAACTTATTTGTCATTTCATCAGATTTTTGCCATTGGGGTCAACGATTTAGATATACTTATTATGATCGTTCAAGTGGTCCAATTTATCGATCAATTCAAGCCCTTGATAAAATGGTAAATATATTTAATGATGTTAGTAGTTTTTATTAAATTTGAGAAACTTAAAAGTTTTTTCTTTTGGATCTCAAAGTAAAAATATTTACAGTTATATTATATTTAACGTTCATTCAATGAATACTCAAAGGTATTTACGTCAATTTCAAGTTATAATTTAACTTTTAAGTGGAATTTAATTAATGATATCTAATAATTTATTGTAGTTACACAGATGAAATTAGTATCATTTATTTCTCTAGGGGATGGATATTATTGAAACACTGAATCCAGCTTCATTTACGGAGTATCTTAGAAAATATGGTAACACAATATGTGGACGACATCCTATCGGAATATTATTACAGGTATTTATAAACATTGCAAAATATGATCTAACTTTATTTTTAGAAAACAAATATTCTAATTAACTTGTCACATTTATAGGCGATTCAAAGCTTCAAGGAGAACTGCAATGGACAAAGAATGAATTTAAAATTCTTAAAGTATGCTCAAAGTAGCCAATGCATTAACATGAGTGACAGCTCAGTTAGTTATGCGAGTGCTTCCCTAGTACTTGAGTGACGTTTGCGACGATCTCTTTAAAAAATACACCTATGCTTAAGTGCAATGTGACATAAATTAAATGGGAATTCAACAGAATGTAATTTAAGAAGCAACTGATCGATAAAAAGTTGATGGATTATTATTAGTATGGTTCGCTTTGGAATTAATTCGCTTCTTATTACTAAATGCAAATAGACTTATACCGTAAACATTACATATGATTTAAAATACATTAGAAAAAGTTTAATTTTTTGATGACCTAGTGATTACTGCATAAGTTAATCTTAATGGTGAAACTTAAATGTTTGTATCTATTTTTTCAGTAAACTTTTTTGTCACTTTACATTGTCATCAATCAATTACCTTTATCAATTGAACTTGATGATCAAGTCGATGATAATGAAAAGAAAGAAAAATGAAAATACGTAAATAAAAATATATTTTTATCTCATCAGTCATGTTATGCTAGAAATATTTCCCTTTCATTGTATGGTCATAAAGTCAAAAGGATTTAAAATCTGACGATTCAGAGTAGAATTGCGTTATTTATGATAATAATACGAATAAAAGAACGATAAATGCGACGCGATTCACTCGCAAGATGTAAATTTGGAGATTTATGAATGAACTGCTATACAGCTGGCTGGGTCGATAGAGCATCCCCCTTAGACGTAGTAATCAATACGAGAGGTTGGGTAGGCGTGGAGGACACGAATGGTACAGTCCATTCAGTAGAAACCGTAGGCCTGTTATCGATTGTGTAGGTGGAAAAGTTGACTCCCACTTGAAACTTGAAACTCTAGTGGCGGTGGTGGTGATGGTGATGATGGTAGTGGTACAGAAGGGTAGCAGGGGATGCAGGAATGAGATGCTATGCTCTTCTACATAAGATTTCCGTTAGTAAGATGCGTAGGTGGTTGTTGGGGAAGTGTCCTCATTTGGAGGTGGATGAACAGGGCTGGATAGAATTTCGTCAGTCCAAAATTATCTAAAGATTGATCGTTCTGAATGAACCAAGTGTTTGAGCATTTCTTTCCCTCCATTACTTTCATATGTCACTAATTTTTGTAATAAAACAAATATTTTTTTTATAATAATGATACTTATCTATTTGTTGAAAAGAAAATGACTAATTACATTCATTTATTTGTAAATGAAAGAAAAATTCATTAATTTTTTCTTACAACTTTTTTAATAGGATAAAATAAATGAAATGAAAGTATGTCTGACGTAACGTTTTGTAATTTCACTTGAAAGCTCTGACAACAGTTTAAACAGCTGAATACCAATTTTGAATGAACGTTATCACACTTTCTTTAGCATTTAGGAATTACATTTAAAGACAAAGGGATCTACCAGAGATGAAGTTATTTCATTTATGCTATGGAATATCCAGTAAAAGCAAACTGAACAGAAATTCCAAGAATTCCATGCTTTTATCAAAGAAAACATAATGAAATTCCATTATTTATCTATTTAATTTGTAAGATATAATTATTTTCCAGCTTAGTTAACGTTAATTAAACCAATGATGGTAAAATGAATTTATCAATGAGCCAATATGTCAAAATTAATAAAAAATAAGCTTTGTAACTCATCAAAACTTAACAAATGATGAGGGTTCTAGGAATTTCTACGTCCCTGATACATCGAAAAGCTTTTGGAAGTTGAGTCAGGGGTTGGTTTTTTGAAGAAATGTAGATGGAGATAAAGAAGAAAAAGAAGATAGACGTGCGCTGTGACTGATATTGCGAGTATATCCCCGGGGGTGCCTAGGGTAGAGTAAATTCGTGAGGGTGATGGATAAAGTGGGAGTAAACTTGGCAGAGAGGGAAAGGGCAACATTGGTAGAGAATTGCGGAGAAAGTGAGAGGGGATAGCCAGTTACCAAACGGTGGAGATTCAAAGAATACCCCGTGCGAATCGCGAGGAAAGCCCGCATTGAAGAAGTGGTGGAGGCGTCAGTGGAGTCATAGCCTTACGTCCTCGCCACGTCAGTTGGTTCACAGTTTCCGGACACGACAGACCAACGAGATAGGTTAGTATAGCATGAACTTTATTCATTCAACATCTTTCGTCTATTGCTTTTCGTTCATCTCAATCTCATTCACTCCTCTCATTCATTCGTTCATTCATTCTCATCAGCACGTTACTTTGTATTTTTTTTTAAATTAATTTGTTTTATTTATGTTAATCATTAATTTATTCATGTGATAATAATTAAAAAGTAAGTAATTATTGTAAATTATTTATTTTTATTCATTGATTTTTATTTAGATTGAAAAATAAATTGGTTAATTGAAATACGCATTTATGAATAAAAAATACTGTGTGTTGATAATCACTAAGCAATTAATTAAAGTACATGGAAATTGGTTTTTTAATCAAACATATTACTCGACCGAGTTTTTGGTGAGCTTTGGAATACTGCAAACTTGTTCAATCAATCCTTGCTGACTAACTGTAAAGGTCAACCGGAAGATTACTCGCCGGGCTGGCCTCTTCAATTCCCCGGGGTCTGCTGTTGACACAAGAACTCGTTACATTCAGTTAATGACTCTTCCCATATTTAATTTCACTTTAGATCTGGCTACATCATTAGATTGACATTGTATTTCTTGGACCATTTTACAAGTTCAATTATAAAGCTTTACTGCTTACTCTATGCACTCTATGCACAGCCATTTTAGTCCACTAATTTGATAAAAGGTCGTAAAAGAGGGTAATAGAGCCCTCACTTTGCTCAAAGGGACAATTTATTTGATAAAAGGATCATATAATCACTTGTTGCCATTTTTCAAATCATATTACTTTTAATTATAATTTATTCAATTTTTTTTAAGGAAAAAATTTGACCATTATCAATTTGATTAATTATTTATTATCTTATATTCTTAACTTGGTTTTACTAGGAGAATAAAATTGAAAATAATGTCAGTTTACTTTGCTTATTGTGAAGACTAAATGCATTTAATATATACATGTATATGAATGATGAATAATAAACATTGAAACAGCTGAAAGGATTCACAATCAGTCGAAAGCCCGAATGTGTAGAAGAAACAACAGGTGCCCGGAATAGTGTCCACAATTGTGCAGAATGAAACGAAGTAAATCTCTACGAGGTTGAACTGAGAATATGAATGGCGAAACGTGTGACCTATTGTTCAATATACCACTTATAGAACTGTATTACCTTCTATTTTAGTTAAAATTTATTTTTTTTCTTTCACTAAACTATCATTATTAAGCTTTTAACATTTTTCATGATATTTAATAGAAACAAAAGTATCTTTAAATTTGACTTTAACTCTACGGAAATGTCAGATTGTTGGAGATGTTCTATAATGATTGAGTAGTTAACAAGAAAGTTTAATTGAATATTTTCATTGTCATTGTTCTTAAATCTTAGATTTAGTTTAATCTGTTTGTTTTATTCGATTAATAAGTTTCTAAGATTATTATTAAAGTTATTAAACTTTTTCATAAAACATTATCAATCATTTTAATAAATTTACTTTTACTAGAAGCTCACATCGAGATGGTTTTGAAGAAACTTTTCCAATTAAACAAAGATTTAGTTTTATCAGCAACAGTTTTTTCCAACAGAAATTTGTGATGAATAGTTGCAAAAAATACTTTTTTTAAATTATGCTTTTTGAATATGTAAACTAAAGTGGTGGAAAAAGTAAAAAGGTACAGAAGACTCAAATAACTTTATTCTAGTGTTTTTATTTAGAAAAATATTGCACAGATGTACGTAATATCATAAAGAATTGCAAATAACATGAAATATTATGTTAATGAATTTATAAATATTGTTTATAGTTTATTTAAAGTATTAAAAAACTATCTACTTTAATTAAAGTTCAATTGGTGTATAAGTACCTAGTTTCAATTCGGAATTGACTCTAGACGTTATAGCTACGTATCATAATTAATATGATAATTATAATTTAAATTAGTCATCATAGATATTATTTTTTAGGTAGACAACTAATGTCGAGTTTGAGTATCGTTATAATATATGATTAATTGATTTTAAAGCTTGTACATTCATCATAATATCAATTATATCGACTCAATTTAGAGAAGATAAATTATTAATCGTATTAGCATTATCTTCTATTCTCTGTTTTAATTTAATGTCTATTGAAATTATCAATGAAACTTTTTTCTTACTCTCAGGATAATTCATTATATTATTTAATTATAATTACATTTAGACAAACTCTATAAGTTTACAATTAATTGTAGAAATCAATTGAACTTTGTAAAATTACACATTCATTTACGTTGTTGAAATTTATTTGAATATTTCAAAAAAATAATTTAGGTAAATATTTTCTTCTTTTTAATTAACAAAATGAGAATTATTGAATTATTTCTATTGAAACGTTTTTTTCAAATTAAATATCTTTGCAATAATTAAATTTAACTTTGATTAAAGTTAGTGATGAAATTATGATTCAAGTATTAACATTGTCAATATTGTCATACATTTTTTATTCATAAAGTATACTGTACATAACTATATTTTTTTTTCCTATTATTCTAGCTTGACTGAACTCTTACTTTAATCTATTCAAATGGAGCATTCATGAAAATTCTCTTCTGGCTGTTCTACTTTTTCCTATTTTTGTTGATTTATTTCCCTCTATTTAACATTTTTCAGAATATACAAACATAAAATATGACATATAATACGTTGAATGAATACTTTTTTTACAGAATTATATCACTACATGTAATTTGGAACATATCTTTTATGACATATCGACTAAAGGACTTATCAAAATAAAACTTATTTGCGTGCACAAGATAACAACAATAATCCTTTTCAACAAAACTTTCATTAGGTAAAGAAAATATTGATTAAAACAATATTTATTATGTTCCATTCGATTTGATTTTATTTACTTATTATTATTATTTTTCAGAAAATGAAACTTGCAACAATATTGGCCGGGACTTTTGTTTTGTATTCATGTTTGTTAAACACAATAAAATGCCAGAGATTTGCGGATCATCCATTGTCACCCTATATTACTGTGAGTCATATCGCCTATAGAGATAGACGTAATAAAGCTGAGCCTACGTGTGAAGAGTTACGTGCTATGTGGAGATATAGTAAACGACAAAGTCGTGCTGCTGAAATAACTAATGATTTGCCTATGTATCGGGATCCGTTTTCATATAATGTTTGGGAATCTTATCCAGTCCGGTCAACTGTATCATCTAACTATCGAGGTAATTATCATAAACAATTATTTATTTTCAAGTTGGCAACCTGAAGAAGTTTCTCAATAACTGACAATATTTACTGTCTTTTTCAATAGAAAAAGATTTTATTACTTTTTTAAAAATCCTCTTCAAGTTTAATCAATTTTTCTCTCTATTCTTTCCAATTAAATAAATATGGTGGAGTGGCGATTTTAGTTTTATTTTTTATTTAACTGCGATGAATAGTAGTAATAATAATATTAATAACAACAACAATATTAAATTTAAAAAAAATATCATGCCACTAATGAATTTATTAATGAGTTTTTAAAACGATAAAAATAATCTCATAACCTGATTCAAATGATAATTGGTCTACGTTGATTACATGACGGAATGATATGTGTGAGTGAAAAAAAGACTCGACACTTTCCTGATATTATTGGCATTTGATTGTTATTTGAATATCTGATAAACATCATTTTCAGAAAATAATTGAACTTCATAAATGTTCTTCTAAAAGCTTTTTTTTTTTTATTATTTATTATATTATTTTAATTAATATTAAATAATTGTATAAAAATTTGTATAAAGGTTATTTCTAATATTTGGGCAATTTTCCCCATTTTAAACTTTTGAGATATCTCTCAAGAAATAATTCATATCAATAATTACATTTAATAAGAGTTTTTTGAGAACTTTCGTTGATAGTATTGATTCAACATCAATGCCTTTCACATAATTAACTACAGCTCATTGCTTAATTGCTCGTAAATGGAGTAAAATTACATACACAAAAAGTACGGTAATTTATTCATTGATTTGTAGTATCTATTTCTACTGATATTCATCTTCACTAAGTCTTCCTATAGTTGAGGCCAATCCTTTCATAGTCGACAAAAAATTTTATTGAAGTAATAAATAATTAAAATACGTTTTTTATGTAACTGGTGATAAGAATATTTCAAAGTATAACTAAGCTTTTTTGCATTGTTGAATTCCTAGAATTATATACAAAATATGTTTTTCATTGGAAAAATATTTTCAAGAAAACAACTATTCATCTCAATAAAATTTTTTCAAACTTTCTATTGTATAGTTTGGGACTTTAGCCCTGAAGAAATTTAATCATCCATCTCTAATATTTAATTTTGTAAAAAATTAATTTTTTTATTTCATTTAATTCTGATAGCTTTAAATGAACGCGATGAGCAAGCTCGCAATCGTGGTGGTGGTCGAGCACCGGTGTATGGGAAAATGGTTCATAAAGCACCACCCGAAAGCAGATTACGTAATGGGATGCCAAACCGGATGAAGACATTTGAAGAAGTAGCCAGAATGTATGGAACAATTAATCGACAGCCGCCAGATTTGAGAAGACCACAATATAATTTCCGAGTTGGTGGAGGATCACATGTTCCACAAGCTGGCAGTTTTCAACATCTTAAGGAGCTTATCCGTACTGAACGTGCTCGTGAGCTACAGGTTTGTTTTTAGGTCAATTTTTTCTTAGAAAGAAAGCAGCTTTATCTATTAATAGATGATGGATTTTCATTACTAAAGAAATGTATACTATTTTAAGGAACAGAGAATGGCTGAAGAAATAGCAGCAAAGGCATCTACAATAAATGATATTAAAGAAGATCAACGTGGTAAAGTATCTGAATCAAGACATTATTTAAATACCATACAATCATATCAAGAGCCAAAGAATATTAATCATAACTTTGGAAGATCCCAGTATATTCCAAGTTTAAGTGGGTTTGGTGATGGATTATTGGTATATTTACTTATTAACTTTGTCTTAAGAGAAAGAGAAATAATTACTTTTAGAAAGAAAAAGTTTTAAATATAACAACTTTTATTGAAATAATAGGAAAATATTTGTTTACTTTAATATTATAAAAATTTAGTCATTCTGTATTTTATTGCCTGACATAAATTTTGAATGAAAAAATATTGGTGACTAAATATTTATCAGACAGAAGTACTTGATCTTTCTAAAAATAATTTCTCTTTGAGTACATAGATGAATGAGAAAATAATTGAGTCTGTTATCAATATGTATTGTATTTTATAGAGGAGTGACGAGTATGACCGCAATTCCATGGTACATTAATAAAACAACCGCAATGATCTCGGCAAATACTAAATGTAACACGAACTGCCCATGATTAATCTACAATATCAAAAGATGACAATAATTAAATGATTAAAGGTATGTATTTCCAGCCGTGTTTTCGAGTAGTTATTGATCGAATTTACGCGAAAAAGAATATATTTATAGCAATATAAAAATTCTTTGATGACTCGATTCTTATTGAACCGAACATATCTGAATTTTCAAATTCTAGAGAGATTAAAAAATATTTCACTTGTATAGTCTTCACACAAAAGAAAACGATAAAAAAATAATAATTCAATCATATTGTCAGTGAAATAAAATATCTTTGGGCAGACAAAATGCTCACTTTAAAGAATGGTACAATATTAAAAATACCATGTTACAAAACATATTGGCTTTAATTTGAAAATAAGTGTGGAATTCTAGTTATGGTGATTAAACTTGTCATTAAACAAGTTTCAATATTTAAGTAAATTCTTTAAATAAAATTAAACTTGTTCATAAAGACTAAATAGCCAAAAAAAAAGGTTTTTAATCGAGAGTATCTTGCAATTATTAATTTATAATCGAAAACTGTTTTCGATTACCAATCACTCGAGTTCGATATAGAAATGAGACAGGACTGTCCGTAATTTTTTGGCGGAAAACTTATGAAACCTGATCTTGTCTGGTGTCAAATAAAAAAATTTAAATCTCTGCTAATAATTAAGTAGATACTTCTTATACTTATTTGAGTAATAATAAACAAAATATTGTGGCTTTTGCTTACTATTCTATTAAAAATAATAAGGAAATAATGAGTAAATTAAAAATACTTCTTAAAAATGATAAAAAACAGAAAAAAAATCTTGACAAAATCTCAAATGTTAATGCTTCGTTTTTTGAAATAAGGCTGAAAAGATATATAAATTTTATCCTCAAGAGTACGGCTAAAATTTTGAATTAAAAAATTGTAAAATATATAAATTTTAAGATTTATTTAAACTTTAAGCTCGAGCTTCAATATCTGCTATATCTAACAGGGTTGTTATATTTTTTTTGTCAGTAATAACAATAATTACTTATCAAAATCACTGATCCAGTGCTTAGGCATGACTTCAGTGTTAAAGAGTAAATATAACATTTAATGAACAGAGAAAATTTATTTTTCAATAACTTAATAATTATATAAATTATTATTTTTATGAATTATACAGATGAAAAAAGATTGAGACTAATTTTAAACAAAAGTCTATATATATTTCTTTTTAAATCTGAAAAAATATTTGAATGGAAGCTTTCCAATTTTAGTTGTAATAATGATTTAATGCATAAATCTATTTTTAAAAAGAATATGCTTCAAGTTTCAATAATTTATATCTCTTTACTGTTAAGAGTAATATCATGACAATACTCGACAATAATTATGATAATGAAAATAGTAATAATGATAAAAATATTAAATAAATGATAAATTAATAATATTTATAAACTAATATTACAATAGGTTTATTAATAATTTATCAAAATCAAATCATCAGCTTTAATATTTTTTAATTAAATGTTTTGAAGAATTTATTTAATTTTTACGAATTTTAACAATTTTATTTCTGTTGATAAATGTTAAGATATTTATTTAAAATTTTATTCTTTGACAGGCATAAATATTTCGTTTTAATAGGAAAATTTTAAAATTATAAATTTTATTTTATTTTGTATTATTAAAATAATAAGTTATCAATTATTATTATGACAATGAATAAAATTATATTCTAGTATTCTTATATAATAAGTATCAATAATAATAATAATTATATCAAAGACAATACTCTATTAAATCGAATTTCTGACTTCTTTGTGTCATATCAAACGGTAGAAGCGAGAGAAGTAAGAAATAATCTAGTGACAATATTATTATATACATCTCAAAATATATCAAATTATACTATAAATAGTTTTCAGAGATGTTTTAACAATAAATATAAAATTAAATATAATAACTGAATACATATGTCAATATTTTACGGACGTAAAAAATTATTATCACTATTATTCTTATAATTATCATTAATATTTTATGTTTACTGATACGTCTTCTATTTAAAGTGTGGCTATGACAATAATGTTAATGAAATTAATTAAGTCACGATTATTCGCACGATTAATATTCCAATTGATTTGTTATTATCTGAAAAATTGAAAATAAACAAAAATTAAAAATCATTTTTCCTGAAAATTAACATAAATATTAATAAAAATATTTTGAAATAAGTTTATATTAAATTGTTGCAAAAGTTTTTGCAAATTAATAAAGCAATAAGCTCAATTTACATTTTTGTTATTAATGATGATTCAATAACAATTTATTTGTTAATAATTTTTTTTTCGATCAATTTTAATAAGCAGTGATTGTTAGTTAATTTTTGAAATACTTTCCATAAAATACGTAAATGAAAAATAACAAAAACTTTCGCAACAATACGATAATAACTCTGGTACAAAGAATCAGTTTTGCACATATTTTATTAATCGTGCATGCTTATGTTCTATAAATAATAAGTAATTAAAAATAAATATATTATATAACATATATAAATATATAAAACAACTTTAAGAGTGTGCTGTAATTATTTTCATACGTGGTTTGATTATAATAAAACTTCAAGTACTAGAAAGCAAAGGAGATAAAAAAGAATATTAACATTTTAATAATCAAGGCTTTTAATTACACAAACTGAATCGTGCTTCAATAATAATAAAATATTCTATCTAAAAAACAATATACAATTATAAACTTAAAACAATTGATTCAATAAATAAAATAGATTTTCTGTTATTTATTGAGATTCAAATATACCGTCCGGGCATTATTTATCCATTTTTAATAAAGGAAAGTCCTCAAACAACTTTTAATTTTATTTATTAAAATGAATAAAAATGTATTTTGTTAATAACAAATTTTTGCTATTCTTGCCCGGTAAAATCATATTATCAATAAATAAATGAGAATAATATAATATTTTTGCCTGAAAATAATTATAATGAATTAATTTAATGAATATACAATAATTGATTTTATGAACAACCAATCCATGGGAAAATCATGGTCCAACAAAAGCTTTACATACACAATCAATAGTATCGTATGAATAATATAATTCAATATAATAGCATTTACCTCTATTTCCTAGTCACCAGAAATTAATTAATAGTAATAATAATATCGTACATTTGATTTGTTTGAGTTAAATTATTATCGAACCGTAATTGTATTCGTAGTACTTATGATCTGCTTATAACATAAGATGTGTCAGACAATAATATGGCTTAATGTCACTACAAGGTCACTAAGCCTGACTGAACTTAATCTATTATGATTATTATAATTATATTATTGCATATTAATATTATAAATATATATGTATGTATATACATGCATCTATTTACACTATATGTATTGTACTTATTGTAGAAAAACTGTATTGAATTTCATTAAATTATTATTAATACGCAAATATACTATTTAAAACATCTTGTTTCATTTACAATGCAATTTTTATTTGATAAGAAAAAAAAAACATTTTTATGCAGTATAAATAGTTATAGACTTAAAAAATATTCAATTTATCACGTTTGTTATTTATTGAAGTATCTGCTTAAAATTTGTATACATCGAATGCATGGCTGATTTGGAGATGATTCAACAAATTTTCGACATCGTTTACACAAAGACTTTTCAATGTTTTTGAAAGAAACTGTCGGTGAATCACAGCTTGAGTCGGGTATGAGTGTTACTTTTGAAACTTGTAAAACATGACACAATTCTGATGTTGATGAAACTTCTTCTGCTTGCAGAGCCTAAAATAAAAATTATTTGGGTTAAAAAACATGAGTGTAAAACTTATTGATTGAAAATTCAGAAACAATAAGACTCACTGATATTAAGGATATAAATTCTGGGTTGGCTCTAACTGTGATTTCTTGTTCTAAAGTACCGGTTCTGTATGATTTATTGATTATACTCTTTATCCTAAATGCAGGTTCCATAATTTTTTCTATATCTGGAGCATTCCACTCGTCCGGAATCGAATGGGTTGAATGGAAAAGTGGCACAGACGCTAAAAGATGAAATTAAATTTTATTATGATAATAATTATTTTATTATGTAATGATTTTTAGAAGATAATATTACTAAGATTATAAGGATGATAGAGCCAAACTTCTTCAGCTAAATGTGGAGTTATCGGAGCGATAGATCTTGTAAGTACTTTCAGTATTTCCCCGATAACGTCTACAGCTCCTATTCTAAGGGGAGAGCTCGCCTCTTCACAATACAATCTATCCTTAACGAGATGACAATAGTTGGCAGATACATCATTAACAGTGAAGTAGGTAATTGTCTTGCAAACGTTATGAAATTCATAATTATCATAATAATCTTTGATCTAATAAATTAATTTGATTAGTAAAGTAGGTCAACAGTATAAATCGTTAATAAATAAATAATTATATTTTACCACATTGTGATATTTATATAAACGATGTAACATATATTTATCTAAAATCAAATATTCAGCTTTAATTTCTTGAGGTGTATCATATGGATAAAGACCACCCAGTAAAAACCGTAACAGCCGTCGAAGTTTTTGCAGAGTATCTACACTATCTTGAATAGTTGTGTCTGTTACAGGAATCTTATCATGCTGAATACCATGATTTGCTACCCACCATCTAGAAAATTTTTATTCGTTTAAATAAATATTCAGTTATCTTTATTAGGACTTTATTTATTATATTTTTTACCTCAGAACATCAATACCATAAGCGGGTTTCGATTTTTGATCTTTTTTGCCTTTAACAATATCGTTAGGGCTTATAATATTTCCTAGTGACTTTGACATTTTCATTCCCAGTTTATCAACAGTAAATCCATGAGCAAAAATTGATCTAATAGAGCATATAATTGTTAATCAAATAAATTAATTTTTTAGACTAATTTATTTATCTTACTTGAAAGGAGGAACACCTTGCAAAGCAATTGACGTTAATAGTGACGATTGAAACCATCCATTGAACTGATCCATACCTTCAAGATATAGATCAGCTCGTCCCTCTGGTAAAACCGCTGACCAAGAAATTCCACTATCAAACCAAACGTCCATAATATCCTAAATTATTTCAAAACTTAAATCTCGTATATTATTTGGAAAATATTATTAGTTCAATAAAAGTTTTACTTACATTTCCTTTTTCTAAATTATTAGGATCAATATTTAATTTTTCTATTAATTTTTTTCCAATTAACTTTTCAACTGGTAAAACCCACCAACAGTCACTTCCTTCTCTTTCGAATACTTTACACAGTCTTTCAATGATTTCCTCATTTATCACAACTTTTTTAGTATCCTTATAAAAAAATACAGGTATTGGTGTACCCCAAGAACGTTGTCGAGATATACACCAGTATGGTCGTTGAATTATTTGATGCGTTAAACTGTTGAACACTACTTTTTGTCTTAAAGCTGGATACATACTTGTATTTTCTAATGCATTCTAAATAAAAATATTAAAATATTATTTTAAATACACAAATATTTTGAAGTCTAACTTACTAGAGCTTTATTTTTAAGAGAATCCGTATTAATGAACCATTGAAAACTAGCACGAGTGATCACAGGTTTTTTTGTACGCCAATCGTATGGATAACTATGTACCATATTTTCCGTATGCAATACGTCATCTCCAAGACTTTTTAAAGCAATCTCGTTGCCTCCATTTAATACATCAACTCCTGTAAAAGGAGCTCCTGCTTCTGTAGTATAACAACCATTTTCGTCAACCAATGATACCTATTTTGGAGTAAATTATTCAAAAACCAATTTTAAAAAATTCTATAGATATTTGTAAAAAACGTACAACTGGAATATCATTTGCTAAACATGTAAGAAAATCATCAGGCCCATGAGCAGGTGCTGTATGAACTAGTCCAGTTCCTATTTTATGACTAACATAATTTGCTGGAAGGAAAGGCATCATGTTTCCTGTTATTGGATGAGCATATTTCAATTCTTTGATATCACTACCTGGAAGGTAAATAAGTTAAAAATATTTATACTATAAATTTATTTCACAAAATAATAAAGCAAAATTACCTTTAATAGTTAAAACTGGATTAAGTGGACCTATTTTACAAATAATGTCAGTCAATAAATCTTCAGCAAGAATATAATAATGTTTCTGTTGATCTTCTGCTACACAATAAGAAATTTCATCAGAATAGACCACAGCTTGATTAGCAATTAATGTCCAAGGAGTTGTAGTCCAAATAAGAGCATAAACTGGATTATCTTCAAGTATTTTTAATTTTTCGGATAATTCACTAATTAAAAATCTGATTATTGCACATCGGCTTTTATGATTTGGATTATATTCCAACTCCGACTCGGCTAATGCTGTTCTATAGAGTCCAAATTATGAAAAAAAATTTTTATAATTCATAATATACTTATTCTGAGTATTTTTATTTCTTACTTGGATGATGGAGACCAATAAACGGGTTTGAAATCACGAAATACAAGATTCTTTTCATACAATTTGTAAAATTGTTTCAATTGATTTATCATATATGATGTTTTATGTGTAAAATAACATCCTGATTCCTTCCAGTCTGCCATGATTCCCCATGACATAAACTCCTCTCGTTGTTCTTTGATTGCTGCTTCAGCAAATTTTTGTGCTGCAATATAAAAATTATTGAATTATAAAAATATTAGATCAATTATAATTTATTTATCAATGTATAAAATTTTTTACCCTGATGACGAATTTCTTTAGGTGTCATGTTACTTTGTGCTTGTTTTGAACCTTCAAAACATTTAAGCTCAATTGGTAGACCATGGCAATCCCATCCTGGTACATAGTGGACCCTTTGACCCTGAATAACTCGACTTCTAATTGTGATGTCTTTGATGATCTTTAATAACAATGAATGTATTTAATGAATAATGACTATTGATTTAAATTAGGAAGAAACCTTTAAGCCAATAAAATCATTTACTTTATTAAGTGCATGTCCCATGTGTGGTTTGCCGTTAGCATAAGGTGGTCCATCATGTAAAATAAAATCTGGACCTTTTAAATTTTCTCTTTGCCAGTTGTATAGATCATAAAACCCACATTTCTATGAAATATTTTTTATAATATTAATAACCATTTAAATAATACAATTATATATATTTAATAAAAAAAGCACCAAATATTACCTCCATAAGATAATTATCTGTTTCTATTCGACTGGATTCTAAAATTCGTGATGGAAACTTTGTTTGTGGAAGCAAAACTGTTTTGGTATATCGATTATCCACAGCTTTTGCCGGCTTGGTATACGATCGAAATAAGTATTTTGAATATTTGATAAATGTTGAATAATACTTTGTTTCGATAACTTTCATTATTGATGCCATTGTTATAATAAATTGTGAATAAAGATTGTTTTCTATGTTTTAATCCAGATGTATACAATCATCTACCGGTGCATTTTTAAAATTTTTTTCAGCTGTAAAAAAGAAAATATGTTTTTTTGATTAAAATTATTTTAATTATTAAGAAAATGTTATTTTTATTTAATAAGTCATTGAAATTGATAAATTTTCAATCCAATTTTAAAGTAATTTATCTATTTAATAGAATATATGATTATTTAAACATGTTTTCTAACCTCGCAATTATTTTTAAAGGAGAAAAAAAGTTTATTGACACTAATACATTCATAGACAACAATTAAAAATTAGTCTGAAGATAAAAGAAAAATAGTTTTATAAATTTAAAAAAAAAAATTTCCTGAACGTAATAGTCTAATTATTTTCTTAAACTTTCGTCACACTTTATATGAGACGATATATTTTGAGCTGAACTTGATTTAAACTACTCTAAGACAGTACTATTTTCTGAAATTACTTTTTGCTTTTAATTTCTACTTTTTTTCATAAGTAGTAAGTCTATTTTTTATTATTAAAATATCAGCCATTCTTTGTAATAAATATTTATATTTCATTAATTTATTTCATTAAATATTATTTACATCAAATAACCATCTATAAATATGCTTTAAAAAATATTATAAATTTTTTAAAATAATTATTCTTCCCAATCATCAACATCAGGTTGTGAATCACATTCGCTGGCGGAATTTCTATCTGATGTTTCAGCTGGTTTAGGTGGCGGAGGAATCAATCTTGATATCCTTTCTAAAGCTGTAATATTTCCTCCACCTCCTGACATAGCTATTCTTCTCATCGATAATTTTGCGTGAAGATCAGCCATTAAATCTCCACCAACTGAGGCCGATGACCAACGATCACTTGGTTTTTCTGTTGAAGTATGTCGTAATTTTGGCTTTACCAATACCACCAGCAGCTCGAATAGCTTCCATTAAATTACTTCTATCATCTGCATTAGATTTAGGCACTGGAGGTGGTTTTGTCTCCACTTTTTGATCTCTATCAGTTTCAGCTAATCCTGGAGAAGCAAGTGGCGGCGGAGGAGGAGGAGGAGGCGGTGGTGGTGGTGGCGGCGGAGGTGGTGCTGTAATCGCAGCAGTCGTTTGCAGATGAGAAGTTGTCTGATTAACTGGTAGATTAACTAAAACATTATTTGATACTGGTGGTGGTGGAGGAGGAGGTGTAGGTAATGATGATTGAATAGATGAATTTTCATTTTCGGGTCCTGTTAAATTTGGAAGATTTGGAGGAGTATCTTGCATTTGGTTCGAAACTTTATTATCTCCTTTAAAAGCAATTCCTGCGTCTGGAAGGTCTATTCGTGTAGTTGGAGAAGTCACTGCAGATGATGGAGCAATAGGACTTTGAAAGCTTAAATCGAGCACAAATTTTTCATCATCAACAATGCCTGGAAGATCTGGAAGTATTGCTGGAACATTGATTTGAGGAACCTACATATCAAAAAATACGTTATTAATATTTTTAGAGTAAAAATTTCTATGTTTCATTTATGCAAAAATTCATTACCTCGCCTAATATAGGAGCATATAAATAAGATGGTGATTCAAAATCAGAAGATTGCCATGGTTGAACGATAGAATCAGGAGCATCCTCAATTGGTTTCGTGGCATTAGCAGTAGTTGATATCGAATAAAATTGTTTTGGAGTTTCATCAATTAACAGTGCACTCACTGATGAAACAGAAGCAGATGAAGATGTATTTCTTCCGCTTAAATTTAAATTTTTTTTCAACGATTTACTCATAACGTAATAAAATTGTAATTTCTCTTTTAGGTTTAGTTCTGTTGCATAGTGATCTGCTTTAATTGTAGGCCTTTGAGACTTATTTATTTCGTCATTGTATAATTCGATTTTTTTGTCGTCTTCAATTAACAATTTATCCTTTAAATTATTCATAATAGTTTCGTATTCTTGATAAGTTGTATAAGCAGGATATTTTGCGTCTGAAAACATTTTTACTGCTTTTAGGCTCATATTATTTTGTAAATAAAACAATTGATCTTGAAGTTGATTGGCTTTCTGTTTTACTCCTGAAAGTCTAAAATAGATGGAAATTGAAATAATGTACATTGTAATATTTTTGATAGAAATCAAAATATGTTTACTCACAGATTAATGTAAAATAACAAACCTTTTACTATAGCCGGTAATCTTTTCATCAATACATTGAAAAATATGTAAAGCAGCTTTTTGTAAATCATCAAGTCTATTGGCAATTTGAAAAATAGTCTCTTCGTGATTCGCTTCATTGGGGACTATTCCTAATATATTAAATAAACAGAAATAAACAATTAATTCATCGTAAACATGAAGATACAAACAAAAAGAAATAAATCAGTAAAAATGGTTATAATTATTATACCAATTTCAATTTGTCTTTGCATTTTTGTATTTTATTCATAAATTACGAGGTGTAAATATTAAAAAATTTTCATTTGCTTGTATTTATTAAACTTCATGGGTTTATCAATCACTTTTTTATTATTATAATGGGTAACTTGATTTTCATTTTCCAGTTCAATAACACATCTGAGTAAAAAATTCTCAAGAAAACTGATATAGAATTATATAAAAAGAAATTTGAATTTGCAAAAATCGTAATTAAATAGTCATGTAGTATAAATAATTTCATTTACATTAAAATTTCTCGCTATTGGAAATCATTGGGATACTGTTCATGGAACAGATTGTAAATTTAACCAGAAATTACATAAATTACATAGAGGCTCGTATTTAGTATTAAATGTTAATCTAGTGAGATTGGAAATAGAAATGAGAGATGGCACAGCTGTAAATATCTGGATTTCTTTTTTACCTATTGATTCAAGCGCTTTTTTTGAAATTCCATGTATTATTATTAAAAACATGTTTACAAATAAAATTTTTTTTGTTCTAGTATATGTAGAATTATATACTAATTTTTGATACCGTCATTTCTGTATTTCATGAATAAAATTAAACTAAATTTGATTCATCTAAATCAGATATATATTAATCTTGATGAAAATTTTTTTTAATAATTAAAGGTATTAACATGCTTCCACGGATAAGAAAAAGTCAGCCGCGATCTGTTATTTTCATTGCCACAATATTTGGAGTTTTTAGTGGAGTTTACATTTGGAAACCTTTATTTGAAGAAAAAACAAAAGAATTAGAAGTGAAAGTAACATCTGAATCATCATAATGACAAGGTATTTAATATGATTTTTTACAATTCTGATTTTAACAATAAACTAACCTTACATCGAACTTTTACTAGTAAATATATCTTTTTTGCATAGTATCATCAGCTCTTCATTTCAAAAAGTAAATACTTTAGTACGTAAGGCTATTGGAAAAAAGACATTAATTTTATTGGGGTTGTAAATGTAGCCCTATTATTTCAGTAAGTACATATTTCGTTTTTTTATCACTGTAACAGATATTGAAAAATTTGAAGTATTCATTTTAATTTCAATTTACTTTAGCCATTTCGTAAGGCCAGAAATTTACGCAAGAAGACGAAAAGCTCGATCCTCAGAAGCAGATTACCTTTATGAGATGGAAAAACGACAATTACAGCCAAAGTGACCATTTTAATATAAGTATATTTTCTACTTGTAAATGATGTAGTCAATAAATTATTGTTTAATTGCCTCTACAAATAATTTCTCGAGCTCTATTTTATCTTAACAATTGTCAATACATTATGATTATCAATTTTATTACATTGATTTAATTATAATAAATTCTTGGAGTAAGTTTAGTTGAATTTTGTGTTATAATATGGCAAATATCGAAGTACTACTTTCCAGTCAGTAAAATATAGAAGACCACAAGTTCCTGCTGCTCCGTAAGTCATGGCAGATGGTAACCTAAAAATGAATTTAATATTTTTAATATTATTAAGTAATCAAATGAATAATACACATTTTATGTTATTGCATAACTGCTAGTAGAATATGTGTACAATTCCAACGATGAGAATTACATATTATAAATAAAATTATTATATAAAGTATTTAATACAAAATAAAAAAAACAATAAAAATAAACAATTAATAACATTTTATTTATCACAATATTCAATAATTACCATTTTACAGCTTTTTCAATGTGTTGTGGACCTAGTTTAGGCATCTTTGGGTCAAATTTTTTTGACTAGCCAAACCACTTTTCAAATAATGTTGATTTTTTAAATATTATGTAATAAATATCTACAAAAAAAATACAATTATTAATTTCAGTGTTATAATTGAATATCAAATGTGAATGTCAGTAAAATATTAAATATTTACTCAATTTAATCCAAACACATACACGATCTAAAAAATTTGTGAGATATTTTGGAGCTTTCACGTTGTCAACACTGCACTGCAATTATCAACAAATGATAAATAGTAAAGAATCACATGCCCTGTCAATTTTTCCTTAAATAATATGTTGATTTAAATAATGATTTTTAGACAATAAGTACTCTTGGTCAAAATTTTATTCGTTAATAAAAAAATGTTTTTATAATATTTTTATTGTAATAATTATGAAGCAAATCGAATTATTTAAAATAATATGTTTTTTACAAGAGTCATAACTTTTCTTAACTACTGAACATATGATGAATTTATTTTTTACTTATTCTATTATTCAATCTTAGGATAACTAAGTTGTAAATTATTGAACTATAATGACATTTTTCGTCCCTCTATTGATATATCCACCGCACGTCGTGCTGATTTCATCCTTTTACTGTCTATATAATTCTTCATATGACGTTCAAATCTGTTCATCTGTTTCTTGGTGCCCTATTAAAATATAATAAATTGAATTGATGTTATTTAACAAATAACAATATGAATCAGTGAAAAACGATGAAATAAATCTATTTTAACTTACTCTACTAATATCAACATCTGATTTCCAATCTGGTCGCACAATATAATCTTTGTTAGATGGCCTAGGAACTCGAGCTCTACCAACCCATCCAGGATCTCCAGGTCTTAATAGTCTGCAATAAATGATTTTAAAAAATATTTAAATTAGCTGAATTTTATGATCTACTCATTAAAATTAATTGAAGATATAATTTAAAATCGTATGATATATAATTTTGTAATAAAATATAAATTACTTGGCATCTCCTTTGAGTGCTTTGTTGATATCCTGAGATTTTTGTGATGAACTGTCTTCATCGGTTTTTCTTATCTTACGTGGAGTTTGCTCCAAATCTCGCTGCAATCTTTCTTCTCTAGAAAGTGCTTTCATGTCTGCTGAAAGATTGAATATTGGTCTTGCCCAATCATTTATTAATTTACCAGCACGTTCTTTGTTCTCTTTAGTTTCTCGGGGATGTTTATAAAGGTACATGACAGCTTTGCCGATACCAGACTGTTTTAGAGATGCTTGATCAATACGTGGAAATTCCCATAATAATTTCAAAAGACTATCACGTATTCTTAAAGATGGTAAAGAGCGGTCAGGCATTGGTGCTAACCAATCAGTTAAAACAGATAATACATTATGTTCAAGAAATGCTAATTGCAAATCGTGTTTTTTTAATTGAGAAAGAACTTTTGGTAACATAGCTATTTTGTTTGTAGCTGGTTTTTGTTGTTGATTCAACTTTCTGTCTTCTTCTGATGCTGCTTTCATGTCTGATAATAATTGAGCAATTATATCATCATTATCATTTATAATGTCAATATCTTTACGCCTTCTTCTACGTGATTGCTCTTCTTTTTTCCGTGCCAGCATTATATCAAAGTCTGACATGAAGTCATCCATCTGTCCACTTCTGTCTATTTCAACATCAGAATCTGCTCCATCATCTTTATCAACTAAATTTTCACCACCATTGCCTTCATTTCTATCTTCTATTTCCAATTCATCACCTTTATCACTTTTCTCTTGTTTTTCTTCGGAATCTTCTTTTTCTTCATTTTCATTTTCAGAATCTGATAGTTTATGTTTTGTCTTCTTTGATCGTTTAATTTCATCATCTTCTCCTTCAGAATCAGATAAACGTCGTTTTGCGGCAACTCTTGGAGAACCAGAACGACTTCGACTATGACTTCGGCTACGACTACGGCTGTGACTGCGACTACGACTTCCACTATGACTTCGACTTCTACTACGACTGCGGCTCTTTCTTCCACCAGAAGATGATCGAGATGAAGCTCGAGAAGCTCTTGAACTAGCAACAGATTTTGAACGTGAACGAGACTTTGAACGTGACCGTGATTTGGATCTTGAGTGCGAACGTGAACGTGAACGTGAAAGACGTTGAGAAGTACCTGGAGATCGGGATCTAGACCGTGATTTTGATTTAGATCGTGAGCGTGATCTCGAGACAGATTTAGATCTTGAACGAGATTTAGATCTCGAAGGAGACTTTGATCTTGATCTCGAATGAGACTTGGATTTTGATCTTGAGCGAGATTTAGATTTGGATCTTGAACGCGATCTAGATTTTGATCGTGAGCCCGATTTGGATCTTGAGACACGTGGAGAGCTTTTTGCAGAACCTTTTGCAGGGCTATTTGATCGAGATCGAGAACGTGAAGGTGATTTTCTCGATACAGGTGATGGTGACCGAGAATGAGAAGATTTCCTTGCTGATCTTACGCTTTTCGGCGAATTTGAACGTGATCGTGAACGAGATGCTTCTCTTGAATGAATAGAATGTGAAGCTTCTCGAGAATGCACTGAACTTGCATTTGATCCGCTTCTTGAACGAGATTTTCTTGGTGATGGAGGATTAGAAGACTTTTCTACTGATCTTACACTTTTAGGAGAATTTGAGCGTGATCGTGATCGTGAAGCTTCCCTTGAGTGAACTGAGCGTGAACGTGATGCTTCTCTCGAATGTACTGAACTCGCATTTGATCTGCTTCTTGATCTGGACTTTCTATGTTCAACTGCATCAGGAGATTTAGAACCAGCTCGAGAATCAACTGATGACCTTGAGCCAGACCTACTTTTTCTGCTACTTCTTCCAGGTGATTGCGATGCAGCACGAGTAGGCGATGCAGATTTACTTTTATTAGACAAAGATCTAGATCTGGATCTAGATTTTGAAGAACGTTCAATATTTTCAGGAGATGGAGATCTATCATTTTGATGATGTTTACTACTAGCATTTGAATGCACTGATGCTGGAGAGCCTGGTTGTTCAGATCTCGGTGATAATGATTCCGACCTATGTAAATTATTATCAGTAAATGAATGTTGGCTGTACCAAAAATATGTTTAATAAGTAGCGCTTACCTTGGTGGACTGGTATTATTTTTATTAACTACATCACTTGGACTAACTGATCTATCAGAAGCTCTTGATCCAGATCTTGATCTACTTTTTCGATCAATGTTATTATCCATCTCTAAACCATCAGATCTGTCCTCAGAATCTTTTTAAAAATTTAAATTAAGTTAGATATTAGAAAACTTTTCTACTTAAAAGATAAATATTTTAAAAAATTCAAGCGTTTTCTAACCTGTGTTATCCATTTAAATAATTCAAGAAACTAGCCACTCACTTGAAATTTACTTTTTAAATAAAAATTTTAAGACAAAAATATATTTTTTTCGCCTATCACCTATTGGAAAGTTTTATAGCAAACAATTTTAGCGTCATGAAATTTCTTAAGTAAATATTTTAATATTTTTTAACATAATAAGTTCGTTAGACGAAAAACAACATGTCAACACAGAACTACAAGCCATCAAGTTCACCACCGGTGAAATCAAACACTAAAAAAAGTATAGGGAAAAGTCTAGAAAGCCTAACTTGGTATGTAAAATAGAATTCGTTATCTTCGTAAACAATAAAGAAATTGTTGTTACCGACAGTTTGTATAAATATTGTCAAAAATTTGTGACAGAGTGCGCAAATGTTTTGCAATATTTTTAGAAATCTAGAGATAGCGCTTCAGTTGTTAGTCTGGTTTATGACACGGTCGATGGCGGAGGGTAAACCTGCGAGTGAAGAGGCATCGCCCTAGATAACGGTAGAATTGTGCACTGTTGCGGGTGTCTTCCACGCGTAAATATAATCTATAAAGTAATCCGTGGAAGTGATAAAACGGACAACGCAACTAAGTGACATAAAATAAAAATTAAAGTAATACAACGAGAATTGAAAAACATCATTGTGCGCGATCAACTTGAGGTCGGTTAGCACGAACGGAAAACGGCCCCCCCGCATACGGCGTCTGTGGTTTCTTTCGTCGAGAGTTTACACGCTACAAAATTCAGGACAAGAACAAGTGACACAGTCGTACGGGTGATATACTACGTGAATTGTTGATTGTTATAAAACAAGTGTGTGCTTAACCTGCTTAATTGTATTATTTAAACTTGCATTAAAATTTAACATCCATGAACCCATGGCGGTGTAATGACGAATCGGTAGACAACGGGACAGAAAGCAGCTAATTGTCGGAAAATACTGGGAAAACATCATTTGCAGTATTGAAGATTGGAAAGAATAAAACCATTCAATTAAGCAAATAAATATTTTATTTAGTATAATTGGTGTTAGTGATTGTGGTTTGCGTTTTCACGCCAAGATTAAAACACAACAGCGGGAAAAGTCGACTTACAATCGCATACAACAGTGATAGGCAGTACAGGGTAAGGTTTTATCTAAGTATTCCCCTCTTTATACTAACTACAGCGCGCTCCATCTCACTGTATACCAGTCCTCACAGCGTCACTCCTTTCCTCCGCCGGAAATTGGCTTATATTGGCATTTGAGGAATCCCATGGACCTAAAAAAGGAGGAAAAAATAATTGTGTGCACCTCCTTATAATAATCTTTATAACTCTTATTTTTAAATTTCCATTTATTCATATACTTTCGATTTTTTATGCTTTGCTCAATGTTCCTTAATTTAGATCAATTGTACCTCTGACTAAGTGTCAATTAAACACATCGAATTCCCGATAAACGCGAGGTCACTTGATTCTAAAGCTCATCTAGGTCAGATACACCAAATGCTGTACACAAAGGTCATTAACCTTTTTTATCATTATTATTAAAGGATAATAAATAAAATAATTAATGATCTTATATTCTCTTTTTAAATTGAGCTTTGATTTCAATCAAAGTCATGCAGTGGAATCTTTTTTCAAATATTATTTTTCTTTTTACTGGTGAAAGGAAATTTTCGTTATTATTCATTAATTTATTATTATTTAAATAAATAAAAAACGTGGTAGTGATCTAAACGGATGATTCATTGAAAGTATGGAGGCGTTTATGAAGACACTAAGTACATGTGTACGAAGAGTAGAAAAGAAATAAAAGAAAACATTTATAACTTTTTGTTGAATTTTTTTCAAATGAGTATATCAATTATTTCCATTTTTCCCTGACTTTCTTCTCTTCATTTCCCTTTCTATTGTTTTACAATTTAATCTTTCATTTTTTGGAGATGTTCAATTTTTCTTCTTTCTCTTGTCATTATTGAATATGACACGTACACTTGTGGCTTTTTTCGATGTATATTGTGAGCTATAATTACAGGCAAGGTCAATAAAAAAACGTAGTCACGGATCTTTTTATGTGTTTAATACATTCAGCTGTTCATTCACTTTGTTATTAACTTCCTTTATAGATCGTTGAGTGAATGACTGCAGGTATATTGGACTTAAAATGAAAACAAAAAATAGAAAATATTACATAGTGAAGGAAACAGATGAAGAATTATAATAGAATGTCATTTTTTTTCTTCTTTTCTCAGAATTAATATATCTATATTACTAAATTTGAAGATAATTCTCCAAATATAGTGCTAAAAGTTATTTATGAGCTGTAACAAAAGTTCGGAAAATAATGTTGATCTGTCTTGTTCGCTACGATTTAACATTCTATCTTTACTATTCATCCAAACATTTCTCTTACTCTATTTATCCGTCGCTATTTTACTGTGCTCTAATATAGCTTGAAAATTATTAAGGTTATCAGTTGAAATTTTGCATAAATATTATTATGGTTCGTTGACCGAAGAATATGAATATAGAAAAAATTAGATATGACATTTTTTATTTCCACATGTAGATGGATTTGCAGAAAAGCAAGTTTTTTTTCTAATACTCTGCAGTTTAGTTATTTTAGTTTATAGGTAGATTAGTTTATGTATGGAGACTTAACTACATTTTAGGGTCACTTTTATTTTGATTTTGGGTTGAATTGAACATGACAAAATATACATGAAAATTACGTCATTCAGAATAATATTTTGTTCCACTCAGAATGATAAAAAAATATATTTATTGTTGGCATCTAATACAAATATTCTTTAATTATCATACAAATAAAATCATCTTTACTCTGAGAATTAAATAATCATGTTTAGCATAAGATTTAAATTCATTTTAACTTGAAAGCATGTTTGGTTATTTAGCTTTTCAACAAATATTGAAGTAATAAAAATGTATAGTTTGATTAGCCAAATAATTATTGATTAAAACAATTTAAATTTTATTAAATGAAATGTGCAATTTGTAATGTCGTTATTTATATCCTGGAGATAATTTGCTGAAAAATATATTGCGTCAAATGATTTATATCATAGTTGGCATGGCATAGACATTTTGTTTAATACTACATTTCTTTACGTAGTATCTGGCATTATAAATTGGCGATATTTCAAATACTTTATTTATGTAGATTAATCATTTTTATTGTATATCTTTGTATCAACAGTAAAAGTTGATGTATATTGTGAATAATTTATTTCAAATTAAGTTAATTGTAATTTAACTACCATTTCAGAGAAATCAATAAATTATTTTTATTAATTAGCTTATTCAATTGAGTATTTTATTTGAGTCAGGCTTAATTGTAATACGTAATTTTACATGAGATTTGAATATTAAGAGGATCAAATAAATTTAAAAGTAATAAAAAAACTTTTTAATCACTTTATTAAGCTGGAAATTTATACTTTTTTTAATTGAAAATTAAAATTTTGTCTCTTAAAATAAATTAAATTTTGAATTAAATAATTCATATTTATTTATTTATTTATGGACTTTTATTTTTTTTATTGACAGCATACATAATGAATATTTCAATTATTCATTTATTGATATAAATTTTAATGATATCAATGTTATTTTGATAAAAATAAGAAAAAATTTATTACATTGACGTTCAAGGGCAAGGTAGATAGGAATATACGATGACTCATAATGTCTGTAATAAGATTATTTCTATACTTAATATATGAACGGAATGCTTACGTTTCAATTTTATTTGTAAAAAGTAAATTTAACAATAAATTTATAGTTCAAACGTTAGTTTGGAATTGGCTATAAAAATGATTATGGAGTTATTACACATGTATGTGGTGAAAAAAGTAACGTGAAAAGAAAGTTTTAAATAGGCATTTTATCTTAACTGTGATAAAAATTTTTTTTTCTCGAGAGATTTTATTCTTAAGTTGTTTTTAAAAGTCTATTCATGCTACTCCCTTATTCTTATAAAACTTTTTGGAGTTTTAATGAATACATAGTTTATATATGTACCTTAAACATTTTGTTATACCTATTCATCCAATTCAATTCAGTTGAACTAGTTTTTATTCTATTGTTGATAACCACAAATAATGTTTTCATCTTAATATATATATAATAATTTCATTATTTTTCTAATTTAAAACGATTAAGAAGTATAGTTTCATTAAGAGATTTTAAATATTGTAGTTTAATTTAATACAATCGAGTATCGGAAATTTAATGTAATTTTCAAAGAAAGTTATTGGAAAAAAATTATTCCTTGTTAATTAAATTTTTTTTACATCTTTTTTATCCATTAGCTCTTGATAGACTGTAAAAAACAATTTACTGATAAAGATTTACTGATAACAATAATTAACAAAAATTCTTGAAATGCATATTTATCACTAAAAAATAAGAACTTGTAAGAAGTTAGTGAAATAAAATGTTTGTGAAGAATCTAGTGCATGTACTTTACTTTGAAATAAATGAGAAAATTTTCAAGAGTAAAGATTAAGAAGAAAAATAGACACGAAGAATAGTTATAACGAGTGGATTCAAGAGTTGTGTCAGGCAAGAACCATGAACAACGAGAAGTTGCAACAGGGAGAAACGGCTTCTCACGATAGCCAGAAGATAAAAACAAAGCAAGGGAGCTTTAAGAGAGTTGTATTGCGGGAATAGAAAAGAGAAGATAGACTAATACTAATACTAACATAAATAAGAAAAATAATACTCTATAGGGATAAAGTACATTGAGAGTAAAGGAATGGCTTATGTTATCTTGCGTTGGCCAACACTTTGAAAAAATATAAAATAAACTTCGCATAAGGTTCACAAACCTGCATGTGACTCATTCTGGATGTCACGCAAGGCCGCGAGAAGCGCGCGAGACCCTCAATTTTCCATTTCCAAGCGGATATCGGTGGATCGTTTCCGTTAAACCCTACCATATAGACTACATAGTCCATATTCACACAAAAGCACTGGTATACACTATTCAGCTTTTATATTTTGTGGTTATACACTGAGAGTTATATACCAAGCCCCAAAGCCCATTCAATTCACCAGTTTAAACGTAAAAAAAAACTATTTAATTAATTTTTTTCTTTTTTATTTAAAGAAATAATATGCTGATTTAATTTTGTTTTTTAACATTTTTCAATCAGTTTGAGGTGATAGATTGTTGTTGAAAAAATATATATTTTTCTTTGTTACCCTCATGTGTTTCACTGTTGCAAAAGATGAAAAGTTGGTTTGTTTGCTTTCTTGATTTAGTTATCATTGTGTTTATAGACTATTTGAAGTACTTGAACAATTTACTTACTTTACATTAACTATGCTTGTTTGAATTCTTGTTAAGGTAACAGTTTGCTTTATTGATTTTTATGTTGGGTGAGTTGTAAAAATATGTAAAAAACAATTTGGTCATGGTGACAATACATTTTTTGTAGTTAATTATTTATCAATAATTTATTAATATATTGGAAATTTTTATTTAAAATTTAAAAATTATATTATTTTTTATAAAAATCATTTTAAATTTTAGATAAAATTTTACAGATAGATTAAAATTTTTTTTGTTAATCACACATCTTCACTCGTAAAAATAATTCAATAATCTTCCTGTGATAAAAATAAATTAGTAACGTACATACACATTCCACAAGTTGTTGAATTGAAAAGCGTATTGCATGTCAACGGAAATATAAGTATTCGAGTCGGTGGTATAGTATTGCATAATGGCAGCTTAACAAAAAACAATTAGCTTGGGTAATAAGTATATAATCACTCAAGAAATACCATGAGTTTATGATAAGAATATTTTTTTAACTTTCAAGAAATGTTTTATAACAAAAACTAATTAATGTACTAACAATTGTAACATGGTATAAATTATTTAGCGAATTATAATCATATTAATCGCCATATTATAATGAGAATCATTATTGTTATTTAGCTATCAATAATTTTCTACATATGTGCGTGCACTGGTGTCACCATCAGAGATATTAAATATCGTTCTACTCGACACATGAGAGAGTGGGTCATATATGCAAGAGATACAACTAATTATGTACTATGTTGCGTGGATGTGATTGCATCATAATTATGATTGTACAAGAGGA